ARAAGGCTCTTTTCGCGGCGAGTGTCGGGCCTTTTGTTTCCCAATGTCTTTATAACGCAACTCATTGTTGGTGTCACCAATATTCAAACTTTGTAAGAATGACTGGAAGCTGACGAAGCGTAGGTTATCTGGCCCTGCCGCATTGGAAAGAGCTGTATCTCAGCCTTGCTGTTCCTGAGCCTATGGGCGGCCTCTCGGAGCGAAGCGGATTGGCGATTGGCTTGAGATCTCAGATCTTGTCTCTGCCTGGATTGTGGCATGATATTGGCCATGCTCTTGAGGTGAGAACCTTTCGATTTCTCCAGCATGCATTGTTTAGCAAGATAGGCCAAGGTAAGTAGAGCTTGCTGACCTTCTTGTATGTTCCAGGGGGATGATCTTTTCGACGACGATGTGCTTTACTCTCTCGCACAAAGATGTCAAGAAGCCCAAGCAGGATATCTGGAATCACTGGAGTCCTACAAGGCACATGTGTTACAGCGAGCTTTCTCTCAGCCATCGCCGGGCGAGCTTGCTCTTCGGCGCGAAGTCTACGGTCTTGCTCACGAATGCCTGATTCTCGTTAAAAGACTGCAAGCTTCAGTCTGTGATACCAATCGTCTCGCACTCGAGGCCGAAGTGCAAGATCTAGTACAGAACGTCTTCAAAATGCAGCATCAACCTCTGCCACCGCATTCCTGGCTTTTCAGCGGGCATGAGTTAGGCGTTGCGCAACTTGCGTTGGACACTAGCGATAAGTTCACAGAGGATGTTTCGACTCAAAACTGGAAGAATCAACGGATTGCTATGCGGAGGAGATATGTTATTTGGTCGAGCTCATTACGTGCGGTCTGAACACCACTCAAATGTCTTGTGAAGCTGCCTGGCCTGCTCTCCAGAGCGTCATCATGGGAATTCCAATGGACCAGAAATACGCCCCTGTCCGTGCCTGTGAAGGAGTCTTGATCAGCGCGACGTCTCCGTTCAAGAGAAAGAGGATGTACTCACAAACGCCACCACATCATTCTTGACGGTGATGTACAAGGCCGTATACACCGTTCTGGCGACGAAGAAGTTCAAAGCAGCGCTATTGAGATCTTTCGCCGGCAACTTGGCCACATTTCCAGCGACCTGGACATCTCATCAGCGATGTACATCTTATCGAACATCTCGATATCACGTACCATGGCGGCTGCGAACAATGGAAACACCTCCATGCAGTTTAAATGTGCACCGCGTGCTCGAACGAGTTGGTTCCATACATCTTGGGGGAGCTTGCCTTTCCATGTCTCGAGATTGGTTCGTGGCCTAAGGGACCATTATTCGGATTCATTCGGTTGATCATGTCCACGATTAGAACGTACATTGCAGTCGAGAATTGGAACTTGGTAGCCATCATCAATCGTGTGAGGTAGTAGCCATGAGGCAAGAAGCTGAAGGCAAAGGCGGCGGGAATTGCCTGGTAGGAGTAATTGTGCGCTGTTTCGGTCATTGCGGGTATCGATTGCATAGAAGAAATTGGGTGGTGTGTTTGCAAGGTCGTAGACTAGATATATATGTTGGCTGATGCACATCTCGTCATCGATGTGTCAATGCTTCAAAGAGGACAACTGAGGACCACATACCTAATCAGGGCAGAGGTGCTGCTCAAAGTGTAATTCTCGTCTGTCACGCTCTCCACGTTTGTGCAATCCCCCTAACACGGTTGGCTGAGTCGTTGATGGAGGATTCGAAGAGGAGGACGAAGACGCGAAGGATCGGCGTTGAGCAGAGGACCGCTTTCCATTTTGGGATGTACCAGTGTCTACTTTAGGCATTTTTTTGCAGATCTCCTCGCCTGGACATCTGATGAGCAGGTTGGAAGAGTCACAAATTATACAATCACGAGATATGCGGCTTGATGTTTCTATGAGATATCTTCACGTCATCTAAAGTAGCCATTCCCCGTAGTAGCATCCACGTTTTACTCCAGTATACCTCCTATATCCAACCATTTCCCGCACAACCTTCCATCATTCATCGTCCTCATCGTTGCCCTCGTCAAGCGCCAGCCAAGCACTCCGACACCTAACACCTTCAGCCCGCACGTTCCTCTTCGCATCGTCCAAACATCCCAGCAGTTTCTTCACCACGGGTCTCCTATAAGGAACCACAGACTCTTGTTTCAGCTGCCGCGGCACCAAAGCTAGACACTGCAATGCCTTCGCTCTTGTCTTGGCCAAATTTCCTGGCGCAGATGTGGAGTTCAAGAGTCGAGTGATGAGCGACGCCGAATGCTCCTCTGCAACGGACGGATTGTGCATCAGAAGCGACTCGAAGATTGTCAATGTGGAGTATTTCACTTCCTGGTATGCAGGCTCGTTCAGATCCAGACTTTGCAGAAGAGGTGATACAAGCGATGCCAGCGTCGACTCCATGATCGAATATGGAAGCCAACGAAGGATGCCGGAAAGTGCGATGAGGTAGTTGGGCTTTGCAGTAGGCTCTGCTGTACGCMCACTCTCAATCATAGGAAGCACAGTCTGGCTGAATATCTTCTGCTTGTAAAGTCCAGACACAACACAGTGATTCTCTTTGGTGAGAATATCGTCCGGGGCGAGAAGTCCCGCAAATCTTCTCGCAAATGCCTTGTCCGACGTAGGCAGATGTTTTAAGAGCAGTTGAATGTATCTGGATGTCAATGCTCCACATTTTCCTTGGAAGATCAGCGCCTTTACGACGGCAAACACGACACTGATGGACTGTGGGGTATGACCAGCGTCGAGTAGCGCTTCGACCTCGATGTTGGCCTCTTCCAACGACTTCTGCATTGCTGCTGACGCGRGAAATTTGTTGATGAGCAAAGATAGGTGCCTCGTGACTACACTTGTGCCGACAGCATCGATTCCAGGACTAAGCAGATACATCGCCTGAGATCGTACAAGCGCCACGATGTCTGCGGGCTCCGCAATCTCAGGCTTGATGGCTGCGTAGTAATACAAAGAGAAAGGCGCAAATGTACGCACACGTTCGTTTGTTCCGCTCAAGTTGTCTGCCAGAGGCGACATCCAGTCGAGATTCTTGTTGTAAACTGTGCTTTGAAAGTGTGATGATTGTGTTCGCAGTGTGACATTTGCGATCCGACCGACGATCTCGGTGATTGAGTCATCTCTCTCAGAAGGCAGTGCATCTTTGAGTAGCACAATCAGAGGCTCTGCATAATCAGAGAAGTAGGCGCTTCGAATAGCGCCATCCTCGTAAATTGGCAAGCCGTGTGTGAATGCGTAGAGAAGTGCCAGAAGCAACGATCTTTGATAATCCCTAGGCGCGTTCTGGTATCGTGCGGCGTTGAGCTTGTTCTTGATGCGAAGCACGACGGTGTCAAAGACCTGTTGCTCGCTGCTGAGCTGCGCAAACGCTTCAAGTATAGGGATGTGGGTTGAGCCTTCGGTAGGTGCATCTGGCAACTCGACCATGAATGCAGGAATGGTTTGGCTTCGAATTGCGTCGGGCACAGAGCGTGCCATTTCGATCAGACTCTGGATGGCATCTTTTTGGATGTTTCCATGACCTTCAACACGCTCGTGCAAGACAATATCATCCACAGCGGTGATTACTCGCGCCACCTCATCATCCGAAAGAAGTCCATGTACGCTTACCAGCTGAGATAGGCCGCTCAGAGCAGTGAGACGGAATGACACTTCTGCTTTGGGTGCGCTGTTCAAAGCACGAAGCATCACCTCCAAAGAATCGTTGGAGAATGCCTGGAGAGCCTCGGGGCTGGCATTGTCTCCAGCTGACTGGAACTCAACATACGATTTGATCAACTCGTTGTAGATCTCTAGCAGCCCTCTTCTTTTGGTGATGGAATCYGACGATTGGTAAAGTGTAAATAGGACTGGCAGGATACCTTTGACAACCTTGTCGGCTACTAGCGGACTTCCCACTGCGACGGCGTGTAAAATACGGCCGGCTCCTTGTGATTGCTTCGTCGGTGCGTCCTCGAGATGCTCATTACACTCTTTGATGATTGGTCTGAGATATGCTTTGAGAGGGCCCTCTGTGTCTGCAAACTTGGCAGCGATTAGCGCAAGAGCCTTGAGCGCTTCCTCCGCAAGGTCCTCTTCTTGCACACTCAAAATCTCAAACTTCAACGCATCCCAGAGCGTGACTGAATACAGGTTGATGGTCTTGACTTCATACCCGATAACACAGGCCTGTATCGCCTGCAGTACATCTCGCTTTGTGTTCATTGACGTCGAGTCGAGTTTGTCCAGCAGCGCAGGGAATGCGTAGGGTGCAAAGTCTGAGTTTGCCGCGATGCATTCCCGTAGTCTATCTTTGAGATCCTGGGCAGTGATAMCCATTGGGTCATCTGGAGGCGGCTTGAAAGTGATTGGAAAGTAGTTGAAAGCAGCCTCGAACATGTCCTGGGCGTGAGCTTGGATGTCCCACTCGGCCATGGGTACCTGCAGCAGCGAGAACACAATCATGAGATTTCTGGGATCCTTCTCGCCTTCAAAGTACGAGATGAATCCCGCCATGAATGCTGCATCTTTCTCATGTAGTTCCCGTATGGGTTCGCGGTATTTGGCCAGAAGCATGTCAATAAGCTGGATGACGGGATACCGTTCCGTCTGAAGCTTGAACTGCAGAAGGGGATGCGTATGCGTAAGAAATGACTCCATCACTTTCTGAGCAGTCTCGGGATCCCACTTGCCACGCTCCTCCAAGGCAAGCAATACCCTTGCGGATGATCCAACGCCTTCGACATCGCCTTCTATGCGACCCAGAATGAATTCACATAATAGCCGCCTCTCCGGTCCAGACAAGACTCTCGGTGGGACTTTCTCGAGAACATCTGCAAGGTACGAGACGGTCTTGGCGCGGATGCCGCCATCGTCCTTGTTGTTGATGTATTCTTCGAGGCTGGTGATGAGGTCGATGAGTTTCAGTTGTTTGGCCTCCAATTTCGCCGCGCTTTGCGCTGCTATCCTCTGCGCCTCAGGCTTATTCTTGTCGACCTCAATGAGGTAGAGTTGTATGTCAGACATGGCCTCATGTTTTGGCGGAAGAATTTCAGAGATGGAGTCGATGTCATTGTCGAAGACGACTAAAAATAGTGGGGCATTGACGAAGTCTTGGCAATCGCCATCGATAAGGAAGTCACAGTAGATGTCAATACGAATGCAAGGAGGGAGTTCTCTTCAGATAGGTCATGATATTCGGTGGTCGCACAGCCGCTGGCACGATCTCATAGGCTCATTCGCAGCTCGCAAAGTTCCAGTGATACTACGGAAATGGAGTGCATACATTGAATGATAACTCGATACCCGAGATCGCTGATTGGCAGTTCAACGTCTCATCACGCACTGCCGAATAGGTACTGACTACTGTAGATCGCGAACGCGGCAATTGGCCAATCATGAGTGGCAATATTAACGAGCGTATTACAGGTATATACAACATGTACCCTTTTAAGCAATCGCCCGGCTCAAAGCTCGAGAGCCATGGGGTCGCCACATCTCTCTCAAAATCCAAAGGGATTCTGAGCAGCTACACGGGTAGTTAGTATACCACGCATCAATATGTAATAGTCACATAATAAGTACTTACTAGCTTTTGATAGATTAGCCCTACCAGTAGGTTGCGGCATTAAAGGCTTCGCTCCAGCCTGTACGCCGAATCGCACTGGCGGGGCTGGTCCGGTCCTTTGCGCAATAAGAGGCGCAACAGGTGCCTGTAGTCCTAATGGCTGCGAGGGTCCGAACACGCCGCCGGTCTGTTGCGGGGGAAGCTGAGGTACTGGTGGCGCAGGCTGTGCGCCAAAGCCGTTCATACCAGTGGCTTGGGAAATGTTGAATGATGGTTGGAAGCCCGTTTGTTGAGGTTGAGAAGGTTGGAAGCCTGTCTGTTGGGGCATGAAAGTGTTCGATAGACCCGATGGCATGGGTTGATAAGGCTGACGAGATGTTGGGTCCGCAAACGGCGATCCAGCCTGTTGGCCATTGAACATTTGCTGTTGTTGGTTGGGTTGAGGCACGCCGTACTGCTGGGTAGCTTGCTGCTGTCCGTAATTTGACTGCGGCATGAAACCAGTGGGTTGTGGCTGCAAGGCAGGGAAGTTCTGCTGCATCGCCTGCACAGGATTGAAGCCTTGAGGTGGTTGGAAGGCGGTCTGCTGAGGTTGAAGTTGCTGAAATTGTTGCTGACCTTGCCCTTGGGGGATTTGAGGCTGATAGCCTGTCAACTGTTGCTGCAAAGGCGATGCCCCAAATCCGGTCTGCTGCGGAGGGAAGCCCGGAGCAGATGCTGCACGAGGAGGTGGCTGGAGAACTCCAAGACCTTGATGACCTGGGGCGAGTGGTCGTTGATATCCTGTGGGCTGAACTTGCTGGAACCCCGTTGGTTGGGGTTGCTGTTGCCGGGCTGCTGGCGCTAGAGACGCGATCTTGTCGAATATGGCTTGATTGGCAACGGGAGGCTGCTGCTGGACAGGTTGCTGGGTAGACGCGGGCGCGGCAGTAGGTGCAGGCTGTGGTGCGGGCGTTGGTTGCAAGGGCGGCGCAGAGAGTGACAGCTGTGCAATGTCATCGTTGACCTYGGGTTTCGGCGGTGTGGATGCAACCGGTGCAGCAGCTGGAGCTGCTACAGTAGGCGTCTGCGACCTTGATGGCTTGACATCCCAGGCATCGTCATCRAATCCATTCGTAGGCTGTCGTGCTGGTGCATTGGCGAGAGGAGTAGCTTTGGCATCTGCAGAAGCTCTCCCTGCCGGACTTTCAGACTTTGGCTTGAAGGCACTCTCGTCGACCACGTCGTTCGTTTGCACAGCGGGGGCCGGTCTACCTTTACGGGTATTGTTCCTCAGTGCTCCACCAGGACCAGAGAATAGCCCTCCAGCGGATCCTTCTCCGCCATCATCTGGTCCTGACGGTGACATCGATCCATTCTTGCGATCGTACTTCGCATCAAGGAACTTCATCACCCGCAGAATATCTCCCTCCTTCAAACCCAGAGTTCGCAACAACTGCTCGTTGACATCAGGCAAGACCTCAGGACCCATTTGATCCCGTGAGAAAGCACCCGCGTAGCGCTCGCATATTTGAGGGTTCACGCCACATTGGAGGAAAAAGTCGAACCAGTCGTAGTCGTCCTTCTTTTGCACGCTCGCACCCACACCGCCTGTATCTTTCTGTCGCAGTGTGGTCCGTCGTTTAATGTCGGACAAAGGCTTGTCTTCGTCCAGGCTTGCACCGGTGGCGCGCTCCACATATTCTAGGTCTTCAACCGCCATCTTCGACACCGGAACGGCGATCTTGACGCCATTGTTTTTGTGAAGATGGATCTTGCCCTCTCGAAGCCCGATGAATTCTGCGTCGACCCTAAACGTTCCGCTGCGATCAGTCCAAGTCCGGATTCTAGATTGATTTGGTTTCGCTTTGGAGTCCTTCGAGCCTCGCTTGTCGGAGCCGCGCATCGACGTGCGCCTAGTATCGCCGGCGAGGCTGCTGGTTCGGTCAGGCAAAGTCACTCCAGGCCCAACCTCCCCATCACGCTTCCTCCTTGCAGCCTCTTTCGTCAGACGCTCCTCTTCTCTGCGGTTCTGCTCCACAATATTTCTCGCCTCCTCCAACCCATTGATTGTCTCTGCTCGCACAAGACCAGTCACTTCGACGTACGATGAAGGTACGACGCCCTGCTTGCCACTCTTCAACCGTCGTACCATCCACCACTCGTCGCTTTTGGTGTCATCCAGGATAATGACCTCGTCGCCCACTGCAACTGTGACCTCATCTTCGCCCTGAGCCATGAATTCAAATCGCATCTGCCCTTTTTTCTGCCCTGCGGCTCCAGTACCCGCACTTGCGGCTAGCACTTCTTTCAGTCCCTCTTGCCTCACAGCACCTGCAAGTTCGCCCAGAGCTCCCACGATCTCCTGAGCAGTGTCTTTGGCACCCGCATGAAAGTCTATGCTCTTGCTCGGACGTACGAGTTCCACAAACACGTGTTTGCCTTCAATGCTATAGTGTGTGAGTTTTTCCGCGGTCCACTCTTTGCTCGGACCGTCTTTACTCTTCTCAGGGCTAATCATGATGATACCCCTTCCAATGTTTATCCCCAATGTAGTCGGCATCTTCTTGTTCTTCCCCATGTGCGAGACCATTTCGTGGACGTTGTACAGATGGAAGCCGCCCGGCGATCGCGGCTCCTCGTTATCGCGGTCGTCGTCCCACGTTGCGGGTGCGGGGCGGTTGTTGTAAGACGGGGATGGAAGCACGCCGTATCGCTCTTCCGGGGGCGCCGGGGAGAATTGTACTCGCGGTGCAGGTGGTGATGCTGGCGGCGTCTGCTGAGACAGAGGACGTCGTGGCAAAGAAGGTGCAGGCTCATCCTCCCGCTCGTCGTAATGCGGTCGGTGTGGAGGTGGTGGCGAAGCCAAGGATCGCTCCGTCTGTCCGCCAGTTCTTTGCGCAATGATGCCAGCCAACTGAGCCGCGGGATTGGCTGTGGGAGCGGATGGTGGAGACGGAGGCTCGTAGTCCTCTTCACCCGGAATAGGCGCGTCAGCAGCAGCCGGCGGACGGGCGGGCATTGGCGGCGGAGCAGGTGCCAAATCGCGAGCAGGAGGCAACGTCGCCGCTGTCGCCGCGGGCTCAATGTATATAGCCGGGGCGAAGCCATATTCGCCGCCAAAGCCCACCAGCGTCCAGTCCGGGTCTGTCTCGTCGAAGACATCCAGACGCGCGTCCTCCTTGAAACTCAGCTCCTCATCGGTCTGCTTGGTATAATCGTAGAGTGCCTTGGCTTGATGCGTGGGCGTCGCGGACTCGATGTAGTTGCTGGGCACCAGGCCTTCGGGCTCCTCATCATCGTCCGATGCCGCCTTCCTCTTCACCTTGTCCCAGCCATCGGATCCTTTTTCCAGTACGAACAGCAGATCGCCGTCGTGGATTTCCAGCTCCTCCTCACTTTGCGCGGCATAGTCGAAGACGGCGCGGGCAATTTCTAGGAAGACCATTGTTCATGCTCTGTGGTATGATTATGGATGGTTCCAATCCAAGTCGATCAATCCCACGGGCGTTTCAGCTTGCGCCGGAGATCCCAGGATTGTGGTGTGTCGTGTCGTCGTGGTCGAATAATGTGCATGCTTCGGCCAACTCAGAACTGACGTCTCCCGCTCCGCTTAGCCACGCTACCTGCTTAGCTTCCGTCGTAGTCACGATAGGAGACGCCTCAGATGAAACCCCATTGGAAACAACAATCTGATGATATACTCACATAACGCATGAACGAGAGCGTAGCCAGTTCTCGAAGACGCATGCCACGTGTTATATGCAGACGAACTACTTGGAACCATTCACGTGGTTTGTGCATCCATTCATGCTGTACCTAAGTTCTGTGCTGACTCGCTAGGTAATTAGGAGGTGCATGTATTCACTTCACCTTGAGACTATTGTGCGGTCATTCGCTGCCGCTTTATCTCCTGCTTGTCCTCTTCATCGTCACCGTCATCAATAACAATTCCCACCGCCTCGTGATCAGTAACATCAACAAAGCGTTTCTTGCTGGGCTGCACACCTTTCCCATGCCATCCCACTCGACCCCATAACTGCTCTGCTGGGCTTGTCAAAGGAGCCATTTGATCACGTTCATCAGAATTTAAGGTCATGGCACGAGCACTCTGTATGATCTCGCGAATGCCACCATCATCTTCAAGAGCCTTTGCATTGTCATGCTCCGCTTTGGTCATGCGTCTCGATCTTTCCAGCATCTCCTCCTCCAGCGTACCCTTCAGCACCAGAGTCTCGACGTAGACCTCTCGCGTCTGGCCGATTCTGTGCGCACGTTTGATAGCCTGAGCCTCAATATCCGGGCGGCAAACAGGGTTAACAAAGTATATGCGACTCGCCGACGGAATGTTCAAACCGTGAGAAGCATGCTTGACATCCATCAGCAATACTCGATCCTCCGTCTGCTCTTCAAACTTGGCCACGTACGCTGCCTTTTGCTGCGCTGATAAACTCTTCGCATAGATCTCATGCTTGATGTCAAACAGGTCGAGCATCTGTGCAATGTAGTATGCAATATTGTCTCCTTCGTAGAACACAAGGATTTTTTCATGCGGACAATGCTTCAGTATCTGTGACATCAGGTAGCTCATTTTGGCGCTGGTTGTCCCCACAATCTTGGCTCGAGCGTATGGAGAGCCCAATAGAAGCGCGGTAGCTTGTCCGGGTCCTTCTACTGTCTGATTGATAGGAGCTGAAGGTCGACGCCGCTTGCCCGTGACAGTCTGCTGAGAGGAGGAAACGCGCCGCTTCCTGAGCAGTGTGGGCTCGCCATCTAGGCTGGATCTCGGAATTCCAGACTTTGTCAGTACTGAGTGGTGTTCGCTCTCCTTCTTACTCTGCACTTTTCGCTTTCGCTCTTCGTCCTCGCGGCGCTTTTCTGCTGCCGCCTTGCGATACCGTTCTCTCTTGCGGGCCTTCTTGCTGGCCCTCTTCGTCGCTGTAACTTCCTGTTCGGTTCTAGTTGTAGGTTCGCTTTGAGTACTCGTAGCACCATGCTGGATTTCTGCGGTGTCCACCTTCGCCGCATCTCTCGCGGGAGCAAGTGATTTGATTCCCAGCCCAGCGAGTCCCTCGCCTGGATCGGGCATTGCCACGCGGTGGTTCACAAATCGCTGTGCTTCCAGTAAGAACGACAACCCAGTGAGCACTCGCTTCGATTTCGTTGTTGTCTCGAAAGACCAGTGCTCAGCCGTATCTTCGGGCCAGTCCTCTACAAAGATGCCCAATTCGTGGCACCTGCTCATTGCCTTCCAACCTTCGGACTCGAGAATTGGCAACTCCGTAGACTCCAATGTCGATAACAACAGCTCACGATCTTCCGGAGTACAATTGCTGTCTTCCTTGCTAAGATAAGTTCTGCTGTTTTTCCCCACTGCCACAACATCCTGTGCTTCAAAACCTGTCCACCAGAACGTGGACTGTCTTAGGTTGTTCACTAAGGATATGCGATCTTTCGCGCTGTTCTTGTGGAAGAGATAGTCCTGATCCACACGCTCCGAGGTCACGGCGTTGGCAGTAAGAACAAGCGTAAACAAGTTGGCGATCATCTTGTCGTAGTAGGATGGTTCAATTCGGACAATCTTGTGGTGCAGAGGTGGCAGCTTAAGCTCAACATCGCCTGGCCTTGTCTTAATAACCATGGCCGCGAGTACATGCTCAAAGCAGGCGGAGAATCCGGAGTATGTGTTCGCTCCCTCATGCCGATACACATATTCTTTGAACGCGCCACTGTCACGCTCCGACCAGGGTGTAATGTCCAGAAACTTGCCGGCAATCGCTCCGAGGCTTTCAATAGCGCCAGTACGGTCCAACTTGTCATCGAAATGTCTCCGCTGCTCGAGGAGAGTTGAATACTCATCTGTTGCTGAAACGTCGACCTCGACACCAAGTAGCCCTTTTGCGGGCGTTCCCGATACCAACCAGTTGTGGTCTGCTGTGATCAAATTGCGAACAACCAAGATTGCGTTGTTTGTTTGGCTTGCATAGTGACCTTCGTCGATTAGAAGCCGCTTGAAATGCAATCTCTTAAGCGGGGAGGTATAGAGCATCTCCTCTTTGAGACAGGTACAATCTCGATCCCGCGTTGCTCCAATGTATGCGCAACGACAAGCCAGAGGAGCCTTCACGATGCGCCGTCCATCCTTGTCCGAGCCGTGATTGATTTCGAGCTCAAAGCGGTTGCGAGAAAATAGCACGATATCAAATGTACATATTTCTTCGGGCTCTGGCAGTGATTTTTTCGCATCATCCATTACTAGAATTCGAATGGAGTCCAAGTGCTTCGCAATCTCCGACTGCCATTGTTTCACTAAATTGCGAGGAACGACGACCAGACTTGTCGCTGCAAGCAACATCCTCTCTGGCTTCGGAATAGTTGTGTTCCGATTCCATCGAATGGGCTCAAAGGGGAGCACATATGATGGCAGGCAGTTGTTCAGCCGCTCAATACAGCTGGTGAGCTCCATTCCGGTGGCCTCTTTGATCCTTTCGAACTCGATCTTCCAGGGAACAGAATTGCGATTGATTGCAGCAACTGCCATGTCCGCCAGGCTAGCAACAGATCGACGCACCTCTGGCAGAGCATAAGGAATGGGCACTTTGGGTAGTTGGTGTCTAGTCGCTTGTATCAACGCGAGGCACATGACGGTCTTTCCCAGCCCCATGGTCTCTGATAGTATACCTCCACGACAACGCTGGAAATATCGTGGTTCTCGTAAGAATTCGGTGTCCCGCGGACTGTAGTAGAAGACACGCCCAGATGGAGACACCCTTCTCTCCAATCGAGGATCGATATCGCTTTGATCAACACACTCTCTAGAAAGCATGGCGGCTGCTGCGCGGCCTTGGTAGGGGAACAGCTTCGTGCGGAGTCCTGGAACATTGCCCTCCAGCAGGTCTTCCAGAGCTTCACGCGCATACTTCTCCTTTACGTCGACCGCCGACGGCCGTGGGGAAGGAAGCGTGTTGAACAGATACCATAAGCTGGGATTTCCCTCCGCCCTGGTTGCCCATCTATCGAAGCGTTGCTCCTCTCCAGGGGTATACTGTCCTTGCCATGTGTTGGGAGAGGTATCAAGGTTCCGCAAGACATTGTCGACAGCAAGAGTCAGTCGTCGATTCTGGTGGTTGACGACTCCTCGAGCGACGTCGTGAAATAAGACATGGACACGGTAGATTAGCCATTGGGGCTGCCGCTCACAGCGCTTGAATTGGAGACGAATCCAGTGGCTTTCCAGCAGCTTTGCAAGATCGGAGACAATCGACGCATCGCTTGTCGAGATGGCCGGTGCTCCGCTGAGCCACTGCCACTCCTGGGATTCTCTACTCAGTTCGTCTGTTGACGTATCTTGAAATACCAAGCAACCCAGACCCAAGTAATTCGATGGCACCGCTGCATATGCAGCGGTGTTGGTTGCCATGGCCGGTGCGATTGGAATCGTCGCCCGTGCGTTTGTCTGATCAGCTCATGTCACCCGGCTGTCCGTACAGCTGCAGCCTGGATGGCAACGCGGTGTATGCATTGAGATGGTAAGATCGATATGTCAGGCCAATTCGGGTTTCGTCCAGCCGTGATCGAACTTCACTTTAGAGATGGGRATGAAAGTGGAAGGAAGTGTCGAAAGATGAGAGTGAAAGTCGAAGGTTGACGGGAGTTTAGGCCCATCAGGCAGGCGCATGTCAATACTTATGACACAGACTGTCATGCCTCGACTTTTCGACATGACATTCTCGTATCAAGTCTCACATTTTCCTCCACCTAACCATTATCACTGCATACAGCCGTGAGCAGTTTGATGAGCTTCACCAAGCATCGCTGCTGCGGAAACGATGCATGTCTTCTGACCTCCCTCACTCACTGGCTGCGAAGATGAATCTCGTAAGCACACAATCTCTTCTCGGGTTACTGGTAAAAGCAAAGCCCCAAACTCCCCAACACCGATGCCACTCAATCATTCCAATACAATACTAAGCCCGCTGTCTCCGAGGCCGGCTCACGCGCTACGAGCAGATCTGTTAGGCTGTGGTCGACGGTAGACTGTGGTGTTGGGGAGAAGGGTAAGAAAAAAAAGGACGACTTACAAGAGTGACAGTGTCAGATCACCTCGGATGCTGGCCTTCAACTCAATCTCAATCTCAAGATTTGCCTCGAGGGTCAGCTTGAGCCCTTCGGTATCTTTGAGCGCCTTTCCCTGGCCACATTAGCCAAGTCATTCCGCTCGCAATGATATCCGAATATACACTTACACCGCCTCCTGACTGCTCCTCTGGCTTCATGTAGTAGGGCTGGTCCGGATTCGACCCTCGGACGGGAATCTCTCCTCTCATTGCGCGGGCATGCGTGACCGGTCCATCCATAGAGGTGCTATCGGGACCTATTCGCTCGAAAGGTCGCATCTGATTGAGATCACCATTGGCATCTGCTTCCTCCAACGCCTCTAGGGAAGTGGTCTTTAAGAATTTGCCGTCGTTGATCATCTCCTTAATTCTCTTCCGGCGGTCACGGCGTGATGAGGAGCGCGATCGAGCAGATTCAAGGCCGAGTTCTCGCTTCTCTTTGGCAAGCAGATTGTCCTGTTTMTTTTGCTGCTGGACCGTTCGTTGCTTTGGCGGATTCTCCAGAGTCTCGTCGGTCAAATGCTCGAGTTTGGGCTCCTCGATGTGTTTCCTTCGGTATTCGTCGGTGAAGGTCGACATCTTGTTGCCTTTGCCTCGTGAGTTACCAATTTTGATGACTGTGGTGGGGAGGTACGTTGAGGCTGGACAATCACTGCAAGGGGATGGGAGTAAAGAATTGAGGAGTGCAATTGACTGATTCCTCTGGCTACGATGAACGAAAGACGAGACGACGTAGGTTGGAACCTACCTGATCCACAAATGCCCGCCTTCGACCGTCAGACTCTCAGCGGCTGTAGGCGAAACCTGCTTGACCTCGATTGTGCAACCATCACAAGCGACCCACGAGGGTGGAATCCCTGTCAGCATCCACTGTGATCCGTGCGCTCAGCCACACTTGAAGTCATCGCACAAATTCTGACCCATGCCATGGCTGGCCGATACGGCGGGTATCGGAATGGGGAGTCTTTGAATCCTGCATTGATGTTGACATTGCGTAGTATAAGCTCACGGTTCGACAGAACCACCACGCGTCTTGCTAGGCGAACCAAGAAAGCATCGTGGCATCAAGGTATGGGTTGATGAGTATGGACTTGGCACTGGATTCCATCCCCGTCCACCTGTGTGGCATGCGGGAGACATGACCAGCAAAGCACTCTCTGAGCGAAAGAACATTTGAGATGCATTCGTTTCCGCTACAAAATATAAATCATGCCAACACCACAAAGTGTCGTTTAAAACAGTCCGCCAATCCAGACGCCTCATTGAAAGCATTAACTCAGTTTAATAGACCCAGCGTCAAGTCACCGTGAATCTTCGCCTTGAGCTGAATCTCGATATCAAGATTGAGCTCCAATCTCAAACGAAGCTGTTCGCCACCCTCTCCCTCCTCCGGCTTCTTCTCCTTGTCCTCACCGCCACCAGTCAAGCCACCGAGAGCTTTGCCGGCTCCACCTCCACCAGTCAGACCACCTAGAGCTTTCCCAGCCGTGTCTCCAACTTGACCAACCGCATCGCCAGCAGTGTTCTGCACGAGGTCGCCAGCTTGGTTAACGACTTCGCCGCCAGGAACCTGCTCTGTGATGTCGTCGAGCGGTCCACCTCCAGAGTTTTTGGATTGGGCGCCCTGTTTCTTCGCACGTTGCCTCTGACGGCGACCTCCAGATGCACTGACGTCGCTGCGAGCAATAGACTCGGTGTCGCTCTCCTGAACCGCGGCTCCTCCTTTGCGACCACGTCCACGGCTTTGKCGTCGGCGAGATGGTTGGCGTTGCTGCTCTGGCTCTGGTTCTTGCTCTGCGTCGGCCTCGACCGAAGCTTGCTGGTCAGCTCCAGCATCGGCATCATCTTCTTCGGGAGATGGTGTTGGCTGTTGCTGTGGTGGTTTTTGACCGCCTAGCTTTTTGGGGGTCTTCTTGACGGATTTGCTGTTTGCTTGGGCGCTGCCAGACGCATTTGCTCCTGCATTTAGGCCACCCTCTGCGTTCATTGACGCTGATTGCTCTTCCTGTGTGGACATTGTGGAAATCTTCGACGATGACTCAAAGTTTGATAGCTGAAGACGTGGGTGCGTGAATGGGCAGAACTGGAAAGGAAATGTGCAGAGTAACGACCAAACACAATTAGGTCAACGACAGAGGAGCCAAACCTGTTTCTCGGACAATGTAGCGACGCATTTCGTACTCCTTCGCCTTGGAGTCTGACGCAATGGCAACTCCATATTCCAGCCACAACTTGCAGGGGTATGTCCAGCTGCTGCGTCGGGCAGTTTCACCGTTGCTCGGCTTCACGCAGCATCCACAACGGGTAGACTTCCGAACAGCGTGCGCGGCCATGCTTGGTAGCATTATTATGGGCCATGTGGCGCACTGCCTTGGTTGGRCGTATCGTGTGTAACCGAGTGACCTGAGTGCTCCATTCATTCTGCAGTTCTGATCATTGATGCTTGTCCAAGATCCAGATCCCGGCGTGTCAATGCTGGAATGCTGATCTGATGTCACATTCTCGCAGGCAAGTGTCCAGCTGATGATGACTGCATGAGTTCGTAGAAAATACTTCATAATGTACGCAGGATGAAAGAAGGGGCCAAGCAATTCGACTTTTCGAGCGCTGCCCAGAGTTTGTGCCGCGACTTTATCACTTGCAGGCATCATGGTTCTTCTGCGTGCCTGAGGCTTCTAAGGTCACGTGATGTGGGATTCTGACATCCTTCCCGTCMCTCTCGCAAGTTACAGAGATCCGCTCTCGCTAGGTATACTCATACGAGAATTGATCCGCTGCCAACACACCAGCGCTGGAGGACAACACGCAACACGGCGCACTTTGGCAAAGAAATACGCTAGAAGTGCTGTCTCAGTGGTTGCAATCGAGAGCATTCCCGAATGRAGTTCATCGTGGGTCTCGAGATCGAAGACCGTGAGGAACACGACCAGTGCGTGTACTGCCCTCCCCGAAAGGACTCGACAAGAACCCTCCGATGCAAAAAGACCAGGTCCGGATGGTATTGAAGGTTGCCGGCTCTCCTTGAATGAATCGACGACAATGCTCGCCAATAGGTAGCTACAAGCACAAAAAAAATGTTGCCTTGCGGAGAGTCAATTGCGACGGCGCAAGATCTTTAGATACCACAGGTAAGGCGGCAATCCGCGACTTCACCTGGCCTTGGACGCCGTATGCCGCAATTCAATAGCCGGCGCATGCCAGCCTCTAATTGGCATACGTTCTCTACCAGCACATCGAGTAAGTCAAACCCGCACGCGTTGTTGAAGTTCCGGCTAGGAAACAGAGATCCTATCCCTTTGTGAGTTAAATGGTCCTCACTTCACATTACCWCTTCAGCTTCAGCTTCGGCTTCACGTGCAGGGACACTAGTCTCGATCACGTGGTTCCTTTCTTCTTATATATCTTGTCCAAAGCCACTCGATACATCTTTCCCCGAACAACGTCCATGGTCACGGCTACGGCGGTCACGGCCACGGCGGTCACGGCCACGGCGGTCACGGCCACGGCGGTCACGGCCACGGCGGTCACGGCCACGGCGACGGCGACGGCGGTGGCCAGAATCAAGGCGGGAACCGTGCCAAGCGCTCCAGCGTCTGAAGGACGGAATGGCGGTCACGCAGCATCAGCAGAGAAATGATCGGACGGACCGCTTTAAGAAATCACACACCGAGAAGATAATGGTAAGGCGCTTGTGCTCCAGGGCATTCTCGCGTTACATCGCGGATCTCTCTGAGGTGAAGGGCGTCTATGCCCTTTTGGGGGCTCCCCTGGGATCAAATATGGGATACCTGTTAAGAGACCATTTCGACGACATTGGGCGTAAGACTATCGTCAGAATCTGCGTGAGGTAGCCTCTCGGCGCAGATGAAACGACAGCTCATGCGCACTCTATGAGCTGGAGTAGTTGCGGCCATTTCCACGCTTTGGATGCGCTGCGTGTCCTTGCACAGCACGAATCGGACTTTGGGGTGGCAGCCGCAGAGATTCGAAGATAGGCACACAAGAGACGGAGCGAAAAAGTGCGTGTCTCGTGACTGGACAAAACGGCGGCATTCACAGCCTGGGACTTTCAACAGGCGCTGAAGACAATTTGCAAGCGGAGAGGAATGCACTCTATGCACAAAGGCGTCTGCTCGGTGGACCCCGGGAGGAAGAGGGAGAGCTTCAGAAATGGAAATTGTCGAAGCTGATGGATACATTGACAGCCAGGGCGAAGATGTCAGCGTTGACACGGACAGGATTGAATATGGAGCCGCTGGACATACGCAGCCTATTTCGAGGCCAGTTCGCAAAACTGCGGGGCAGAGCGCACTTTCCGAGAGGAGTGGGTGCTGCGAACGGCAGAGCGAGTCGCAGTACAGAACACGGCCAGCGAGCGCAATCCCCGTTTCCACACGAACCCTCGTCTGTAACTCGCCCTGTGCGTCAGATGACTGCATCGCGGTTTTTGACCCATCCTGATTAATCTGCGTATATTCACCAAAGAAGAACGAAGACGACCACCGAAGGGAAGCGGAAGCAATCCGCAAAGTAAAGCGCCAGTTTCCAAGTCCACCCCGGGTCACAGTAGCCTTTCACACCTCTACTATCTCACTGTTTCCAATCTCAATGACTATCATCACAACATCCTCTCACACATCAGACGCAACAACAACACTCGACCATAGAGGAATCCCCGAACAGACAGCGACCGTAGAACCGCATGCATCCAGCGGAGACCACATACCCCCCTGGAGACCACCACCGTAGCCTTGCGAAGCAGCAATGGCGTCGCGACGATGAGAATGATTTAGCCATTCCAGAACTCATAACGAGCTACGACAACCTGGCCACGCATCTTTTGAGGTACTGGGCACGGAAGTGATTCACTCAAATGACCCATGGATTGCCAATTCGGAACGCACAAATCAGACTCTGACCTTCGTACTTTGATGTCACGCGATGGAGTACCCTCGTTCGCCTTGGTCCGGGTGGGGAAAGGATTGACGATGAACGCTTTGCTCCGGAGTATTGAAAAAAAAACTTGAATATTTGGATATAACCCTAAAACTGCATATTTCCCTCTAAGACTGAACCAGAATTTTCCTTGTACATATATAAACAAGACCTAACCTTCTAAGCTCCATATTGCGATAAATGTAAAAAGARGGTGCTACCCAAACCCTAACCCTAGACTACGGAGGAGGGCATGAAAAGGAGGCAGTACTGTTGGACTGGATCGTCGAATTGTTATTTGATTGTTTGTTCAGAGCACTTCTTCTTCTTCTTCTCCTTCAACACCGCCGTCACTTCTCGAAGTGTCGCACTCGGTATGTGTGTTTAGATGGCGATGTTGTCGGATCCCATGGAAGTTTTAACATTGATGAGTATTTTGGAAACATTCTGTGAATCTTAAATACAACCTATCTGGTACAACTAAGCTTGCTTTCAATTTTGTACATACTACTCCGAAAGCGCTTGAATCATCGCATAATACACCGAAGGAGACATCTCCTTATCATGCAACTTACCCTGCGAATGTTGACTTACAAAAGCCCGCATCCACGTTGCAGGAGTGGTCAATTTCCCACTCGCTCTCGCGGAGAGAAATCTCAAAGAATCGAGAATCTGCTGCCTTTCATCCTCGGGTAACTCGCAGATGGAGCGATACGCGAGATAGTCCTTTGCTAGTGGGATGAAACCTCTCCATGATCGACCAGAGTCATCGCGACCTCCATTAAAAATGGTATCCAGATTTGCCCAKCCTTCGAATTCGAGATCTTCTTCCGCGGACTGCCGCTTTGTACGTGCAGAGAACCAGAAGACCTGGTTGGAGACCGCTGCTTGAGAGCTCGCGCGATCCATGTTTTCCTCTACGGTTGATATGGGAATTCTCAAATCCAGATCGTAGTGCTGTATTGTCTGATGTAAGATTCTTGTGCCTGCAACCAGTGCGGCATTCTCCTTGTCGCTGGGCTGTGCTTCGATCGGACGAAACTCGAGTCGCCAGGGAAGAGACGGGCCTTCGTCGGACAAAACGGGAAGCTTCAGTCTAACGTGTGGCCACCAGGTTGACATATGGACATGTAAGAGTTCGATTCTAGTCCGCTTGGCATCTTGTGAGGTATCGTCCTTGTCGGGCATACTCGAAATTCCCATCAGTGGGTCTCGACTCAGAATGTGGCTGAAATAGGTAGCAAGTGAGTTTGGCAGGTCTAGCTCGTGGAGGTCAGGGCTGAGCTCTTCGAGCATGTGCAAAGGACGGTCGTTCAGCTTTGAAGCAGAGGGGCACTCGGCAAGATACATTGGCGTACAACCCATGCGTGGGTGAGTGCTTGGTTTCTCTTGGGACTTGCGATCGTCGGCGCTCATGCACATGGCTGCCCAGCGTGTGTCAGTGGCCACAAGCCGGCCCTTGTAAATCGGCGTCGCGGCGCTTATTGCCAGCATCAGAGGTCCCAATGGTATCAGCTGGTCGTGAAGTTCGCAAGCCTCTTCCAAGTCCCTGGCGGAGAAGGTTACCTGCAAACCGCAACCTCCCAAGCCGTGGATTGGATCATTAAGCTGGACTGCGGTTCCCTGACGCGCAGCAGTACTGATTTCGCCACCATAGTTACCTTCCGACTCTCYCGCCCTATTGAGAACACCATTCATCAATTCCTGATAGCGCTGTTTATGAGTGACCAGCTTGCTGAGATCTGTGTCCATATATGAAGAGCCCAGAGTCGCAACGTTGGTCAACGTTACCACTCGCTCATTTCCAGTCAAACAGCTGCGAATCATTTGACGCCTGCACTCTCTAGTTAGCACGGCACCGTATAGTTCTCCTGTAGGGCAACATACCTATCTCGCATGTTCTGTTCGACATGAGCAAGATCACGCAGCGAATCGGTGTAAGGTTGGCGTGGCTGACTCTCCAGCATGTACTGATACGCTTCGGCATCGAAAGACTCCTCTTGCCATAGCTTCTTGAGATCGRTCAAGATGTTTGAGCATCGCAGGGAAAGGTGGACCTCGGAAATTTTCTCTTCCAGTCGAAGTGCCAAGTATTCGACCTCGTCACCCCAAAGGGATTCTGTAGCGTGGTATGCTTTCAGCKATGGCCAAAGCTCCACTAGAGTCTGTCAATGGTTAGTGATTTGAGCGATCGTCCGCGAGCTTGTAGTATGTATGGAGATATGTACATACCTTGATGTGCTGTTGCTTAATAGAAAGGAGTTGCTCTCGAGATACTGCTGAATTGTACGCCATGGCGAGTGATGCTGGAGGAATTCTCTTGCAACAATCCGTCCTGGGGTTATGAATACTGTTATGAACCTACGTCGACCTTCTTCTTCGTGCTTTTCTTGACCATGTGCTGTCGTCATCGTAGCACCATGTGCAACGGGTGACAGGCCGGAGCAAGATCGTCTTGAGGGTTTCACTATTACCCCGGGGGGGACATCGAGCAGACCACGCATTGTGTGTTGTCCCATTTGGTCCACGTTGCGAATGGATAGCTCCACTGCGATCACTCTCACGCGCTCGCGATACGCGGGGAATGCGTTATGTCTCAGACACGTGCATGGAGGTACCGCCTTGACGGTGCGGGTGTTAGCCACCCCACCACTCTGCACGAGGTCAGATGATGCCAGAGACTACCGATTTCCGTATAACGACGCGGAAGGTACAATCAATGATTCTGCAACAAGGTTTGATGGAGGCCTCTCCCCGGTCGGCGGTGTGTGATTTTTGGAGACAACCAAGCTAGTACGGTAAGGATCCTAGTCTATCGCGCTAGATCTACAATGCACAGACCATATTCCTGGCAAACCAGACCAGACTACACCTCAACATCAACCAGCAAGAGAAAGAAGCAAAAGACCGCAATCAACCAGCCAGCCGAAAAAGTCAACCACAATGGCAGAAATTTCTCCCGAAGACCAAGCAGCCAAATCCCGAATCGTGAAGCACATGAACCAAGACCATCATGACAGCGTACGTCCACATCCACCCATACATACAATGAAACAGTGCCACGGGAACCTGTAACCCAGAAAAAACGAACCTGACCCTACCCATCTCCTCCCAGATCATCCGCTACCTCCAACACTTCTCCAACCTCTCCATCTGGACAGCCTCCTCAGGCCGTCTCCAGGACATGGATCTAACCTCCCTAACCCTCACCTGCAAAAACAAAACCTACCGCATCCCCTTCACCCCACCTCTGAAATCCTACCGCGAAGCCCGAGAACGCGTAGTACAACTCGACAAAGAATGTCGCAAAGCCCTGGGCCAATCGGACGTCACGGTCAAATCCTACATCGTTCCTACAGGTTACCATGCAATCCCCTTCCTTGTCGTTCTGGCCACTTTTATAGCTTATAGTCAGCGCGGATGGTTCGCTCCGGGCCAGATCGTGGAGAGGATTCTAGGATCCGGTTTCGCGAATTTCAGCTGGATGATTCAGCCCAAATTGTTGGCGGGTTTGATCGTGATTCATGGAGGGGAGATGCTATATTTTGCGGCTGTCAAGCTGAAGCGTCATTCTGTGAATATGAGGTCGTCTGCTTGGTGGCTTTGGACGGCGTCGACTTTTATCGAGGGGCAATTTGCTTATAAGCGATTCGATGCGCATGTCAAGGCGATTAGAGAGAAGCAGAAGCATTGAGAGGATGTAAAGAAAGATGCATTCAGGGGAATCATTCGGGCTATTGCCGTACCAGCAGGCAATTCTGTGCTGTCTGTTATGTTCTGTATTCACATAATATACTACTAAAACTCGCTCAATGCCAAAGAAAGTAATTCGTCACAATCCGTCCCGCTGGGTATACTATCAATCCACGCATTACTTTTCCGGACCTCCAGTCCCACTTCCGGTCCGAAATACAAGTCTCCTGGTCCCTCCGGCCTTGCCCAATTCCCCAAAGTACTTCTCCTTGGAAGCACTTTCTTTGCTCTTCTCTGCGCTGGCCTTTGCCCGCTCAATCATCGAGTCGACCCACTTCGCTTTGTGGTCTGGTAAGCCTCGCCTTCCGGTGCTAGAAGGCCCTGCCAATCCATAGCCATCGGCAGTGGTACTCTGCCGCGATGATGGGCGGGATGATCCCAAACCACCATGACCATTTGCCGTCGTGGGTCTCGAGTTGGAGCTCCCGTTGCTTGACTTTGGCCTCGGTGTCCCGTATAGCGTCGGTGTCTGCGCACGAGCAGCGAACGGGCTTGCATTCGTCACATCCGCAAGCCCGCTAGATCCGGGACGGTGCTGTGACCATTCTTGCTCGCCATCACGGCTTCCTGGTCGGAACGGTGTCGCATCAGGAACAGGTGTAGTCGGTGCTGTTCTAGGCTTCAACTCCACAGCCCCACTAATCCTGCGGGGATGGCCATTCAACATCGGCTGCAACTCCAACCCGCCATCCGAGACCGTCCGTGAACCATGGTGCTCTGCATACTGGCGAAGGTAATCGGCCAGATCCGCCCATCCGCCACCAACCCGCACCATGACACGCTCACCCTCGCCCACGAGACGAACAAACAGCTTGATAGGCTCATCTCGACCGGATTGTGTGAGATGGTAGAGTTTGACTTCGGAGTCTGAGGCAGAGATGTACTTCTTAGGTGATGGCTCTGCCGGCGCAATCATCATACCTGTACGGGAAGGAACGCGAGGGGTGGGAGCATTCTTCAGGCGGGGACCCACTGATGCTTGACCGTCTGCTGCGCGATGCTGATTTACTGGTGTCTCTGCGCCTGGTCTGGATCGAAACTTGATGGGCGCTGGAAGCGTGCTGAGGACCTCTGAGACGTGACGATCAAAAGAATCTTCCCCCTGTCGAGAATTCGCCGTCTTCTTAGAGGGCGAAGCTGGGCTTAAAGTGTATGTGGGCATGCTGTTCTCGTCGTTGGCTTTACCACGACGCTTCATCATCACAGCATTAAGTGGTGCTGGTCTGGTCGGAGATGCAGGCTCTCCGTTCGTAATTAGGGTGGCTTCTTCGACAGGAGAGCTTGGTAGGACTKGAGTGGTGAGTGGAGCCAAAGCTTCCTCGGCGATTGCACAACTTGAGTGATTTGAAGCTGAGGTCGGAGTGTCTGGCTCATAAATGCTCGCAGAACATGCATCCAAGGCCTGGTCTATCTGCGTGGTCTCTGTTGACTGTATCGTGGCTTCTGGCGTGTATTCTGGGGAGGAAGTCTTGTTTACAGACAAACTACGCCTTGGGGATGGCGAACTTGGTCTTTTCACATCGATACTCTTCAACTCCGAACGTGGGAATGCCTCGATGAAAGTTGCAGAGGCACGCTTGACCCATTTTCGCTCATCCTCTTCTGTGCCCAGAGGCGAGGTGACCGAGTCAATTTCGAGCATCGTCGAGGGAGTACTGGGTGCCGCGTTGTCCAGATAGCTCGAATTAATGCTCGATCTTCTGACAAGTCCGGGTCGCTGTGATTCTGGTATTGAAAGTGGCCTTTGAGACCCGGTCCAAGATGGTGATCTCTCTGGCACATTGACTGAGCCCGGTGTCTCTGATGGCGGCTGTGGTAATGTCTCCACAAACATTCTGTCAAACGCATCTGTAGCCAATGGAGTCATTGGTGATACAGTCCCATCGCGTGGGCCATCGACCCCTCTCGGAGGCCTCTCGCCATGCTCCACTCCGTACACAACGAGTGAATCGCCAGTCAGTTCTGACGGTCCTGGCTCTGCATCTGGGGTTTGTATACCAACCGCTTGCTCTCCATACGAAGAGCGATCAACATGCTCAAGCTGTTGTCGACTGTCTTCTTGTTTTAGGGCCGCGTCAGACTCTCCACCGAGAGGCCAGTCTTCCGGCACCTGTACCTTGTCGGGTGAAGTAGGCGGTGGCGAAGGACCTCGTGGCTTGTATGTCTCCGGTATGATGTGACCGAAACCATCAGCTCCCTGTACCACATACACAGGTTCTTGAGGTGTGGCATTTGCGCTGCTCGTGCGATGTGCTGGAGTCGCATTGTTACGGAGGGTTTCCCTTGCTGATTCGCTTTCATGGCTGGTAACTGGCATACCCGCACCCCCTGAAGAAAAGACGGTTTGCTTCGCTGCTACTCCAGTCGGACTCTCGGAATTCGGAGCGGCGACAGAAGCTGCAATGACTGAATTGAGCTGGGTATTGAAACCCGACTTACCGCTCCCCGACCTCATCGGCACAGGCCTAGCTTTCTCTGGGATGTGGTCCTTTTTGAAAAGCCTGGTGAACGCGTTACTAGCATGTTCAAAAGGTCTCACAGGACTCTTTGAGGCCAACTTGAGCGAATTTGTGCGTTCAATGTCGTTCAGGAATGCGGCCCGTCTCGTCGCAACCGAGCGACCGCCAACTTCTGCTTGTGTGGCACCCTCACTGACTGAGCGGTTTGAGATGGGTTCTTCAACATTCAAACTGAGTCTCTCACTGATAGATCGCATGTTGGAGTTTGTAGTCTGTAACGAGCGACTGTCCCGTGGCAGGGCAGGAGTTGGTACAGCTTCAATACTGGGAGAGCTGGGTTGTAATTCATCGCCAGAAGTTTGGTCAAAGTTTCCAAAAGGATCATTTGATAAGGAAGTCTCCGCGGACATGCGACGCACAGCTTCTGCGTCCTGAGAAGGTGCTTCGAGTTCTGGAATATGCTCGTTGGCTCCAATGATCGTTCGAGCGGATTGCGATTCTCTCRACCGACGCCACTCACTCTCCAGGAGCCTCCGGTCAGCTTGAGCGACCCAGGTACCATATGCAGATTCCAAGTTCTCAAAGTCATCGATCCAGGAATCCGGTACACGATCTTCGCGGCCTTCCAGATCATCGAGAAATCGGTCCAGCTTCCTACCAAGGGATCCCACCTGGCGTTCAAATGAGCTCTTCAATTGAAATACCGCCTCTCTGTTGATGGTGGATTCCTCTACCAATGAAACTGATATCGTCGCCCATGCTCGATTCAACTCGGCACGTGTCCGCTCCAGGTCGCGCAGGTACTGCGGTGCGTTCCGCAAGATGATCAATCGAATTGTCCAGACGTCCATCAACTTGCTCAAGTGCGAAAGGTACGGCAAGGCTTGTAGAATCGTTGCAGTCACCAGCGCGGTGAAGTCGTCGAGTCGCTTGATGTCGGACGACACCATGTCCAGCGTGCTCATCGTGCTAAGACGGTGACTTCTCGATGGCGGCCGTGAGCTAGCGCGATAGTGCGAAGACAAGACGTACTCCTTCAACTCCTCCACGTCCATTTCGTCCAGCAGCTGGCCAATCTCGTCGGCGCGTTGTTCGTATGCTCTTACAGTCTTTGCCGGCAGACTTCCCCAGTACTCCTCGCCGTCTTCGCCTATCGCCGATCCACCTCCACTGCGCATACTCCTCCGCACGAATTCCGGAACGTCGAAACTGCGGGGCCATGTCCAGCTCTCCATCTCTCTCRTCCATGTCCGCAGATCGAGACATGACTGTGCAGCCTTGACACCCAGTGCTCGCTCAGATTCCGAAGAGGATGCGATGCTGCGAGCCAGCACATCGGCGCTTGTGCTGCCCAAGGCCATGTCGGCCGAGCTGGGGTCGGCACGAAAGGCCTGCAGGGTGGTGGTTGGCGAGAGGTCGCGCAATAACAAATCGACGTCGCGTGGGCGAGCGGTTGAACGAGAGGCAGTATGCGCGTGCAGACTGCTGAGTCGCTTGGTCCTCTTGACGGGCGACGGCAGTCGAGGCGCAGATGAGAAAGGATTGCCGGCGAACGACATGATGAAATGGGCGCGTAATTGTACCTATTCTGGGGGATTATCGACAGCTATGACCGAGCATGGGCATGGCCATGAGTAGTGGTCGGTCGGATTGTGACACGCGATGCTTCGTAGCAGGAGCAAGCGGGAGCAAGCACATTGAGACTTTAGTTTGACTCAAGTCAATGCAAGCGAGACATGGACTCGCGAGGCTGGCCAGCAGCGCCCGGGTGTTGGCAGAGTCGCGGTCAAGTTCAGTACCGCGATAATGCACAAGCATTAGAGGAAAGGAAAGAAAAGGACAAAGGGAACCTGTTTTGGGAAAATCGGTGATGATGAAGCAAGCTTCGGAAACCTGGTAAAGGATAACGTTAGGTTGGGTGCCACGCGAGATCGGGGTTGTCGTTGCGGTGCCGCGGTGTCGGGGGGGCCCGTGCTGAAGTCTGCAGAAGGCAGGTACAGGGGATCACAATAATACTTTGCAACATCATCAAGTATCAGCACCAGTGTCACCCAGTTTCGTAGCACATCAACCCCCGGCTACTGACGTTTGAGAGGATCGAGCCTAGGTACTGCATCGCTCATCAAGCCTTCGATCCACCGTCGGATGATGTTATTACGTACATCTCCTCAGATACCGCCTCCCCCCTACAAGTGCACACAGGAGTGACCACACACCAGCACTCTAACTCGCGGCTGTGAAGATCATCCGAACATCCTGGTTCAAAGGACAAACCTTGCCATTGATGTGCCACACTGTGCGTCCCAGCAACTTTCAACCGCCTCTTACATCACATCAACACAGCGCGGGTATGTTTCCTCTGGCGTCGCCAGCATTTGTCCACTCGGACAGTCTCCTCGCGGCCATTTTGCTCGCTTCCCTCCGTCCAGGCCGGTCTCTGTAAATGTCGCAAGCCCCTGTGCAGAAGGAGCAGTCGCTACGAGGTGCATCACTAGAGTCTTCTTGGTTTGGAGGGATTGTGGATCTTGCACTGCCTTTTCTGGGAACAGCGCCATTGGAATTTGGCTTTCTAATGCGCACTGTACGCGAAGCCTCTTGACGTCCACCACTAGACTTGAGCTATGGCTTATACTTTCCATCATTCGCACTATCCCGACATGCTGCGGCCGTCGACAATGCCTGTTACTGCCTGCAACGCCCTCGATCCTTCATTGATTACTGAGCAGGACGCCATCCAGGATCCTCTCACAAAAAGCAACTCTGCCGGAAGACTCACCATGGGGCTTTGAGTGCCACATCGACCATGCTGATTACTTCTCTGCCGCCGGGGAAGTGCCTTGAGACTTTGCTCGCCAGGCATGTCTCATCACCAGAAGCTCACAGACCATTCAGGATCCTCGATTCAATCCCACGATTTCCTTATTGAGAAGGATTCAAAGGTGGTCGAATTGTACCACCATGAGTGTTCGTTGGAAATACAGCGCTGTGAAAATACCGAGTCATCATCCTCGAAGGCTGGCATTGCACTCCCTGTAAAACCAGCAACGACAATCGCGGCAAGTAACCAGAGTTATGATTTGGTCGTTCTCACTCAAGCCGCGTACGAGAGCATGGCTTTTCTGCAAAGACCAGCCATGCTCAAGAAAGCGCTGAGAGTACTTCGTCTGGGCGGCTGCCTGCTGCTAGAATCGTCACTCGTGGAGATGGAGGACTGGAGGCGGCCTCGTGAAGGTCATGCACTCGACAACATCGCGGAGAGAAAGGCCGATCGGCCTGTGACCTCCAAGGCCCGTCTATAACAAGACAGATTTCCATCACTAGCCTCTCGGCGACGGATATTCATTGAGACTCGACGCATCCTTCAATTGTGTGGCTTCTCAATCTCACCTTTCACTGCTACGACTGGGTATCAGCACTACATCCTGGCCCAAAGGCCGCACTTTATCGTTAACGAAACGGATGCACACATCACTCGACAAAGACGACAATCTATCGATATCGGTTTGCGTCWTGATAGACTTGACTGTTTTCGATGTCGGCCCAGTCTCAGGGATCAGCAGCTCGGCAAATTCCTGCACTATAATCGATGCCAGTATCTCGATGGCTTCTTTGCGACTTCTCAAGGCTTTGCCTCTTTGATAGCATCGTCGGCATAGTTTCTGGGAGGGTTGATCAAGTGGAGCAACTGGTATCCCAACGCCTCTTTACGGGCCTCCTCGCCTGTTCAATCGTCAGTATGTGGCTTTCAGAGTAATACAACGGACCCACTGCTCCCGATCGAGTATACAAGTTCCCGCACACGAGCACCACATCTGCGTTCGAGAAAGTGATTGTTGTGGCTGTCGTCGATGGAAGTGAAGCACGGCTAGTCGATCAAATGATGCAAAATACCGTTAGAAACAGTGGCTGAAAGCGGGAAGATGCTCGTCTGGTCTTTCATGACCTGACTAGTTCACAGGGCCCGGTGTAGTTCATCCGCGGACGAGATGCATCGTCTGTTTGTCAGGAGACTGAAGGTGCGAAGGAGACTTCCATGATTCATTACATCACCGACGGGCAAGTTTGAATGTCTGTTTTCAATTCTTTGCGAACGCAAAACTGGATGTATAAGACATAATACTGCCTGTTCAGTGATGAGTACCTGGTATCCTGCACTTTTGGAATATCGGCCTCAAACTGAGCTATGTATTGAAACGTGAATAAATTCGTGTTCGGGGTTTGAGATGGGATTATGCGTCGATGTCGAATCCTTCTCGTGCGAATTACCTTGGTTTGGAAAGTCGCAGCTGCTACTACGGGGCATCGAATTCAGGAAGACAAGAAGTGCCGGAAATGTGTTTAAATGTCATGGTAGGGCATTGTACAACGCGATGGGACAACGCGAGCAATAATTCTTTTATTAAGTCATAAAGTGACTGAGTATGAGGACTTGAGCTGAACAGAACGACTCCTTGTAGCTGCTTGTAGGACGACTCCTTTCCTCCGACTCATAAGACAACTCGAACTCCACGAGTCGTTTCCTTTGGCACACCTCTCCCTCATCAACTACATCTCCCTTCTCTCTCTCTCTCTCTCTTCTCTGGCTTACAAGCCTGCGGGCATCAGACTGTCAATCGCAGTCATGGCATCATATGCCTGACCCAAGTAATTCGTCGAGAAGTCGTCTTTCTGCATCAGGCTTTCCATCTCCCACATCGTTTTCTTCCATAACAGGCTCCGAATACCAGCCGTTTTGAGGCGGTATRGTGTCAAAAGAAGAGCATTGATCCTTCCATTGGGCATGAGGATCGATCTGATGTACTCCAGGACGAATTCGAGCTTGATCTTGAGGTCTTGGCAGGTGTTTTGAAGGTTTTTGATCGAATTGTGAGGATTTTCGGCTGAGAATCCCTTGAATTCGTCGAGAATTGTGAGAATCTCGCAAACTTTTCCAAACCTGTCGCAGATTTGGAGTCCCATGATGGGATTTTGGGAAATTGATCCCGATGGTCCAGCGGGAATTGCTGCGGCGGCCGCAGCCAGCGGTGCCGTTGTGGCGGAGACGGCGGGCGGAGAGTCGTCGGCGGACAGATCCATCCACACTCGTAAAGCAGCTCGCTGCTGCTTGCGTGCAGCTGCCTCCGCGAAGATCCAAAGCACGCCAAGTGCTCTCTCTTCGTCGGTGAATGATCGCTCGATTCGAGCCAGGGTTGCAGTGCTCCGGGAAGACTGCGTCGTGTCGTAGCGCATTGTAGTGTGTGGGAGAATGGGTTCTTGTGTGATGGTTATGTACGGGGTATGGAAGGGAAGCTGGCGAATGAAGAAGAGAAAATGGCGAGCGCAGCATTCCAAGTTTTGATCTCGTTTGGGCAAGAAATGTTGCTATTGTGTTGCAGCGAGTTTTATTTCCTATTGATTGATGTCGATAGAAATATGTTGATTTCTCCTATTGTCATTAATCGGGAAGGAGCGTTGGCTTGGCGCACTTCCCAATCAGGAAGCCGATGGGTGAAGCATTCACGCACAGAGCACTGGCGGGGTGCGCTCAGCAGTCTCGACATCGGCACTGCACGACTGGGCAGCATAATACCGTGCGGTGTACCTTATACAGCAAGAACTTACAGAAGGCAGTTTGTCTAGATGGATGAAGCTCGCTTTGTGTGAACCTTGTATACATGCCATGGGGTTATAATCGCTGACTTTGCTGCTCCAAGACCTTATATTCAGTCAGCACAATAGCACAGTGAGGTGAACTCATGGCACATGTACGAATAGTCATGAATTGGACGGCAGCAAGTACTCACATGCACACGCGCGAAGCATTCCAGAAATCAAGCTGGATATCACACTTATCGCCGCAGACAGATGACTCCTGTCATACATACTCGAGAGCACTTGTGAAGAGTGTCACGAGCAACGCCAGTKGTGATACTCAGCATATCTTCATGCATTGCACGCTCTCTCGCACGCTTTGCTGCACGACGTGCGGACACAGCATGAGACAGCTGGCCTGTTCAGCTCCATCTATCCGAGACACCGGCCCAATGTCACAGCCCACCAGGGAATGCCTGGATGCCGTAGCAGAAACGAAGTTTGCGCTGGCCACGTCTCCGGTTCTGCGCGTCGGCGGGCAGAGTAGTCTGCAATGTTTACGAGATAGAGCAAGTGAGTCAGTCGTCGAAAGAACACGTTGAGTGGTCTGCACGTATATGTGGGGTATGAAAGGAGATGTGGCAGGAAGATGGGAATTGGTGATGTTTTTAGCATTGCGGCTAAACTGCCGAGGAAGTCCATGGAACCTTAGAAAGACCAGGGTCCTGAAAAGCAGCTGTGGACAACTTTCATCCAGCGACGTGGTCTCTTGCCGAAGCCATACTTCTCTTCGCGCTTTGCACTTTGCACTTCTGCTTCATTGCATCGACATCTCCTTCTTCTGCTCCTCCACTGACAGCTTCCGACAGCTGCATTGGCCACTGCCTACACAACTCCCGTCGTTGATAGCAATCCAGCTCGACTCCCAGCAGGGCACACGACAACACCCCATTCCCACACCCACAACACCGGCCTCTGGTACAAAGATGGCACGGTACTCGCGAAACAGAAGCAGCCCCGCGCGGCCTAGCATGTCGCGCTGGATGATGGCTCTCTACGTGTGTGCTGTCCTCCTTGCACCAATGCTCTTCATGGGCATGATCCCCACCGCCCGCGCACAAGAAGAAGCCACCGATGCCTCCAAGGATGGTGTCTCAGGCCCAGGTAAGCCAACAAACACGTGGTCAAGCCCCAACTCGAGGACAGTTGGCTAATGCACAATTCGCAGTCATCGGCATCGATCTCGGAACCACGTATTCTTGCGTCGGTATCATGAAAGGCGGCAACGTTGAGATTCTCGTAAACGACCAGGGTAACCGAATCACACCGTCATGGGTGGCATGGAACGATGAGGAGCGTCTTGTTGGAGATGCGGCCAAGAACCAGTTTGCCTCAAACCCACACCGCACAGTCTTCGACATCAAGCGTCTTATCGGACGCAAGTTCAACGACAAGGATGTTCAAAAGGACATGAAGCACTTCCCCTTCRAGGTCATCAACAAGAACGGTCAGCCTCAAGTCAAGGTTGAGGTTGCTGGGTATGTTTGACTGCCATTATCCGACACACTGCAAATTGTAGCTAACATTCGCACAGCTCTGACAAGAACTTCACACCCGAGGAGGTTTCCGCCATGATTCTTGGAAAGATGAAGGAAGTCGCCGAGAACTACCTCGGAGAGAAGGTCACCAACGCTGTTGTTACCGTCCCCGCCTACTTCAACGACGCTCAGCGTGCCGCCACCAAGGACGCCGGCGCAATCGCTGGCCTTAACGTCCTTCGCGTTGTCAACGAGCYCACCGCAGCCGCACTCGCCTACGGTCTGGACAAAGTCGGCGACAAGGAGCGACAGATCATTGTCTACGATCTCGGTGGTGGTACCTTTGATGTCTCCATCTTGACCGTCGACCAGGGAGTTTTCGAGGTCCAGTCCACCGCCGGTGATACCCATCTTGGTGGAGAGGATTTCGACCAGCGTGTCGTGGACTACTTCGTCAAGAGCTACAACAAGAAGGCGGATACCGACATCACCAAGAACGCAAAGACCATGGGTAAGCTTAAGCGCGAGGTCGAAAAGGCCAAGCGATCGCTGTCCAGCCAGATGAGCACCAAGATCGAAATCGAGGCTTTCCACGAGGGACAGGATTTCTCCGAGACTCTTACCCGCGCCAAGTTTGAGGAGCTGAACAACGACCTGTTCAAGAAGACTCTCAAGCCCGTCGAGCAGGTGCTCAAGGACGCCAAGCTGAAGAAGTCCGACATTGATGACATCGTCCTTGTTGGTGGGTCTACCCGTATCCCCAAGGTCCAGGCTATGTTGGAGGAGTTCTTTGGCAAGAAGGCTAGCAAGGGTATCAACCCTGATGAGGCTGTTGCTTACGGTGCCGCCGTTCAGGGTGGTGTTCTTTCTGGAGAGGAGCAGGTCAGTGAAACACGACATGTCAGACGTCACGAACATAACTAATTCCCTCTACAGGCTCAGGACATTGTCCTTATGGATGTCAACCCGCTGACTCTGGGTATCGAGACCACTGGTGGTGTCATGACCCACCTCATCAAGCGTGGTACTACCATCCCTACCAAGAAGAGCCAGATCTTCTCCACCGCCGCCGACAACCAACCCACTGTCTTGATCCAGGTGTTCGAAGGAGAACGTTCCATGACMAAAGACAACAACCAGTTGGGTAAATTCGAGCTCAACGGAATTCCAGCAGCTCCTCGCGGCCAGCCGCAGATTGAAGTCACCTTCGAGCTTGATGCCAACGGTATCCTGCGTGTGTCTGCCGGCGACAAGGGCACCGGCAAGAGCGAGTCCATCACCATTACAAACGACAAGGGTCGTCTCAGCGCCGATGAAATTGAGCGCATGGTCGAAGAAGCTGAGAAGTACGCTGATGAGGACAAGGCTACCCGTGCTCGCATTGAAGCCCGTAACGGACTTGAGAACTACGCATTCAGCCTGAAGAACCAGGCCAACGACGAGGAGGGCCTCGGCGGCAAGATTGACGAGGACGACAAGGAGAGCCTGATTGACGCCATCAAGGAGACTGTTGAGTGGCTCGAGGAGAACGCTGCGACTGCCACCACCGAGGACTTTGATGAGCAGAAGCAAAAGCTTTCTGATGTCGCCTACCCAATCACCTCCAAGCTTTACGAGGGCGGTGCTGGAGGCATGCCCGACTACGATGATGAGCCAAGCGGTMACGACGAGCTTTAAATGAGCAGACGTTGGGATGAGCTTTTGTTGTCATATTACGGGCGGCGTTCCGTGTAGACTAGTAGGAGTCTCCAGGATGACTCGGGAAAGTGCTATAGAATATGCATTGAATGAATCTGAGCTTGATGTCTTGTATTTCCATGTCACATTGCCACATCGTCCTGCGATCCTGCTTGCAATTGTTCTTGACGTGAATTGATTTCCCTATTCTGACTGAGAATCGACATCCCACCAGCGCCTAACAGGCCTATCAGCGTTGGAGTGCCGCAGGGTTCATGCCTGTTCAAAATGGATGAAGGACGCCACTCGAGCACTTCAGCTATCTGAGAGGAATGATGACAACCGCTCTCGGAGAGGTTGAAAGAAGCTCATGGGAGTGGCGTAGATTCTTGCAAGGATCGTAGGGTAGATTGCGTGAAAGGATTGAAAGGATTGATGTTGGGGAGCTGCACGTTGGGTTGTCTAGGTTGAATCCATTGTACTGTATATGGAGTATTCGCCGCCGTCACCGCGATCTGTCCCGGAGATGCTCGTCGGATTCATGCATGCTCGTGTCTCGTGCCCGCCATCCAGACAGAAAATCCAACCTGCCGTCAACGGGGAGGCGGCCGCGCCGCTCTGGGCCGCTTTGGGTTTGATGAAACCGCGTGGAAACTTTACCACGATGGCAACACCGTGACATTCCATATCTACTCAACCGATACGTCGAAGCATCCCGTCTCGGTGCGGCGTCCCGGGCGCTTGCCATGAACATCAGCCGGCCTCTCGAGGCGGAAGTCCGTCCATCAAGGAGCGTTGACAACGCGGGATGTCCGTGGCAGCGACCGTCATGGTCGACTGCAATTCTCTGACTGCCAGCACGATCCTCTCATCATGGCCATATCCACTCTCTGCTGTTGGCGCTGCACAGTCTCGATCTTTGCACATTCAGCCAGTCCTCGGCCTCGTGGAGTCGTCATCCACCAACGCGTAACAAAACTCCTCGCAYGACGGATATGTTGGAGACAACCTAGAAATCGGATCTCTGGCCCTGGTTGTCCCCTGCCGAAGAATTTGTTACCATGGAAGCATCCAGAAGTCTCACCACGGCTGAGAAGATTGCGGCAGAAGGCATGTGCAGCCCGCCAGAAGACATGGAACTTTGCAACAACCACATTGACTGGACTATCAGCAAGTACCATTGCGGATCCATTTCGACGATGTAACCTAGAGCTCTGGCTTGTGGGTAATAACCTTTGTTCTCCGCTCAAGCGCCCGGCTTGCAAAGTCCACAGCCATCTTGGCGCGTTTGGGAGAAACACAGCAGCATATGCAGAAGCTGCAGTTCCGGGAGCTGCTTCTCGTTTCACTCGGGGAATTTCGCTGGCACTAGGGGCGCCCTACAGATGCTCGACAAGTGTCCACATCCAACCGCTTGAAGCATCAACATCGGATTTCGAAGATGCCAATGGAAGTTGTTGAGGGCCAATCCAGGTGGCCCATTTGTGGTGGTTCTTCCATCAATCGCCTTCAGCTTTTCGCAGTTCGAGATTCCCACGCTTCCAGAGTCCAGGAACCATAGATCGAGGCTAAATGGAATTATGAGCAGCACGAGCAGATTTATCAGAGAAATGGCTTATAGCCCTGGCTAGCTTCCGCACTTGCGCAGCTATGCGAAGAAATGCAGCAGCGATGCGCTGGCACCCGGCAGAGAAGTACGCACTTCCGTCGTACATTTCTGCCGACCCGGGCACCATCCCCTGTAATTGGCAGGCGCCCTTGTCCCAATGGCGGATCCCACAGTCTTCGAATTCTCGCCATGATGACCACCATCACCTTACTGCAACGTCCTGCGGGCTCAACACGAATCACTTGACGGCTCCACTGGATCCAGAAGAAATTCACAGCATGATCTTCTCACCTGATCGCCAGCTGCAAACCTCATAAAGCCTTTGCGCTGGCTGAAGCCGCCCCAGATTCTTTGTTTCGTGTCGTCCAATGGAAAAATCCCTCTGTTTGACATTCTTCATTGGTTTCAGCTTCTACGATCATCGTCTCAACATGCTCCTCCGGCAATATCGGCATTGCTCATGGCATCTGGACGCTCGATGCCACTGCTGCAGCATGACGGCTGAGGCCTTCCTGTCTGGAGCAGCATCACGCGAGTGCACGCCATGTCCTGCCGGTTTCCTGCCCGCGTCCGCTCCCCTTACGCACGTGGGTCTGTCTCGAAAAGGGCAAAGTCTTCCTATTTCCTCTACCGAGCATCGGGTCAATTGCATAGAACGGGGAAGTCGGTGAGCTGCTGTCATCATGAAAGAGCAAACGGGAGCCAATGGTACTTTCATTACCTGACCTTATCCTTGTAGCTACTTGTTGATGTCGCTCGCTCTGTGACAGCCCGAGAACAGTCCCGCTTTGACAGGAGCCACGTCACCTTTCTATACCTTTGCAAAGTCCAGCCACCGTGGGGTGATGCCAATTACTTTTGTCATCCCGACAACGATAAGCAGGGATATCACGGCCAGGGCAAGCGCTCCGTGGCTCAAAGACGATACCTGGAGTCATTGGGTATCGGAACTCACGCCGACTATCGAAAGTCGTCGTCGTTCAAAATCACTTGACGAGAATGCGCCGGCCATGTGCTGCAGCTAAGATTCGTGAGATCCACTTGAGAACTTTTCGACAAACTTACTGGCTCGAATGCGATGGGAAGCACGGCTCGATCGACATGCATCAACCCGTCGAGCCTGTCAGTCTTCCTGAGGACTTCTTTGCTCCGCTGTCACAATTGCCGGCACTGCTGCATGCATGACTGAGCGTGCATATGGCGCCACAGAGCACATAAATCTCTGCCTCAGGCTCCCGGGAATCCCAGCGAGCATTGTCTGTGGAATCAAGCCAAGACTGGCTAATATCTGTGACGATAGTGGGTTCATGTGTTCGCGCAGTTGGCTGATCGCAACACCTCAGCACGTGACATGGTTCATTCACTTGACCGAATCTCCGCTCTGATCGTTGTGGGGAATGGCTCGAACATTGCCCAGGCTCTGATGGAACAGCGCCGTCGCAGTCCCAAGTGGATTAATAAGACACACTAACCCGCACGAGCCCTTTTCAGCGGCCTGCTCACACGACTATCAACTGGACAAGAGTATGCCACGAACCATGTAACGGAAGATCGAAAGTATGTGCTGCAGGACAATAGCAGCATTGCCCGCATCTGCGTGGCGATTGCCCTTCGGGGAAGTCCATGGGCTCCACTGACTCGATTCGCAAGCTCCGGCGCAGTGTCGGCAGCTACTTGCGAGGACAGGGTGCTTTTGGCGAGGAAATCATGTGAACTGTAGCTGTCGATGGTGCAGCATCGCTTCGAGCGCGGGATGTCAAGAGCATGGCGATCAGATGGAGAACATAAATAACGGGATGGACACAACGAGTGCCTCGCCCGCAACCCCTCCCGTACACTCCTATCATCGACTGCACAGTCCTACAGGTATGCGGCGTCCATTGAACACTTGTCCGCGCCGGCCTTCCCCTTTCGCATGACTGCATCATATCGCCCCGTTTCAGAGTGCAATGTCTGTTCAATGATTCCGTACCTGTGAGGGTAGCCTCCAAAGCAATGCGCATTGAACCATGGCTTCTCATGAACCTCAGCCTCGCGATCGATACCGATTTAATTCGCTGACAATGGTCGACAGGAGAAGGTCATTGCCACCAAGCTACTCTCTGCACTACCCAGACCAGCAGCTCACCAGGTGAGACATGCATGATCTCTAACCTTTGCCCGCACTAACCTCGACCGCAGCAGCAGTGCAGCACAGGTGGAGTTTGAGAACTCTACCAGCCTCCTTGCCAAGCCCCAAAAAAGAAAAAAAGAACCGCACGCCAAACTCTCCGAACATGTGTTACTATGACAACTTCAAGTACGCATGTCTCGATTGGAAATGGGGAAATTTCCGACAACACTGCCAAAAGGAATATCGCACGGGTGAAACATGCGGGATGAAGATGATCTTCCAGACCATCATGCTTGCAGAAAAGTGTCCCTCCTGCGAGAAGATTGAGAAGAAGCTTCGACGCCGGGCAAAAGCTCTCTCCGATCATGCGAGGTGGGCCAAGGACGGCTCGAAATTCAAGGCGTCGATGGAGAAGGCGCTCGAGGAGGTTGCGCAGCTCGAGCGGGAAATTCGCATTTTGCAGGTGGAGAAGGATAGGCGGTTCGCTGCTGTGGGCAATTCTCGTCGTAATTGAATTTGTTTCAAAGGGGAACCTCGGAGGGGAGCGATGGTTCTGCATGACCCGCTCGCTGCTGCATGCATGCATATCGATCTTGCGGTTGGAAAGAGGGACAAGAAAAATCGAAGGCTGAATGACCAGTCGTGATGTAGGGAGTGACGTTCAAAGTCGACTGTGTTTCAGGAGAGACAACAACCTTGCTAGGGAGGGGGTGGGGGGGGGAATTTTAGCCTCCACATCCACTCATGTTGGTGGTTTGTTGGAAAGCATGATGTGTATAACTAATGATTGATGATGAGAAAATGATTGAAACGGCATGCATGGTTGATCTCGATGTCCACACTCCAGCGCGTGCTTCATGCAATGCATGTCGAGTTGCCTGTCTGTCTAATCTGAACCAATCCGCGCGAAGCGCCGCAGCGTCTTCTCGGCGCTAAATTTCCAGTCCAGGTTTACGGCTAGTTTCTACCATGACTGCGATTTTGATCGCTGACGGCCAAGTCGAGTACAATGGGATATGATCAATCAAGAGTGGAAGAAGGACATTTACTCGAGGTCATGTTCGTGACTAGACTTGGGCAATTTCTATAAAAGTTGTAGATTTGCTTATTTTCGCTCCAGATCGTCGTCTTATATCAAGCAAGCGCTTATTCTCGTTCCGCCGGTCCGCGATATCCTGCTAAACGCCCGAGCAAAAACATCATAGTAACCATAAATTCGTAAACGCCCTACTACCATCGCCAGTCTCGCCTTCTCAAACGCCYTTCTTTTGTCGATCAATCAGTATCCTCCCGGACGATTGGTTTCCACGCTTGGGGGTCCAAATGTCAATGGGGCTGAAGCTTGCGCGGGGCAATTGGAATAGCAACCATATTCGGTCACGGTACTGAATATCGTGGTCGTGCCGAGGTAGCTTGGGACACAGCTGGTTGCTCCTCCTGTTGTTGGATAGGGAGGAGATGCACTTGCAGGTGATGTTCCTGTCGAGGTTCGGAGGGTGCCTGTTCGTGGCAGCTCGGAGTTGGTGAATGGGAAGCCCGAAGAGGCTGTGATTGTGGAGGAAAGAGGACGAGTTCCTGAGGGTCTTGAAGAGGATGGCATGACACCTGTCGACGCGAATCCGGACGGTATGTACGTGGGTGCGGTACCTGATAACCCAAAGCCAGAGGAGAAGGCGAAGCCGGAAGATACTGCTCCGATGGTTGGATATGGGATCAACTGCGTCACTCCTGCTCGAGTGGCAGTCGAGACAAGAGCTGATGTAGGTGCGGTGCCTGTGAGGACAAATCCTGTGCCTGAGGAGAAGAAACCAGAGGATATCAATTCACTCGCCGTGACGAAACCTGGTGGAACGCTTGACCCAGATGGGATGTTCGTTCTAAGACCATTGGAATTGGTGAAAGGGACGTAGTTGTACGGAACTGGACCGGTGGGACGGGGAGCGGATTGGGTCGATGGGGTACCAGCAAGACTGGTGCTCGCTGACCTGGTCGTGCTGAGCGGTACACTTGAYCGTGGTACAGATGAGGAGCCACTTCGTGACGATGAGGACAATGAACTGCTTGACGATGACACAGCGGGAGATCCGCTTGATGGTGATGCCGACGGAGACGACGTTGGCGACGAAGTAGACAGCGTGCCCGATCGAATGCCATTGGAGTTTGTGAATGGAATGCTACCCGAAGCAGCGGTAGAGCTCGCACCGCTGGTACCAGTGGAGTTCCGTGTAGAGGAGATCGGGACGGGAAGAGTACCAGGCGGTGTAACGACACCAGTAGAGGGTGTCGTAGAGCTTGCACTGTCGGCATCAGAGACTACACCAGAAGCTGCGAAGCCTGAGCTGAACGCGGTCCCGCCAACGACGATGGTGGATGATATCGCCGTGAGCGGATTAGGAGAGGTTGTCGCTCCCGATGCAACTGTCGACGAGGCACTTCCTGCTCCTCCACCTCCACCAGAAGCAGCGAAGCCTGAACTGAAAGCCGTCCCTCCAATAGTCACAATGGTTGAAAGGACTGAAAGGGGCGTGCCAGAGCCCTCAGTGATTATCCCTGAAGCCGCAAAGCCTGAACTGAACGCTGTCCCACCAGATGTGACAAACACAGAAGGCGCAGGGGTTTGCACGACGCCTGATCCACCGCCTCCATTCCCGCCACCGGCCTGGCCGCCGTTGGAAAAGACGGTGAATGTGGAGACGACGGATGTGGCCGTGATATTGCCAGCCCCGCTTGAAGCAATGCCGCCAGCTCCACCACCTCCACCACCTCCGCTGCCGCCTCCCGAGTTACTAGTTGCAACGGAATAGTAGCTTGTGACAGCGCTGGAGGCGATTTGGGTGCCATTGGAAGCCGAAGTAACGTTGGCAGTAACTTCGGTAACATTGTAGCCGCCTGGGAAGTATGATGTCGTGTTCGTGACTGTAATGGTATAGTATTCACCATTGTTGCCGGCCTGCGTGGTGGTCTCCGTGTCTGTAGTATTGCTGATGGAGGTACCGGTCTCGGTCGATGCGTAGACGGTGGTTTCCGAAGCCCAAGCTTGAGTAAAAGCAGTGTAGTATGTATAGTACCAGCTACCATTGGCACTGTAGTACGTGGAGAATACTGTGCCCGAGGAGTAAGTGCTTCCGTCGATGATGGTAGTGGAGTAGACAGTCTCGCCTGGATTGACTGGACGGCCGCTGACCATGATGGGAGCTGGGCCCGGCGTAATCACTGGAATAGAAGTGGAGCTGTTGGCAATTATGACCGACATGGACGAGCTCAGCTGGCTGGGATCAAGAGTCTGGGTTTCACCCATGAAAGGAGCAGATTCGGTATTCGTTCCAGCAGGCACGTCTTCCGTCAGTCCTACGGCGATTCTTTGGAGAATAGCACTGTCGACGCCAGGAGCGGGCACGGTCTGGTTGGCTGTTCCCTTGAGGAAACAGTTGTAAGCGGCATTGGTAGAGTAGTACGAGAAACCCTGGCACACTGGCGAGTCGAAGCGAGCATCAGCAACGGAACAGGCAGCAGCACACTCAGAAAAGCTATTATATGACAGAACACCATAGAAGTCGAGATCGCCAAGATCAGTGTCACACAGGACGAGGTAGTCGAATCGTTCGTTACCGATCAGTTGGCTAACGGTGGAGTTGTTGTCCTCTGGACAGCTGAATGCTGGAGCAGTCGGTGTTGGTGTCGCTGAAGCAGTCACGGTTGCAGTCGCGGTGATTACTCCGTTTGTTTGAACAGACACGACTGTAGTGGTGATTTTTTCAAAAGCTCTAACGGTAGCAACCTGGATCTTATTAGCAGTGGACATGATATTTTGATCGGATTGAACCGACCTTGGCTGAGTCTGTTTGAGTCGCAGTGACTGTCGGGCCAGCATAAGTCTGGCAATCGCATGCACTCGAAAAGGAGGCCGACATTTGTGGGGTATCGATAACAGTGTCGTTGAGCGCTCCCTTCTGCCTGCGAAATCCCTGAAAGAGCTCGTTCACGTCAAGAGACGCATCCCGTTTGGCTACGGGAGTTGGCGTAATGGTGACGGTCGCTGCAGTGGTCACGACGGTGGTGTATTGAACTTCTTGCTTGGTGACAGTAATGGTGGAGTAGACTTCTGTCGTAGTACTTTGGAAACTCTCAGTATACTAATTGCAGCGCTTCGGAGACGATACTCACGTCACAGGAGAGGTTACCACCGTAGTCGTAAAGGCAGGATAGCTCATAAACTCTTGACAAAACTGTTCGCCAAAGGTGGGCTGTGAAACGAATTCGTAGTATCTTTTCGACATTAGCATCGTCAGGTGTGGTAGTCAGAGATCAGACGTACTCATCCTCAAAGCATGTGATTTGCGCTTCTCTGTGGAAGAGACGTCCTAGCCAGTTGGCAACACTGCCAGAGTTGGGAGTGGAGACTTGACGGTCTTCTAAAGTTGCTCCATTGGTTACACGGGCGGAGGATGACTGGGTCAGAGCAAGGCCCAAGGCCAATGCCTGAAGTGAACGCATAATCTGGAAACCTGTCGCTAGTAAGAGGTTGAGCGAGCACCTCTTCTCTAACAAGATGACTGATGTGATGTGTGTTGATGTGTTTGGAGTTGAACGCTGTGAACAATCAAACGTCTGCGGAAACTGACCTACTTATATCAAGTAAGAGTGTTGAGATGGAGGGTCTCACTCAGCCACCCACTCACCGGAGCGCGTTCCTGCCTTGCAGATATTGGCTTTTAGGCATCTTAGCGACTGTAGAGGAGGGAGGGCTGGCACACGGAATGGGAAAGTGTACGACGTCTTACTGGCATTCGCAGCGTTTCAATGAACTACCTGCCATTCGAGATGACGAGTAAAGAAGGCAGACAAATATGCCGACGCCCCATTCCGAGAGCACGGGATGGCATGTAGATGATCGCACGGTCCCTTGCAGGATGTACCTGRGATCTGCGTTGGATGGGTAGCACCAAGGAATGTCCAGCCGTGGAGCGCGTCCTTATAGCCGGCATTGATACATGTCGTACGTATGGATGAGACGCTGCAGCGCGAGAGCAAACAGGTCATGTCCTGTTCGGAGTGCGAGTACGCTTGGACTCTCTTCAGTGGTCGACCTGCATGGCGAGGTGAGAGCAAGCACTCTCATTCTTGGCTGTCGGAGTGTTGTAACAGCGACCAGTCGAAGAGTATTGGCTAACCGATTCACCGGGAAGATTAATATAGTCATGACTCCTGTGCATATCAGCTCAATATGGACGAACTTTGGCTGAGCTCTCTCGACTGTTGTCAGCCGGGTCACTACGCTCATGCCGTGAGATATGGGTGCTAGTCATTCACTCATTGACCGCTGGCCAATAATGTATGATGTATGATGTTCAGCCGGACGAAGACGAAGAGACGTTGGAAAAAAGCCCGTCCTTCGCGTCCCGTGACGAAACGCGCTAAGCAATCTTCCGTCTCAGCCCTATGGATGATCTGCAGGTGCAGCCGAACCCAAAGACGAGCGGGAAGGGAAGGGAGACCATCCACACCCCCCGACCACTACACACCTTTTTTTGGAGGAAGAGGGGGAGTTGCCGAAGTGGGAGAGTCTTTGAGCTGACATTGGTGGGCGATCGCGTCGGACATCTGCACATTCTTTTCTCGTCCCCTCAATGGGCGGAGTATGCTCGTGTCTGGGCAAGCGGCAGCATGCCTCGCAAGATGTGAGTTGTCTTGGGGACTTTTTTTGGTCATACTCGACCCTCGAAATCCGTGGGGAAACTRACCCGGGCACGTTCCCATTTTGTAGGGCGACCTCGACAGTATCCTCGGCTCCGATCAGATCTCCTACGGCGCCACCGACAGCTTCGATTATGCGCATGCACAGCCAGATGAGCAGGAATTGCAACGGGAGCGGGATGCTCTGGAACACATCACTGTCAACGCGACGGAGTACGTATCCTTGCCTCTCACATCCTATGAATGAGGATAGGAACTCTCTGACATTCCGGCGTAGTCATATGATAGATGTCCTGCATCCCAACGAGTCCAACTTTAATCACACCCATACAACCGCACCGGGAACAGTCCACAGCAATGGTGGCCAGGGTCAACACATGGGAGAAGCGGAATCAGATACCCAAGATGCGGATGAGGACGCCTGGCTAGCTAGCATTGCTGGCCTGGGTACAGCAGTGCGACCCCCGCAGAAACACACTCTTGTGCTGGATGTGGCACAACTCAGGCAAGGCGCGCCGCAACAAAAGCAGCCCAACTTCTGAAAATTTCCCTTTTGTTTGGGACGTTTTGCGAATGATACCCAAAGGTGGAGCTGGATCCATGGCTTAAGAGGGAGATGAACGGCTTGCCATCTCTCTTCAACAACGGTGACCAAGAGGCACTGATATGCACGGAGGAAGATGACAACAACGTGTCGTCATGGAGAGCCGGCCGTCCATCACAGCATGATTAGAWGACATTGAAGTCACGCAGGCTATTTCTTGCAATCCCCTGGCAATAGAAGCGAGTGGCCATCAGGACTGGTTCTACCCTCCCGCCACCATTTACAAGGTACAATCGATTGCGACAAAGGCGCTCTGCTCTGGAAGAGCCGGGAGTAAGCCATAGATAAAAGCAAGGAGACTAGAGATCGGAAGCAATTCCAAAGTTCGTTATGGCATAAATCACATAATCGACATCCTCCGAGGATAAAGATACTAGCAAGCGGCCAAAGGTCGTCCATCCCTTCTAACCCTCATTGCTAAACATCCTCAAATCATGTCTGCGCACCAGCCTCAAGCTCAGCAATCCTCTTCTCCCACTCCGGCACAGCTCTAAGCTGCATCTCCAGTTCCTCCTTCTCGTCCTCAAGTTTCAATCTCTGTTCCGCATCTAGCGGCGCAAAGACATATCCACCCTGACCATTGAACTGTAAGATCCAACCATGATATGACCATAGAGATCGTCGGTGTGATACAGTCATGAGGGTGATTCCCAATCGCTTCGCTTCGTCGTACATGATCCTCTCTACCTCGGGAGTCAGAGAAGACGTGCACTCATCCAAGATTGCGTATTTGGGGCGATGGTAGAAAAGCCGGGCTGCTGCGATGCGTTGTTGGTAGCCAGTGCTCAGGGCATCCGCCCATTCGTGCTCTACATTCAGCGATGCGGTGAGGTCGAGCTGTGATTTGGGAGTGGTTTGCTCGAGTAGGCTCTCGAGACTTAGAATCTTCATGATGTCGAACAATTCTTGATCCGTCACACCTTTGGCTCGCATATCCAGCAGGGTATCTGGGTAGAGGATTTGCTGCCTCAACGTCCCTTTACTTAGATATGGTCGTTGCGGGACGTAGAATATGTCTTCGCTTGGAGGCTTCCGGACCATGCCGCCATAGACTGGCCAGAGACCACCCAAGATGCGGAATAGACTACTCTTGCCGCATCCATTGGGACCGACAATCAGGAGATGGTCGCCTTTGCTGATGTGGAAAGATAGCGCTTGGACTAGGATGTCCCCGTTGGGAGAGACGATTGGGACAGAATCAAACTTGATGTCTTCTCCTTCTTCCGTCTCGCCACGCCCACTCAAGACTGCAGCATTGGCTTCTGTCGAGGCAGAAGATACCAGTGCCTTCTCGAAGTGACCTCGTTGAATGTCCGCGATGACATCTAGCAGCATTGTGACTCGAGCTGTGTAGCCAGCTAATTCTGAGATCTCCTTGYATGAGAACATCAGTCGTCCAAAGGCATCGCTGGACGAAAGGAGAAGTCGCCTGTTTGTAATGAACATCTCAGTGCGGTCGCCAGCGCTCGCACTGCCCGGTGTCGCACTAGGTCCGTTGAAGAACACGGGCACTGAACAGAGCAACAGTCCAAGCGCTCCCCACACGTATTTGACCGTGAACTCCTCCATTATCSCATGATAGAGGCGCCTTCGTAGTATTCGATTCACATGCCTGATAAGGGTGAAGTAACCTTTGTCGACTGTGTCCTTCTCTGCCTCATGGCCGTCGTACAGTGCAATCTCTTCGCTGAAGTTGATGAGTCGTGAGTGGGCAGCTCTGAACTCTCCCTCCAGCTTGGCCTCATCTGCGACATATTTCCCAAATGGAGGTGTCAATGCCCGCATCAAACTGGCGCTCATTTGCACAAGCAAGGCCATGGCAAAGAGGCCTTCACCACCAACGCTTCGAGAAAGACTCCAGTTGTAGATGAAGAGGTCTAGGACTGGTTTGGAGAGGCTGGAGTATAGCTCCGCCAGGCTGTTTGAGAACTTGGTAACATCGACTGTGATTAGTTGGTCGGCATTCTTGATCCTGTCGTCCAGTGCGGAGAGTGTGTAGAAGGTCATATTCCCAAGGTATAGATCGTGTATATGTTTCGTCAACCGAGTTCGATATGCCAGAGAGAGTCCCGTCTGATGATACTGAAGCATGCTGTTCGTAAATGTTGCTGCACGACCCGTTAGACGACCAACTGACCATCACACCGCGAAGAAGTCGCGACATACCTGGAATAGCCACAAGCTGCCACCAAACGAGCCCTTTCAAGAACGCTTTCCCCTTCCCTCTCACCAGCGAACTAACCAGTTGACCATCCAGCTCCGCGACATACAAGCTAAGCAACGTCCGCAACACCAGAAACACCGAATGGCTCAGCAACAACCTCGCCTCTTTGCTCTTCCACGAAGGTATACAAATCTTCAACAATCGTCCTAGATTTCGAAAGAACTCTCGATTCAACTCGACCTTCTTCTTACCCCCATCTTCACGACCCGTCTGTCCCTTGCGCCGATTCTCCACGGCTCTCGCGGCCGCTGCTTTCTGCTCTTTGATCGCCGTTCGGATTCGATGGATGAGAGCTACCACAAGCGCGGCGTACACAGCTCGTGAGATGCGCGTTCGATTCTTGACATATAGAGARGTGAGATCTGTGACGATCTGCTTGAGAGAGCGATTCGATACGCCGGGTGGGAGCAGCGAGGTCGAAGGACCTGCCATCGTGGCGGCGCTGTGGTGGATAAGGTTGAGGTCACGTAAATGAGTTGATCCGGCGCATGGTTTAGGAGGAACGGTTTTGGAAGGCGACCTGGAAGATGAATGCGAACGCGATCTTTCATGTGATCGTCGAATCCGTCACCTCGGCGTTGCTTCCTGGCCGGCGATATTTCGRGAGTTTTGTGAGAGGGTTAGGGTTGGGGTAGTGTAGTTTTTGAAAAGCTCGACGACAACAGCCAGATGACTGCTAACTATCGATGCTAGATACCTGGATCTGTGAAAAACATGTTACTTGAAAGTTTAGTGCCGTGGAACAACGTCGTTGGAATCTCCTCATCTTTCAGTAGTACATCGGCGCAGAATCCTGCCACAGACATTCTCCTGACATCAAGTTCGAAGTGATGGATGTCAAAGGGCACTACAGCCTAGCAACCAACCGTACCCTTGCCGCTCTAMTACTGTGCCCAGATCTTGCTTCGCCATAGGGCAACCAAGCACGAGACAGAGGTCGCCATGCGGTGATCATTCAAATCAACGACTGCAAACTAGCCACCACTTCCTGGGCATGCCACAGCGACCTGCTGTGTCGCACAATACCAGGTCATGGCGGTCTTACAGCTACGGGGGGCGTGCACACATCAACATCGAGAATCAATGTAATCGACGAATCTAGCGGTGTTCGATCGCATATCTCGAGGGGTATCTACAGCAGCAGAACGACATGCAAGGGTATCTACAGTCCTTGCCAGTCACATAGCGTAGAGTCTACACCGATAGTCTTCCTTCGAAGAGCCAGTGGAGAACGGGCGTGATTGGTAGTATCTACACAGCGACACCACCGCGAGAATGCTCATCTGCTCGATACCCCTGAATCACAGGATAGGAGATGACATTCAAACCGAGAAAAAAGAGGCAAATGACCTCGTCCAAATCAACTGAATTCCCATCCCCTCAAGACTTCTCTGCCTCTCCAATCTCCAATCTCCAATCTAATCATAAGTATAAAAAATCTTATCAAACTCATGCTCCTTCCACCGAATACCCGGCAACAACCCAGCCCACTTCCACACGCCTTCAATGCGCTTATAATGCACCGTACAATTCCCCGAAGCATGTCCCCTACGCTGCACCTCAGTCAACTCATCGTCCTTGTACCTCTGATGCGTCACGCGCATCTGGTGCGTGCCGATGATGTAGTCCTCACTCTCCTGCACGAAGCGGGAGACGCCGACAAAGTGCTGGGATTTGACTCGGGGGTTGCCGAGGAATCCGGGGTCTTTGACCATTTCGATGAACTCGGCTGAGGGGATGGCTTCCCAGTACTTGTCCATGAGGAGGCGGTAGTCGATCTGGGATGGGGATTAGTTGTGGGGAGATTTGAGGGGTGGAAAAGGAAGGGAAAGTGTACGAGGAGGGTTGGAGCGGCGTTGGCTAGGAAGCGGTCCCAGTCTTTGGTATCGTAGCTTTCAGCCCATTCAAACATGGCTGTTTGGCAGGCGATGACATCTGTTGGTGTAGTTAGTTACTCGAGAATCGATTCAAGAATATTGGAATGGATGCGTACCGTCTGCCGGTGGTTGCTTCATGTAAACCATATTGGGATTTTGGTGATGCAGGCGAGTCTCGTGCGGCTTGAGTTGGATGATACAGAAATGAACTTGGTCAATCTCACTTGCTCATATAGCAGGCTCACAATAGAAACCAGCCGGCAACGGGTACATAAACCCACCGATATGGACGGGCCATAATTAGATGGCCCGCGTGCTTTGTAATGTGTATGAACCATTGAGCAAGATAAAGCCCGTGGGAAGCCGTTGCCAGCGTCTGGTATCCCTGAAGAGGAAAGCAGAGCAGACAGAGCAAACAGAACATCACAATGGCGACCACATCTCCTCAGATCAAGCTTTACACGCACCCGCTCAGTMCATGTAGGTCATCTCCACTGACTCGATCCTCAGCACTGCACTAATACAACACTATTCACAGGGTCTCACCGTGTGCACATTGCACTGGACGAGCTCAAAGTCCCCTACGAGCAAGAGATTGTGGACATCACCAAGCCTCGGACACCCGAGTACCTMGCTGTGAACCCCCGAGGAAAAGTTCCAGCCCTGTCCTACAATGGAGAGACGATGAGCGAGTCTGGTGTGATTGCCATGTTCCTCGCAGACAAACATGGATCGACCTCGGGCCTGCTTCCATCGTCCACAACTGCGAGCGGACCACTCCTTCGTGCTCGCATTTCATTCTTCGTCGACACGTACTTGAACAGAGTGCAGCCCATTTTCATGAGTGCTCACCGTTGCAAGTCGGATGAGGAGCGCAACGCCGTGCTGAAGGACTTTGTCAATGCAGCTGCCACGGAACTCGACCCTTTGCTTGCAGATGCGGCACCATTTTTTGGCGGGTCTAGCGAACTGACACTTGCAGAGGTTTGTGGCGCAGACTGCAGTTCTAACACGGCCCGAAACTGACGCCTTGCAGGTCTTGACGGGCTCCTTTCTCTTGCGGGCGTACCTTTTTCCCAAGAATGGGCTTTTGTCACCGACTCTTCTTACCGAACTAGCGGAGAAAGCGCCTGCTTTCGACACCTGGGCGAAGAAGGTCATGGAGCATCCCAGCGTGAGCGGAGGCATCTGGGATGAAGAGGCGATTGTGGCCAACATCAAGCGGAGGATGGCTGGCTGAAACTTAGAAAGCCTGCGGGAGAGTCATAGCGAGATGGAGACTGACGCAACACCGCTGTAGTAGTATGGTACCTCGCAATAGCAATCAATTTCTTCCCACAATTACATGCAAAAGTCGACGTTTTTCAAAGTAGTGACGTGCATCTCCGAGTGATAGCAACGCTGAGAGAGCGGTCGTCGATGGCACGGAGAGACTCGAGACGAATGGAACCACAGCTGCCGTTGACAGCGCTCTGCTTCCTCTGCGTGGGACTTACCGACATGGACATGCTACCGCTGCTCAATTCAAGCTGCCTGGCAGCCTCGGGGGGTTTGCGTTGTGTTTCTCTTTGCAGGCCGGGCAATATGTGCTGTGGTTAGTATAAGGACTGGCCTCTCACATCGAGATGGCCATTGACACCCACATCGAATCGAACATGGCTTTCACAGACGTGAACGTAAAGGCGGCCGCTGTACTGGCTCTTATCCTGTTGTTGGCGTGGCAGCTGGCCGGCGTGTTCCGTCGCCCCAAGAACTTCCCACCCGGACCCTGGAGTCTCCCGTTCATTGGCAACCTTCATCAGATTCCACGAGGACTGCCCTGGGTGGCGTTTGGGGAGTGGGCGCAGCGGTGGGGCCCTATTGTCGGCTTCCGGCTCGGAACCCAGGATGCCGTGGTGCTCAACGATGCCGCTCTCGTACACGAAGTGCTCGTCAAGAACGGCGCTGCCATGTCGGGTCGCCCGCCACGCTACGTCGCGCAGGAACATGTCATTCCGGAAGGCAAGCATGTGCACCCAGTGTTTATGCGCAACGACTACGCCATGCGGCTGCGAGCCGTCACCAAGGATTACCTCGTCGGCGCGGGACTGCTGAAGCTGGCTCCCATGGCGCAGGCAATTGGCATGCGTCTAGTGCACGACATTTACATGTCGTACCAGGATTCCTCCAGGAACAATGCAGGCGCACAGGAGCAGGGCCATGTGCCGTGGACGGACGCACTGGCGCAATGGGCTGTGACCACCCCCGTCGCTGTCATGGCGGGAGCACCAGTCGAGGCCTTTGGGCGGGACTTTGTGCACAACTACCACCACACCACCGTCATCTTTGAGGATATCATGGTCTCGGGTGCGGCCGACATCATCCCGTTGACTCGATATCTGCCCGACTGGTTTACGGGGTGGAGGAAGCAGGCGCCCATTGTCCGCAAGGCCGTGCTGGACGCCTACGGGGTGCTGATGCGGGTCGCCGGGCAGGATCGTGGTGGCTCGTTCCATGGACTCATTCCCGCTCTGCGCCGTCAGGCGGCGGATCCCAAGGTGGATGCCAATCTGCGTCTGTCGGAGCCCGAGATCATGGTAATGATGGGAGGTCTGCTCGATGCGGGCTTCGCGTCCACGGTCGCGAGCTTCGAGACAATTGTCCTGTCCCTGACGGCGCACCCACGCGTGTTGCGCCGCGTGCAAGCCGAAGTCGACGCCGAGCTTGGCACGGCGGGTCTACCCGAGCGGGTGGAACGCGGGCGACTGCCATATCTCCACGCATGCATCATGGAGGTGCTGCGATGGCATGCGACGACGCCAGTCCCGCTACCCCGCGAGGCCGTGGCGGACGTCCAGGTGGGTGACTATCGCATTCCCAAGGGCACCACCGTCATGACCAACGTGTGGGCCATCCAGCGCGATCCCGCCTTCTACGACGACCCGGACAGCTTCGTGCCCGAGCGATACCTTCACCACCCGCTCGGGATCAAGGACGGGGCGCCCGAAGTCCATCGCAAGGCTCTGTATACGTTTGGCTTTGGCCGACGTGCCTGCCCCGGCCAGGACTTTTACTTCCAGCAGATGGAAATCACCATGGCCCAGGTCATTTGGGCGTTTGATTTTGTGCCCACYGGTCCGCTTGACATCGACGTGACCACCGGCTTCGTGTTTGGCGTCGCCTCGCGTCCGAAGCCGCTGAACATGAAATTCGAGCTGCGGCGGCCGGTGGACGTCCTGCAGGCCGAGAAGAGGCGAGCGGACATTGCCCTGGATCAGATCCTTGGCTTGGGTTGAATTGAGTGGGGATTTATTCACTCACCTTCATTCACCTCACGTGTACTACTCTACTCAGAATGATGACTCTGCATCTAACGTATCCATCTCCCTTTTCACGTAGAAAACAATCCCACTGTGCCTCGTGACGGTATCATTTCATGTCCAACAGGCAGCAATTCCCATATTTCCACCCTCACAGAATCGCACCGTCGCCCCCGACGCTTTGCCCCGAGTGGAGTCGATGCATTTGTAATGAGGTGCTCGCGTTATCAGATCTTAGCGCTGACGGCCTCGAGTACAAGACAGTGGCCTCTGCCCTTGTTCTAGCCGCAGTTCCACTGCAGTCTCCAACCTCACCTTACTCATCACTAAACCACAGACAAATACGACATGATGGCCGTTGCTCCCAAGATCAAGCTATACACCAACCACAACTGCCCATGTGAGTGCACCCCCTTCTCACAACCTATCACCACYCTAACACCGCTCCAGGGGCTCATCGTGCTCACATTGCCCTCGCGGAACTCAATGTCCCTTACGAGGAAGAGATCATTGACCTCTACACACCACGAACCCCGGAATACCTGGCCATCAACCCCCGTGGCCTGGTCCCAGCCATTGATTTCAACGGAACCATCATCGCGGAATCAGCCATCGTGTCCACGTTCCTAGCCGATGCCTTTCCTTCCAAACTTCTCCCGCGATCCACGGACCCCAATGGCCCCATCATTCGTGCGAGGATCAACTTCTTCACGGACGCCTACTTCTCCAAAGCTCAGAGCCAGTGGGCGAAGCTGTTGGCGGCCAAAAGCGACGAGGATTCGCAGACTGCATTGCACGCCTACGTTGACGCCGTGGTGAAGGAGGTGGAACCCCTTCTCGCTGATGCTGCGCCATTCTTCGGCGGCAGTAGCCAACTCACGCTGGCTGAGGTGAGCAAAGACGAACGAACGAACGCCTCCTCTCGAACTTCACAGCTAACGCACATGATTTCAAGGTTCTTGCGGGATCGTGGCTTCTGCGTGTTTACACACTGCCCAAGCATGGCATTGCGCCTTTGGYCTTGTTGGACCAACTCTCAACCAAAGCGCCCAACTTTGACAAGTGGGCCAAAGCGGTGGTTGCACACCCGAGCGTGCGCTGTATCTGGGACGAGGAGAAGATTATCGCCGGCACCAAGGCCTGGATTGCAAAGGCAAAGGCGTGATGAGAGATACATAGCATCCTCGTTGGCGGTTACCGTAGCGTTGATAATAATGACACGTGTTGCGAATAAGAAGTTGCAATCATTCTCCCACTCCAGAAGATCCACAGTACATCAGCATAGCCGAGATGGTACGTGCGCCCCTGAGACATGTAGGAAGTGGGTCTCTACAAGGCACAGCACACCGGCTCTTTTATGAGATCTGCACACTAAAGTGCTTGTCCTCCTTCAAGGGGCGCGTCGGGTGGTTCATGAGATCCCCACGCGACCCACACAAGTTGCACTGCATCGGGAGGTTTTTCTTGCTTATGCTATCTTCCCGTCAAAAGCCGGGGTCTCGGGCTTTCGAAGCAGCGAAGGGAGAATGCTTTGTCCTCTTGCAGATGAGACTATCATATCCATGCCTCTCTTGTCGCGGGAGGAGCCCTTTAGGGTACATACTCTAATGCTAGGGATACTCCGAGGGACAGTTCTTATACATTCCCGTAGCTGCTAGCGAGACATTCGATTTCCATCGGCCAGCACGCGAAGCTGCCACGAAAGGAAGAAGATGGGAGCTGTGAGCACTGAACGCTCTACGACCTCCCTTGTGGTATCCAACGATTCCAACGATGGAGCAGATCACAGCGACATCTCCCACGACCCTCCGGTCTACGCTTCAGGCATCCGACTATGGGCAACCCTATGCAGCATCTTCCTGGCAACTCTGACCGCCGCTCTGGATCTGGGCGTCGTTGCCACGGCCATCCCTGCCATCACAGCCGACTTCAACAAACTCGACGATATCGGATGGTATGGCGGAACCATTTTCATCACCGTCGGCGCGAGCGCTCCGGTCATTGGAAAGATGTACAAGTACTTCTCTGGCCGCTGGATGTATCTCGGTAGCGTGGTGGTGTTCTTGATTGGCAGTCTCATTGCCGCCCCTTCTCCCACCAGCGCCGGTCTGATTGTTGGAAGGGCGGTTCAGGGTGTGGGTGTGGCCGGAATTCTGGGAGGATCTGTACTCATGATCACATATATTGCGGAGCCTGCACAACGACCTATGCTTATTGGCGTCTGGACTGGAGTGCTCATGATCTCGACCGTTCTGGGACCTTTGCTCGGCGGACTCTTTACCACCTATGTGTGAGTTGTGTGGTCATTCTGAATGCAGTTTTTGAATCGATGAATCTGATGCGTACTTGCATAGGAACTGGCGCTGGATCTTCTGGATCAATCTACCCATCGGAGTGCCGATCGTCGTCCTGATCCTCCTTTACTTTCACGTTCCCAAGCATATCCAACCAACTCCCGCCACGTGGAAAGAGATTCTCAGGCAACTTGATCTTCCCGGTTGTTTTCTCTTCCTCGCATCATTGACCGTCTTCACTCAGGCTCTGCAATGGGGCGGCCAAAGTCGGCCATGGAGCGACGGCGCCGTCATCGCTCTCCTGGTTGTGTGGTTGGTCCTCACCATTGGTTTCGTGGCTTGGGAGTGGTCGCAGGGACAATATGCCATGATACCTCTGGCTAATTTGAAGCCGAGAATGTTTTGGACCAATGCCTTGTACGGCTGGCTGTAAGTGCCCGCGCCATTTTCAAGCGATCTTCAAAATCAGCTAACATTTAATTTTCCTCTCTCCGCAGTGTTAACCTGGCTGACTTCCAGGTCCTGTTCTATCTTCCGATATATTTCCAGTCTATTCACGGACAATCTGCCATCATCAGCGGTGTCAACACCATCCCATTCGTCGCCCTTTTCGCCTTGGGATCCGTTGTGAGCGGCACCATTGCATCCAAGACGGGTCATTTACAGCCCCTGCAGCTGGCAAGCGGATTACTCGCCACGGCGGGTGCGGCATTAATGTACACTCTGGATGTCCACTCCAGCGCGGCGCGCTACATCGGCCCTCAATTGCTCCTTGGGTTTGGAATCGGATTGGGAAACCAGATACCCATGACAGCCTATCAATTCTTCTCAGCACCTGCAGAAGTCCAAACCAATACTGGAATCATGCTCATGACCAACGGCATGAGCGGAGCGTATTTCGTCACGGCTGCCACGACGATTTGGGCCAACGTGATGCTTCAGCAGGTCGCGGTCTTGGCACCTGGGATTCCCCCGAGTCTGGTCTTGGAGACGGGTGCTTCGGATCTTGCAAAGGTGTGGACGGGGAGTGATCTAGATGCTGTGAGAGAAGGTTACATGACGGGTWTCAGGGGCGTTTTCGCTTTCAGCATCGCTGGCGCTGCGAGTACTGCGATTCTTGCATTGATGATCCCTAGGCAAAGACTTCCGGGTCATGGTGTGGCGCGGAAGGACAGCAGTGGGGAGGTAGAGGACAAGGGGGAGCTGTAGATACAGTAGAGACACGGCGTCTCGACGCGTCGAAGTGAATTTCATAGTCTGTAGGCCCATACATGGCGAGCCCTTGAACGTGTGCAAGGAGAGAGAAGTGGATCTCGGCTGAATATCAGATGTTACCTRCTTCCTCCACTAGGCCGAAAAGGTCTAGCGGCATCATGGCCTATAAGGATAGTATGGACACCCTAGAGTGGATCTTGCAGGGGTCGCTTATAGATAGATGGAACTTGTGTTGCGGTGCACCTTTGCTTGGCCGTAGATGAAGCTCCTCGATTGCCCAATGTGGAAGGTCCAGTACCACAGAAAATCACCACTCAAACGCCATCGAAAATGATTGTCTATGTCAGTGATGGGGAAGACTCTACAATCCTACGGCGTTCAAACGCATCCAAGTGGATCGTGGCGTTTGCATTCAGGTACCTGGGTTCCTAGCCGTCAGATTGGCTCGCTTAAACAGCACACACCTTGAGGAAAACAATGGGGCCATCCTTCCGTTTTGCTTTGTTGTCCCCTTTGGAGCCCCTCTTGAGCCGCACCTCACTCCGGTGCATTGAGACGTTGTATACACGAATAGTCTGTTAACCATGCCATATGCATGATAAGATCATATTGCTGTTCGCCACTCTGCAACACGATAGACAACCATGGCGAGGGCATGTTTACGACATGAATCAACGTTCTGTTGACGCCTTGTTGCGCGTGCGCGTTAGCTCGGGGCATTTTTTGCCAAGACCCAAACAATGCAAGGCGGGAAGATGGCCTCTTGTTGATTTCTCAGCACGCATCTTTGGGAAGACCGAAGCCCCCCTGCTGATTCATTGGGCTTTAGTCGGCGATTGATGATAGATCACAGTGGATCATGCTTTGCGAAGTGTCCCAGGACGGCTTCACATATAAAAAGCACAAGATCCAGCTGCTGTTCAGTGTATCATCATCACCATCATCACCTTCATCATAACCACCACAATCATCATCACCCCAATCTTCCAACAACATCATGTCTCTCAAAGCCGCAATCGAGACCGTACTCGTGGTGGGATCCACAGGAAACATTGGTACCTCAGCTGTTACAGCTGCCCTGCGTTCGCAGCACAATGTCCTAGCTGTCGTCCGAAGCCAGGAATCCGCCGACAGGCTCGTCAAGCACATCACATCGGTTGAGGGCATCACTGCCGCCCGCGCGAAGGAAGGCATCACTTTCGCCCAGGCGAACATCTTGTCAGACACCGGAGTCAAGGGTGTAGTTGACCAAGTCCGAGCTGGGAAACTTCCGGCCTTTCAGCATGTCTGGTCAAGCGGTATGTTTCGAAAGTACTGAAGATGTTGTTCATCATTGACCATGTGGCACAGTTGGTGGAGAATACACCGTCACTCCGCTGCAAGAAATCACCTTGAGCCWGCTTCGCAGCAACTTCAACTCGTCTTTTGAAGCCAACCTCTGTTCGTATCTTTCAATCTCCAAACGATCAGTTCGCTAATCGACTCGTAGTCGCTTACCAGGGCAGCATTGCCTATCTTTTGGAGCAGGGAAACCCGAACAGCACCTGGACGTTGTGCACAGGGTCACAGGGTGACCTTGCAACTCACCCGGTACCTGCGATGACACAGGGTGCTCTGTTCCCATTCGCAACAGCTGCCAGCCGCGAGAACGAGTCGACCAACGTTCGCTTCAACGAGATCTACTTGGGATACCGCGTAGAGGTGGACGAGCAGGCGATTGAGCACGGGGTGACAAAGGCATCCGACTTTGCCAAGGTGTATGAAATGGTCTTGAGCAACCCAGATGTGCGCAGCTCCCGTGTGAGAGTTGATGACCTGGAGGATCTCAACAAGTTGAAGTTCGCGAAGAAGTTCTAGCCTAAGCCTCAGATATGCAGCACAATGCAATGCAATCTTCATGCTTCGCCTGGTATCATCGCAGCAGGGGAAACCTCCCGACAGTCCCACATCGGCCGAGTGATGTCGAAAGGTCGCGGGGGATAGAATTGGCAGAAGGAGCACAACGGCGGGAGGATAATTGGTATTAAAAAGGCTCACCAGGAGACAAGAAGCAACTCAACTTTCCCTCAGTCATCTTCAAAGTATCAACATCATCATGGTTTCCCTGGAAGTGGTACAGCAATCCAACAAGCTTCTCGGCAGTCTGCCACAGTGCGAAGGACTGGTGGCTGTGTTCGTTGGAGCAACTTCCGGCATCGGACTGAGCGCGCTTGAGCATTTGGCCCGTTCAGCAACGGCTCCCCGCATTTATAGCGCTGCTCGGGCTCAGACTGCAGCAGCCCACAAGGCATTCCTCGAGACGCTCCACAATGAAACGGATAAGGCTGGACAGGGAACCAAGACCGGCGCATTTACCATGATCGATGCCGATGCTTCCCTTGTCCAGGACATGGATCGTCTCGCGACCGCCGTGGCACAACGCGAGGCCAAAGTGGACCTGATCGTCCTCTCTGCAGGGTTCTTCGCCTTTGAAGGCCGTATCGATACTGTCGAAGGATTGGACCCCTCCATGTCGACGCGGTACTATGCTCGCATCCGCCTGGTGGAGCGTCTGCTGCCACTACTCGACGCTGCACCGCACGCTCGCGTGGTGTGGGTGCTTGCCGCCGGTGAGGAGTCGCCGCTCAACGAAGACGATCTGGACCTGAGACAACCCGAGAATTGGTCGTTGTGGAATGCATCGCGACATGCGTGCACCATGAGCACGCTGGCGCTCGAGCGCATCGCCCGGGACCATCCTCGCCTAAGCATTACACATTGGTTCCCTGGCCCGGTCCAAACGCCAGGATTGGAGCGCAGCAATGCCAATGGCTTGAATCCACCCAACCCACGCACGCAGGATGAAGCTGGACAGCGTGTCGTCTTCTTGGCCACTAGCGATCGCTATGCACTGAATCCAGGGTGGGTCCCCGTCCCGGCCGGATTACAGCGGTTGCCTCCGGCCGCAGGCGGAATCTTCATGGTCGGAGCCGACGGGGAGCTCAAGGACAATCAGGCTGTCCTGGGGCCTATGCGTGAGAAGGGCCTAGATGAACGTGTCTGGGCCTTCACACAAGCCATGTTTGAAGAGATTGGGCGTCACTGATCGGGAGGAAAGAAGAATCTCCCAAGGGCAGCTATATCGGTCTTCGGTTGCTCAACTTGGCGCGCTTGCGCAAACCAGTGTTTCCAGTTGATTTCATGTCCATGTTGGTTGTCAGCGAGGTTTAGCCAGGCCGTTGCTGCAGACATGGAGTGAGCTGTCTGTCTCTAGCGAGGAAGAAAAAGGATCGATGACAGCATGCCCTAATATGCGCTAGTGTAAACTTCGTTAGCACGCGGGTATTCTATCCCGCGCGCTTAAAACCTAGCTTAGTCCAACGYCCCTTGCTCTTTCTACCCCCACCTTTCCTTTACAACAGAGTCCGCAACGCAACATTGAGCCCGTCTTCCATCCCATTATGTCGTGTTGAGAGTCGTACCGAGTGCATCCTCGTCAAAACGAGCCAACGGTTGTCAAGATTGAAACATGAAACCCAGCGAAATCCGCCGGCGGTCCAGCAGAGATAGCCTCAGAMACGGTGAGAAAAGCCCGATGTGCCTAATGCAGACTCCACGTGTGCATTCGGGGCGAACATTGAATTGTAGGTAGATGCAGGGTCCGTTGAACCAGGGGGTTGATCCAGCTTCTGTTTGCGCTAGAGCTTGTGGCAGCTTGTATCTGGCCATGGAGCAGCCTTTGGGCAGAAGCCTCTCCAAAGAATACCCCGCTACGGCACGAGGACTCATCAAGGCAATCAAGGAGATGCGACTAATGCAAACCACCAATGGTGGGACCTCAAGGGTCTTCTTCAACTCTAGCCAGATATGATAGAGGGTGGCGATAGGCCATCTATCGCTCTRCTTCACGACTTCTGATTGGACTACCACCCTGGAAGCCAGCAGGCACGCCTTTGGAATCCTTCGTAGGCGCTACGATACATAATCTTGCTGCAATTCCCCCTTCATGATGCAACCATCTACTTGAAAATAGCTGCTGGATCAAGGAATGTAACAGTCACAGCTGGAGTGAGTCAGCCCAAGACTTGTCCCTMCTGCAGAGACAGACCAACTTGCAAGACAGCTCTTTGCCATACTCATCACCTCCTACACTTTCGACATGGCCCAGCGCGCTTCCCAAAACCCGGACCGCCCAACTCCACCCAAGTGGGACGCGCCTCTGGTGCGCAGCAGTTGCGATTCTTGCGGGGAATCCAAGACCCGGTGCAGCAGAGAGAAACCTGCTTGTCGTCGTTGCGTTCGAAAAAACATTGTATGCTTCTACTCCGTACCCAAGCGTCCCGGAAGGCCGACAACGAAGAGACAGCGAAGCACGGCGGATGCTCTCTCAGAGAGTTCTCGGTCTCACAACTCTCCTACAGCATCACCCAGAGCGATAATCTCCACAGATGAGACAGACAACGATCCAGCTGATCGTAGCTATACTCCGCCCACTGTAAGCGACGATTCATCAGCAACGATCAATCTCCCACTCAATCCGCAACCAACCACGCCAGGAGATGATTTATGGATGTCGATGCTATCTTCCCCGGAAATGAACGATCTGTACGGCACTGGCGACTTCGAAGACTTCTCATACGATGCATCGCTTGCCAACATGGAMCTGGACATCTACACTGCAGAGACCCACAAGGCCGTCGGACAGGCGTTAGATGCAGCCTCCCTTCTCGTCTGCACAGTCACCGACGGCATACCAAATGCACCCTCCTGTGACTTGCCAACGAATGTACTGCCAATTACCAATGGCCAAAGCTCGTCCATGGCAGCTTTGTCTTCTCTGTTCGAACAGGGAAATTGTGCCGAAAACGACGTGGTCAGCTGTGGGGAATCATCAAACCACGACCCTCCAAGATCCTGCTGCTGTCATGTCCGTGCACTCAAACTTTTAGCGGAACCCTCGCCGCCCAACAGCCTACCATCCAGCGGAGCCCATGATCTGGACACTGTACTCGATCGAAATGCAGCGGCAACAGCCGCAGTTGTTGAGATACTGCAGTGTCATTGCAAGAAAGATGCATACATTCTATTTCACATTTCTCTCGCCCTGTACAAGGCACTTCAATGGTACGAAGCCACCGTTTCGGCTGATGTACCTCTTCAAGACTCAAATTCACGAACCTCCATTGCGGGAAGGAAGCCTAGCGATGCAGCAAGCCGCAAGGCGATACAACTCGTTCTCTCCCAACTTCCTGGTTTCCAGCAAGCCACTTGTGCCCTGAGTGACCACTCCGAAGCCGCGAAACGTTTGGCAGGAACAGATAATCTGAGTACTTTGAGCACTCTCTTAGAGACTCTAATACGAGATTTGAGTAATTATACTCGAGGGCTCGCAAGGAAGGCAATTGTGCGTCTTAGATGACATTCATGGTTCTTGTCATCATTGCGGTTTTCATTTTTTCACTGGCTGCTGCTGCTGCTGCTATATGCAAGGAAGCATCACAATAGATCATGTAGATGCTAAGGATTTCCCACGATGAAGGCTTTGTGCATCTAACGATGGTCGTATGCAATGATTTCGTACAAAGGCATACTTGCCCTATCAGAAACCGGACACCAACGCCCTCGCTTGGACGTTGATTGCGTTCGCTTTGATCATGCCTCTGCATGTAGGATCTCTGCTGCATGATGTGAAGCGACGCAGAGCAGAGCTTTTCCTCGGCTGGTAACCTTGAATCGAATTTTGAAGTCGAAGAGATTGAAGCGTCGGTCACCCATGGGCAAATTGCACCCTCACACTCGGCTTGCTGATGCATCACCGGAGAATGGCTGAGAGTTCGGGCAGATACGTGAATCGTACGGGGGATAAAAGTTTCCTGCCTGAGAATTTGCAATTTGTCACCGACTCGCTTATAGTTACGACCTACATTGTTCTACATCGGCACCCTTAGTTTCGATAAGTCCGTACAGCGAGCGTCACAAGAGATGGTACGATCAATAATCAAGCGAAACATGTAGCTTAACTACTCAGGGAATGCATTCTTTTTTTTTTGAATATCAACACAGGGCTGTAAGGTAGGTATATTCCATGATTTTTAAAAATACCTCAGCATCCCCAACATTCCCACCACAGCACCCACAAGCGGCAATAAAGATCTCACAGCATGTAACTTTGTCCAAGAAACAATCATACTCTCCACCATCTCCCCATCAATCCTCTTATCCCCATCCCCATCCTTATCATCATAATCAACAGCTTCAAAAAGCCTATCATTCAACCCCCCCATAAAAACCCACGTAAAAGGAACAATAGCCAAAGTAAGCCCAGCAGCAACAATACAAGGCACCCAATTCTCCCCTGCTGTAACACGTAACCATGCAGCATATCCATAAGTCCCACTAGTGAGAATTGCGAGTAAAGGACCTTGAGTATGGCCTCGATGGAAAATTTCAGCCCATTGGCGTAGAAGGAGAGGTTTGGATGTTGAGGTTTGGAGAAGGACTGGGATTGTTATTGTGGAGAGACTCATTAATGTTCCTTTTTTTTTTGAGAGAAAATTGTTAGATTTTTGCTGGGTTGGGAGTATGGATGTCTAGATACCTGATAGGAAGGTTCCTAAGATGATGGCGAGGGATTCGGGGGCGAGAATTATGGGACTTGAGATCGCAGAAGACATCTTGTTGGTGATGTTTGGAGAGGGTGGATTTGTTATGAGATGTGGTGTTGAGGTTACACTTCTTGGTGAAGGGTTTCTGGATGGGTGGAGGAGGTTAAGGAGAGTACAAATGCCACTTTCAATGTAGTAGGAGTGTATCTTCGAATACCTACCGAGCGCTACATACCCTTTGAAGACCCATTTGGTAGAGGTATTGGCCCCGAACTCCAATGACAAACATCCCGTTCGGGCGACTTTGATTACGGGTAGTTTCTCTCCAGGGGGAAAAAGACAACGTGAGTTCACCATTACGTTTCCTAGAGTTCAAAAACAGACATATATCTCAGCATCCGACCAGACCATTACACCCCATCACATCCAACATCTTATTCCCTCCAACCTCCAACCTCCAACCTCCAAATCATCATCATCATCAACCATGGGCTCCATCGCAGAACAAACGCCCTCCTCTCAAGGCAATCTCACCGGCAAAGTAGCCCTAGTAACCGGTTCCGGTCGCGGTATCGGCGCAGCCATGGCAATTGCACTGGGCAAAAGAGGTGCGAAAGTCATCGTCAACTACGCGAAATCCTCTGGACCGGCGGAAATGGTGGTGCAAGAGATCATCAAGTCTGGTTCTCAAGCCGTGAAGATCCAAGCGGACGTTAGTAAAGTCCAGGAAATTGAACGGTTGTTTGAGGAAGCTGGTCGGCCTTTTGGGAAGCTGGATATTGTTTGCTCTAATGCGGGAGTTGTGAGTTTTGGACATTTGTTGGATGTTACTGAGGTAAGTAAGGTTTTTCTCGTCCACAGAGAGTGGGATTTTTTTCTTTAGACGTCATGTACTAATTAATCCCACGAATATAGGAAGAATTCGACCGAGTATTCAGCACCAATACCCGTGGACAATTCTTCGTCGCGCGAGAAGCATACAGACATATCCGCGAAGGGGGACGCATCATCCTCATGAGCTCCAACACAGCCACGACCTTCACCGTACCAAACCACTCACTCTACTCCGCCTCCAAAGGCGCCATCAACACTTTTGTGAGATGTCTTGCGAAAGATTGTGGCGGGAAAAAAATCACTGTCAATGCGGTGGCTCCTGGGGGGATTGTGACCGATATGTTCCACGCTACGGCCAAGGATTACCTACCGAATGCAGATAGCATGACGGAGAAACAGATTCTTGATGTGAGTATCAGTTGTCCCAGGAAAGTTTGGATCGATATGCTGATGCGAAAGTGCCGGTTATTTAGATCGTAGCTGGCGTGTCGCCTTTGACTAGGTGTGGCTATCCGGAAGATATTGCAAAGGTTGTTTGTTTTTTGGCTTCGGAGGAGTCGGAATGGATTAATGGTAAAGTCCTTGGGATTGATGGAGGCGCTGCATGAGAGCCACAGACCATTTTCGAACATGTTAGGTAGTTGATGCCACGGCTTTCTTGCGAATGTGACTTGAAGAAACCATTGTTATCCGATCGTTCACGTGAAATCGAATGGTTGCGCAACACTACCGTCGTAATGTCTGCTTGAGTCCATAGATGACGCGACGTGAAATGGGTTTCATGGAATGCCTCATAATATCGCAGAGTGGAGCTCCAAGCTCTCTGTTACAGGACGAGGACATTCATCGGCCATCACCAAACCCCCTGACGATCACGGTTTGGTACTTCGATGCTGTTCTATCCAAGCTCATCTCCAAGCAATGGCAAAAACACCTTAGATATCAGGCAGTTTGGACTAGGTATGTATACCCATGGAGCCATCTAGCGTGCAACGTGCTCCCCAGATTAAGAAGTGACATCGCCAAAAAATCCCAACAGCTCCAGCGAAGGAGGGATCTAATGGGTAGATGAGCATGGTACGTATTCTGCTGATGAAACGCTTCCGAAAGCCCAAAGAGTGTATAGTGTCTCTACAAAACGACGCCGCGGGTGATCTCAGAAGTAGTTTCCGGCCGTAAAAGGTTGCATGGCAATGATGTCGGGGTGTTTTAAGATATTTTGCCAGGCATGTTAATTGGTGTGAAAAATCCCCGGTCGGTACCGGGTCGATCTTTCTCGTCGTCGGGGCGGGGCGGGGCGGTGGGACTTTTGCAGTAGTGCCCTTTTCGAACCCATGTAGCGTCGGAGGATGTCTTGATCAGGTAATTCCTGTTCCATCGTAGGTACTATTCTACAGTGGAGATCTGCAAATAAGGGCCCGACTTTAAAGGCTTTGCTACACATTTCGAGGAGGACGGTCTTTCTTGACCCGACATGAACAACAACGCGACTTCAATTGCTCGGGGTCAAGTAGAAGGCGCTGGACGTTGTAAGAAAACCACCCCGAATGATGCAGCTCCTCCTGGTATGGGAAGTTCTTTCCTCGTGTGTTTATATGCCCGCTTTCGCCTCGTTCTCTGATAGGCTACCAGATGGGAACAACACGTTTGCCGATCAAGAGTGGGCGGGTACGATGCAGAGAGACACTGATCTCGTTCCTTTAGCTGATCGACCGTTTCGGTGCCTGAATGCTCGCTTGCTGGATTTCGGTGGCGGCATGTCTGTAGGATCCGGTGAGAATCCTCAACTTTGAGCAAGTGCGGCAGCATGTTGAATACAATCGTACCTACTGTGGCTCGTCCTTCCCCTGACTACATACCTTACCACTTCCTCATTAAACCATGGCATCAAGTGCAGCAGAGAAACCCGAGACATGGACCGCAGAGTCCACAYCGAGGCAAATCGTGCATACTACTGGCGCAGCTCCGACCCAGCCAGTGGAGTTCGTCAAACACCTTGCAGGCCAGGTATGTCCGTCCGGAGAATATCAGTTCGACCATGCAAAAATTCCCTGACTTACCTTACCATATCCAAGGCACAAATCTTGGCTTGCTTAAAGTGGCTGGGCGAATTCCAAATCCTCGCCCTCGTTCCTCTTCAAGGCAGCATACTTGCATCTGAGATTGCCGATCTGGCGGGCGTCTCGGTCAAGGAACTCAGTCGAGTCGTTCGCATGATGGCAACCATGGCCTTTCTCTGCGAAGTTCAGCCMAATCGCATCGCTCATACAGAGCTCTCCGCATCGTTCATTGGCGACTTCTCGCTCATGGACTGTGCCATGTTTCTCGGCGAAGTCGCTGTACCATCGGCGCTACATATGACGGAAGCAGCGTCGCGCGCACGGGGAGATCACGCAAGCAGCAGTGCGTTTTCCCTTCTTCGAGGCACTCAGCAGTCGTTTGAGACTATGTGTGCTGGAGACGAAAGATTGCAACGCCAGTGGGCAGCATACCGTACATCTGTCTGCGCTCCCAGTAATGGTGTCATTGCAGCTCTGTGTCGATTGAACTGGGGCGGCCTGGGCAAGGCTTGCATTGTCGATGTATGTGGACCCTCAAGCCCTCGATGATGTCCTGCACAGCTGACGATCTCTGCGATACAGGTAGCAGCTCGGACCATGGATTTGGTCACTGCTCTTGCGGGTGTAGCCCCCGCTCTCCACTTTATCGTGCAGAAAGTTGGAGAGGACTTGCATCCAGTGCCGAACAGTGAGAAGATCAACGAACGAATCACAATCTTGGACAAGATGCCTTCGGGGACGCAATTAGTTAGAGACGCTGCCGTGTACATTCTCCACCTCACCTTGAGCCACTCGCTACGTTCCCAACTCTTGGCAGAACTGACAGCTCATCTGGGATTGCTGCGGGACAATCCTGCGGCCGTCATGATAGTGGCACCTCCTCTGTTACCAGAGCCTGGAAGCGTTAGCCTGGGGATTGAATCAGAGGCACGGGCAAGGGATCTGACCTGTTTGCAGCTCGCCCAAGAAACGAAGCTGGAACTTAGCGAGCTCACGGAGATGATCAACGGATGCAAGGATAGAGATGGACGATTGGCGGTTGTAAACACAATACGGCTTGACAATGGTTTGGCGGCAGCAGTAAGTGTCAAGTATGAGCTGCGTCCATCGCTTGATTGTTCGTTGTGGAAAGCGGTTTAGCCGCCAGAAGATTGAAGATTGAAAACTTTTCAATGGTCACACGTATCTGCTTGCATGTACATTGAACGCCTTTGACAGTCCATAGTCTTGTGACTCCCTTCTTCCACACCATTGATTCGRGTCGTCCAAAGAACCCGATCGGAAGTAGTTTGCCCGGTTTTCAATGCTATCAAGTGCGTGGCAGATATGGATGCAGCCAAGGCATATAGTGTCGCAGCAGGCCGAGCACGATGCACAGAACAGTGCCGGGGGGAAATTTGGCGGGCCCGTGGGTAGATACAGTACTGATGCTCAGATTATCGTATTTTCCATCTGGGTCATCCACAGCCTCAACCATAGCCGCGGCCAGATCCAAATAAGATGTCGGACCGTCTTGCTGAGTGGTACTCAGAGCATATCCGCGTGATAAATCAACAGAAAGAGCGCCTGGCTTCATATATATGCTGGTGAGCCAATCACTCTCTGCTCGGAGCATGTCCTCTGCGACTTTGATGTCATGATAAACATGCGATGCTGAGCGAAGCAGAACCGGGAGTAGTAAGGACGGTACATGGAGAGAAAATCGTTCGTCGATGGTCCCGGACGAGAGCAGCACGACCTTTGGTAGTTTGGTTGCACGAGACTTTTGTGAGTTGCGTAATGCCTGAATGACCACCGCGGCGGTGTCTTGGGCCATATGGCAGCCCGGCTCGTTGTCGTTTGTAGATACGCACAGGAAGACCGCTTGGCAGTCCCGTATACAAGCAGCCAGCAGATCGACGTCATTTAGGCTGCCCTCGTAGACGTGGACTCTTTCATGATTATCGCCATCGCCGAGCTGGMGCCTCAGTTTGGGTTCGTTTCGACAGAAAGCATTGATGTGCTTGTTGGGTTGGGCGAGCAGCGTCTGGACCAAGGCTGATCCACAATTACCGGTGGCACCCAGAACGGCGTAGATCGACGCATTGGCTGCATTCATGCTGTGGTGTGTCTGTAGTGGAGGGCTGGAATATCAGGTGGTGGGACAGCAGCAAGTGGACCGGCCCAGATTCCTCTTTGGAGGAGTAATATACAGATGGAGTCTGAGCGCGGGCCATTCGGCAAGTACTGCTCGGGGAGTACTTTTCACCTGCCATCCTGTCCCCACTGGATTACGGGCCGGGAGGAACCAAAGCTGAGAATGTTGACACCTACAAGAGACTCGCTTCGGGAGCGAAAGTGCCAGAGTGTGGAAGTGTGAAAGAAGTTACCCAATTCACCGCGAGAATTCTCCAGACCCAGACCAKTATGCCCACGGTTGTTATCCTGGACGCCTGCAGTCCCATCGGCCTCAAAGCCCTTGAGCTGGTCACCCTATCGCACGCCTCGTTCCGAGTTCGCTGCGTGGAACGCGCCGGTGAAAATGGAGGTGCCATACTGCGTGCACAATTCCCCATGCTGCTACGTACGACCGTCTTGGAGCGCTACCTTGACGACACCAACGCCTTAGCCCGCTGCATCGACAAGTGCGGTGTCGTTATCGCGTGCAACCCAGCAGACATTGCCCTCGTCTCCAAAGCGCTGGAACTCTGCCATGCTCATAGACGACCTCGACTTGTCGCCACCCTGCACGACTTGGCGAAGGAAATGCGGGAATTGACCCGCCGAGAGCCCGCACGTCTGTCACACTGCCACTTTGCAGACGCCGGGGTGGAGATGATTGAGAGCGGGTCTACCGCCGGCTATTGAGTGCGTTTCCAGGACCTGTACAGAGCGGTGGGTGCGGATATGGACCATTCCATGTCGGTTTGCAGATCCACCGGTTGGTTCAAGGCGGCCAGCTTCAGTTCATACGCCTTTTGGGAGAGCACTGAGTTTGCAAAGAGAAGTGGACAWGTTCCGGCCCGAGAACTGCTATAAATCAGCTCAAGTCAAGTAAGCACGTAACTTAAGCAGAGCTACATCGCTGAGAGATGATTCCCATAAGTAGTTGCCTGATACAATGCGTGGCCAATCACATCGTTTGCATGTCTTCGAGACAAGTCTCACACTGGCAATCGAAAGAGAGTTACTGCTTGATGTGTCGACCATTAGCAAACTACCGGCAGGTATGTGCCTGGTAGCCCGAGTCACTCTTCCTTTAGATAGATGGCCTCGGACAGGTGAGGTGAAGGTGGTGTCGGCGACTCCGCGGGCGCTCTGGGCTGTTTCCGAAGAAGGCCCGTGCGGCAGAATCTCCCCGACCACCTCTCTCAACGAAGTCACACCCTCCCAGTCTCCCTGTCAGACCACCGACCTGCTTAATAGGTAACCATGCCTAGTAACCTCAAACACGACRTTGAGCCTTGGCGCGAAGAGATCGAGCAACGTACAAGAGATGGAGAGTCTCTCGAGCAGATCGCCGCTGGTCTTTCTGCGAAAGGCTTCAATACAAGTTCCAAGACCATCGGAAGATATCGCATTCAATGGGGTCTGCGCCAACGTGCAGCGGGTAGATGCGGTACGCATATCCCTTTACAGAACTCACTCCTTTACGCGTTTCGCTAATTTTCAACCAAGTCGGCAAGAAGTATCCAAATCGAAAAAGGAAGCTTCCCGACTCTGGGCCATCAAAGACTGCTGGACAAGATCAAAGAAAACAAGACATCACAGATCGTACACAGCGAGGCGAGACCGCAGAGCAGATCGCAGATGCCTTGACAGCACAAGGATTTGAGCTGAAAAAAGGTGCTTCAACTGTATGGCGCCTTCAAACTTACTGGGGATTGATCCCATACGACCCCGCGAGAGCGCGAGGAAAGCACAGCAAGAACAGAACTTCCCCATCCAAGACAACATCGACAGCCCGCCGCAGGATTCCACCAACTCCTGCCGACCCAAAGGCCTTCTACCCAAGTAACTGCGCAAATGGTCCTCAAAGGCGTGCTCTCGCCATTGCACCGCATCCAAACGGCAGAGATAGCATGCCGACGAACATCGATCCGGATTTCGACTCCGACCCAGAGCCTCTCCCAGACATGATGGACAACGATGAGATTACTTCTACGGCGGAACGTAGCCAGGACGCATATTCGTCTACGGTTCCTCGAATACAGCCGGACCTGGTCCCAATAGACGCCACTCACCAGTCTGTCGGCGTCGACGTCGCAGCACATTTGATGAGTGCAGAGCTTCTGCTGGATCTTGCATCATCCACACTCGCAGCAGCAACCAGACTCAMAGAGCTCTACTCTGCGCAGCAAATGCAGAGACCGGCGAAAGGTTCGCTGAGTTCGTCGMCGCCGACAAGCGAAGACATTGCGCATGCTAAACTAAAGGTTCGAGAAGCAGCCGGGGTCATGTATGATCTGGCTACATGAGAAAGTGCTCAACACGAGTGCTTTTGATATTTATAACAAAGGCTTGACAATGCCTCCCGTAAGCTATCAATGATATGCTGTCAATCCTTTGATGGCTTACCCTCCGTTTCACCAGAGATGGCACCCCGGCTGTACTCCTACGAGGGTCTTGAGAGAGACACTACATGCAACGAGTATGTGGCGGAAAGGGGTCTGCAGTGACGGCCAGTCAATCAAGCGACTACACACAATAAGCTGGCTTGCCAGCACTGCTGGACCGCGTCCAGAGATCTTCAAAAGCTTCCACGACGCTCGCCGGCAAAGGCCCTCSCTCACAGGCCTGCAAGTTCTCCTCCATCTGTTCCTCGCTGCTTGCACCTAAAATGATGCCATCTTCCTGACCAAGGATGGAATGATGAGCGAGCCAACGAAGCGTGGCTTCCTTCAGCTTCACATTGGCATCATCACAAACCTTTGTGAGGTTATCGTGCAGCTCCAATGTCAAATCATTGACGTACATCTTGCTGAACACTCGCATCTGGTCCATGCGACTGCCAGGAGGTGGATTGCGAAGCTCAGTGGTCGGTCGGGAGAAGAACCCGCCTGCCTGTGGAGGAACAAAGGTTCCGTCAGCACATATTGAACTACATGGCAGCGCGACCTTGACAACGTACCAATGGGCTGAAGGCGAAGAAAGAAATGCCGAGCTTTCTCAGGCTGGGAAAGAGCTCGGTCTCCGATGTTCGGGCCATAGGATTATAACCTCCTTGGTATATCGAGGGAAGAACATACCCATTTGCTTTGCAAATCGCATGTATTTCTTCAACCTACAACAATACAATGGAAGCCTTGTCAGTCGCGTTCTCATTCAATCACCAAACAGTACCTCTGCTCAATGCTGTGTTCCAGACTTGCCTCAGATTTGTTGAAGTTCGACACGCCAAACCTGACGACCTTGCCAGCCTTATGTAAGTCATTGATCGCTCTACAAGACTCCTCCAAAGGAGTCTGACGATCCGGACCATGGAAATAGTAGAGATCGATCTTGCTTTGCTTCAAAGCAGAAAGCGAAGCATCGCAAGCATCCACAATCTTCTGATAGCTCAGCGAACCCGGCGAAAACCCAGGAGCTTTCGTAGCAATTCTGAAATGTTCATGTGCTTCAGGAATGATCTCGCCCAGAATCTCCTCACTCTTTCCAGAATTGTACACTCGAGCCGTATCGAGATCGCGAACACCGTGCTTTTGCAGGACCGCTAGGATTGATTGTATGCTCTGAGGTGTAGCCATCTTCGTTGACCCCGCTGCGACAGAGCTCCCCATGAGACCCGCGACTTCGAAACACACACGGCATGTCAGTACCATGGTCTAGATTGCATGCGGAGCTTACGGGGAGAGAGGACTGACTGATTCTGACCATGTTGGAAGTCGTTTGGATTATTCAGTGTTACGTTGAAACAAGATCGTGATGGAGGTTCGTGATGCTGTACGTCGTCCAGAATGCAGCTTCACGTATCTCGAGACATTCGTGTGCGTGCCGTACGTCTCGCTATGGTAACGCCGACGACGGCATGCTGCATGTTTTTGTCAGCATGCCATGCCGCTGACGACGGGTGAATCCTTCGAGCATCCACCTACGTCGCTAGATGCGAGAGGAACAATCACCATCAATATTTGAATGATACAGTAGTGAGCGACTAAAGGCCAGTTGATTTGAAGATTGCCGGCTCTCCTCGTGGTGCATCGACGACAATGCTTACGAACAGGTAGCTATAAGCACGAAAAGTAGCAATCTTACGGAGAGTCACATACGGAGGATCGAATGTCTTATTGTCAAATAATGTCTTCTTAATCTCGCTGTTCGAATGTCTCATCAAACCTGAATGATCTCTTCTTAATCGTGCAGTCGTTGTTGTCGAACATACAAGAATAATTTCGCCTGCTAGAGGTGCATAGATCGACAACCTTCATTTTCACCGGGCCTTGGACTGACTCTTCATTTGTGCAATTCGTTTACGATCAAGGACCTGAGAAGCTAAGCTGGWGGTACATATACTGTTGTCAAGCATGCCTTGTCCGGATCCAGGGCAACGAAGATCCGCACGCAGGCCATGAATCGTGGTTGAATGTTAAATGCACTGCACTGCGAAGCATGTCGACTGATCCCTAGCAATAGATCTTCAAGAGGCAGTGAATTTGAGCAAACTAACATCACAAACTAACATGCTAAACAAAGGCCGGTAAACACAGGCGTAAAACACATTGATGATAGATCGTCCTTAGTCGCTGCTCGAATGGTTAGAATCGTCAGCAGCGTTGCTCTTGTGCGTCGAACTTACTGCAGGTAGGTGTTTGCCAACTGTTGCGCCAGAGGCTTAGCAACGGGTGCCACAGTCTTCCAGCCCTTCTTGCCCTTCTCCACTATCTCGTCCATGTCGAGACCGTCCTTCTTTTTACTGCTGCCGTGGGAACGTCTTCGGTCACGGTCACGATCCCCACGATCGTCACCACGGCTTTCTTTTCTGTCGCCGCCGCGCCTATCTCTGTCGTGTCTGCGTTCTCTGCGTTCTCTTTCCCGGTCTCTGTCACGTCGCGAGTCACRACCATCGGTTCTGTACCCGCGTTCATGATCATCCCTGGGCTGCCGTCGAGGACGATCAGTACCGTAACCTTCGTCGTATCTGCTCGGCTTTGCCTCACGCCGTCGGCGAGGTCTTTCTGGTTCGGGCTCGGTGTCTTCATCATGGTATGGAGCATGCCGAGGCCTCATAGATCCATGACGAAAAGGCTCGTCAAAGGGATCTCTTTCTGGCTTGCTACGGCGGCGCGGATCCCAGTCATCGTCTCTCGAAGGCCTGCTACGCCGTGGTGGTTCTTCGTGAGAACTACGGCCTTTGTGGCGTCGAGGTGGCTCTGGTTCATCGATATCTCCTCGGCTACGGTGGGACCTGCGTGGAGCGGGCTCCTCTTCGTAGGGATCTCTTGTCCTGTGGCGAGTTGACCCGCGACGCGAAGGTCCCCTATCCTCGTAAGGATCCTTATCTCTATTGCGACTCTTACTGCGATCCTCTCCTATTGGCGGTGGTGGAATGTCAGAGTCCTTGGGTATCTTCTCCCGGGAGGAGTGTGCGCTATCATGGTGTCGCCGGCGAGGAGCATCATCCTCGTCCTCACCCTCGTACTCGTCTCGCTTTCCCGGACGTGATTTAGGTCGGCGATAGTAGTCCTCATCGTCGGCGTCATCGTAATCGGGAGGAGCCCGTCGGTGACGGCGTTCCCGGGATGGAGCAGGCATATCGTCTGGGTACGAAGGCATGATGCCCTTGGCAGTGGACGGTCCAACGGGGATGGTCTTGATCGGATATGGCCAAGACTCTACAACGTCTCTCGAAGGATGATGGTCGTGGAAAAATCGACCTTGGTGAGAGCCCCCACCTTTTCGTCTGGGTCTGTGACAGTCTTATGCAGGGTTTCAGCTCTCGTGCAGTCACACAGTCAGCTCACGATGCTGGAGTCTTGTGGAACTGCGATAAGTTTGGTAGATGCGGAAAGATGCGAAACAATGCGCGCTATAACATGATTTGCTTAAGAGGTTGGAGTTTCGGGGGATACTTAATAAGTTCGAGGCGTCTCACCAGGGATCCCCCACTGCAGCTTGATGTCACCAATTCGACGGACAGCCGCTGGCACAGAATGCGGCGTGATGATCAGCGCCTCGGCTTTCCCGTCCAACACGACGTTGGACAGCAGCGGTGAGAGCCCGGGATTATCCACGTCGACATGCGAGGCCTAGCAGCGATAGTCGTGGCATCGTTCGGCGAATGCATTCACACGGGTTTGCACTGTAAACAATCGCCATTAACAGCAGAAGACATCGAACGTGGAGAACGTTGGATGCGACAAAAGAAGCAAAGCGCTAATCCAGTCTTGTTCAGTACCGAAGTGCTTGTTGTAAAATCTGAGACAAACCGGAATGCCCACGACTTTTGGTAGGATGCCCCGGATCGGAAGTTGACCGGCAATTCCTCCAGGCAAGAAGCTACCTACTGATCGATTCGCGCATGAACATGCCACGCGACCACGATGCCCGACTTCTTGTCAGACTCGCCACCACTATGACCGTCAACGCTGTGGTGGACCGCATGCTGCTCATGCTGCGTCATAATGCTTTTCGCTGTTGTCCTCCACTTCCACATACGCCTGCAAGCTACGTTTCGGCTTCCGGTCGTACATGTCCGACTGCGTCAATGTTGGCCCTGCTGAATGACCCGCTTCAGCATCACTGTGAGATATTGACAGGCGTGGCGGCAGTGTGGGAGGTATCGCACATGCTAGAACAGTTGAGCGTTAGAAGGTCGATAAGTACATGCACTCAGTTGTTACTATCGAACACCAACGGTCGCGATTTGGGAAGAAAGAACGTACACTCTTGGTTGATGCCCTCGAAAGCATCTAGAGGTAGCTTGTATCGCGGCTTCCTCACCGGCCACGCAGATTCTGGCAACGTTGTTCCTTGATGATCGAGTGCAAGCTTTCCAGGCAGCTTCCAGCCATCACTTTGTCGAATAGAAGGTCCAGCCTGGCCAGATCTAACACCACCAAGGGCTGCCGAGACGGACTCCCAAGCAGCTGCTCTTTGCTTCTCGTGCGGCAGTTTGGCAAATTTGCCCAGAGTTTGTGGAGTCCACTGTCCTGAGTGCTGTCGCAGGTCTTGTTGTGCATCGAATGCCAGAGGCTTGATCGGCGTCGTTCGCGCTTCGTCTTGCGTCGCAGAAGCGGCTCTCGAGGTCGCTAGCTCTGCTTTTGGCGCACCGGCCGGCGTCTCGGGTGTAGAACATCGTGCCAATGTATCTTCACGCTGTGCAATCTCGTTTGTTCTCTCTTCCAGCAGTCTAGAAGCCCGCTCGCGTTCTCGGGTTTCATGGCGACAGTCATCGAGGGCAATCTTCAACTCCTTGGTGAGACGCTCGATCGTGGCATCTCTCTCTTCGATTATTGTGGCTCCTCGCGCAATGACATCTCCCTGTTGACGTACGACATCGTCCTTGGCCTCAGCGAAGGCCCGCAGTCTGTATAGCTCATTTTCCTTTTCAGCCACAGCCTCGTCAAGTTCTGCTCGATGATGGCCGACAGCTCTTGAGAACGAGTCTTGCAGGTCTTGTACTTCTCGCTCCAAGACTTTGACTTGTGCCTCACCATGGCGATGTACTTGCCGATTCTCGAACTCCCGGCGGTTCATGGCGAAGATGTTGTTGTAGGCTCGCACTGTCTGCTGTAGATCTGCGATCTGATTATGCAAGCATTCCTTTTGGTAGGTAAGCTCATCAATACAGTTGTTTTTGCTTGTCATCTGTTCTTCGCTATCTTGCGCATCGGTTTGCATGCGAGCTAGAATGTCCTCGAGACGCGCCTGTCAATACGTTCATGGTCAGCTAATCGCTGGAATGTGCCATATTCAAGCCGTCGCAAAACTTACAATTTCACGATCTCGGAAAGCAACACCAGATGAGCCCTCTGTCCAAAGCGCGACGCCTGCGCCGTACTGAGCAGTGWTGGAGAAATCGCTCTCGGGCTGTGGGACATGACGGTTCCACCAAGCAGGACTGTTTTGCTGAATGTTTTGCTGCTGCTTGAAGTCACATGGCAGCTCTGCAGCGCTTTGGCCAAAATGCGTCGAGTAATGGTCGGAAGTCCACGGCACAGGCCGGTTGGTCGAGCCACTGGCTGGTGGTGTAAACCGGCTGGGATCCAGGCCATCGACACGATCCTCAAGATTGGAGAAATTCCCTTCCATATCGGCCACTCGAGTGTTGAGTCCTTGAACATCTGTTCTCAAAGAGTCCCAAAGCTTCCAGAAGACTGGTCCTGATGGAAGTGCAAATGGCAGAGATGGACTCGCGGCTGATTCCACGAGTCTCGGTGGCGCATCAAATGTCTCTCGCCGGCCGTGTGATGAATTCAGATAGCTCAATGATGCCTCCATAGACTGAAGGCGCAGCTTCAGAGCTGAAAGGTCGTCGGAAAACATGTCTTCGGATGTCGCTTGGGCTGTGTGGCGACCAAACGACGTGATTTGCCTTTTGATGTTATCAAGTTCGCATGCGAAAGTGATGTCGTTCATCGTGGAGTTGTTGTTGTTGTTGTTGTAGGTTTGTTTGCTGGCCTGTGAGCGAAGAGACGAAGTGAGGTCCCGGTCCGAAGCTCCAGGTAGCTTGCAGGCATGACCACTTTCAATTCCAAGCGCATGTGCTTGCCGGAAGCTTCTCTTTCAAATCAATATTTCCGCATTCACTGTTCACAAGTGAGCACAGTTAATGTTGTAATGAGAATCAGCTGAAACTCGTAATCACATACTCAGGTATAGACTTCCATCGCTGATAACGCCGCATGCATGCTGTKTKKKTAWWRMTRSRGCSACCAYCGAGMTCTACACCCACTGGGTGTCTAATTCATAAAATCATTGGATCCCCCGGAGGCCACTTGTTCAACTCCCTTTCGCTATCGTACACTCTGATACGCAATTACTATGCTGCCGTAAGCCATGAAGGCTGCCGCGAGACACCCTGACGCCATGTCGAATATGAATAGGTGCGCCGCCTAGACGGAGAACTTCGCCTTGGCGCGGCTGCTGCCGGCATGCGCAGAGTCGGCGTGACCGCTGAACTCCAGCTGCTCGGTGGCGGGCAATTGCAGAACCTCCTTGAAGCKCTTGCCGATGCGTTCGAGGCGCTTGCGACTCTCGGCAGGATCTCCAGACTCGTCCTTGCGGCCCTTGGGTGGTTGGCCGGCCGATCGGGTCCAAAGACCGACACGCCAGAAGGCCTTGCGAATGTTGACAACCACACCCATGACCTCGTTGTCGTTCTCCTCCTCCAGCATCTCGCCAATGGCAGCGAGCATGATGTTCAACCAAGTCTCGTCGTTGGCCTTGCTACCCTTGAAGGTGTAGGCCCATCTTCCACCGTGCTTGTTCTGCTGATCTTCCCACTCAGGTCTGACGCCGTGCTTGAAGAGATGGTAGTCTGATTTTTGGGCGAGCTCCGAAGCAGGAGTGATGTTGTTCTGAAGTGATTGATGTCAGCTGCTGTCACCTGTACAAGAGGGGAATGAGTAGAACATACGTAGATGCCCCAAAACTCCTCGACACTGTTGAAGCTGATGACCTCCTTGAGCAGCTCGTTCCAATCCTGCTTGCCGCTCGGCGGCTTCGTGAACCAGAGGGTCCACGTGTGCTGCAGCTGGTGTTTGACGTTGAAGTTGGCCGGATCATCAAAGACAGTCACAATCTGGCCGTTGGCACTGCCTCCACCAGTGGTCGCGCCATTTGTGGAGTCAGTCATCGCACCGTCTGGCGAGATGGGAATTGTATCGAGCGGCACCGGCTCCTGTGGGTTCTTTGCGACGTCGGCCATGGTACTTACGAGTGATGGTTCTGGTGCGGTGGATGATTTTGTTGCAGCGGAAKTCGATGCGAAGGAGATGATATGAGAAGTAGTCACGAACAAGTGAAGAAGTCCGCGACTAAAAGTTTAGGTGGGAAAGGGCAAATCACTAGCGTGGCTGTAAGTTACTACTAGCGTGGTTGGAAGCCGCTTTCTACACCATCGATTTTGCTACAACTTGTCACAATTGCGGCAAACGTCTACAAAATGAAGCGTGCTTGCTGCTGGAACTCCTGTTCAACGAGACCAAATTGGGCCGAGGTCCTCGATGCGGAGCGACATGCAAGAATCCGATCATGACGAAGTTTCTGCAGATGATAGCCAGTATGCGGGCAGCGAATATCAGTCTTCCTCAGACGGTCAGCGTGAGGGCCGCTTCTATGGGCCCGACAGCAGCTGGAGATACTACACTCAGGATGAGCGCGCTCTGGCGGCTTCCCTCCAGCATATTGAGAACAACGATCTGAGCATAGCCCTTTACAACGTGCATGCCATGAAGGCACGGGCTCGCGGAGCAGAGGTCATCTCAATCGTAAAGCCGTGGCACTGCAAGGCGCGCTGGATCCAAGCTGATAGAGACGGCAATGAGCCGTTTCAGCCGCCTCCAAAATGGACAGCTTGGCCATTGAAGCCTGAGACGGTGCCTCGAACGCGTGAAGTCTGGGGGGTTGCTCTTCCTCACCCAGATGTAGACTCTGAGACGTTCTCAAAGGTAGAGGTATGGAAACCGAGTCTCAACCTGGAAGAAGAGTTGAAGGCGGTGTTCCTTCGGCAGGCCAAACTTAACTTCAATCAGCGACATTGGATAGCCGGCTCTCTCAGCGCATCTCATTCGAGCGAGGTGTCGCATTCATCTGCCACTTCGAGTGATCGGGAGGGCAAGAGGATGGTGACAGAAGATGAGCAAGCGGAGTCGTTGTCGGGGGACGCTCACTCTGAGTCTGGATCAGTGTCGATACCGCTTTTCATGGCCGACGATGACTTATCAGGCTCGATATTACAGCCTACTATCAGGCACATTATTTCCAAACAGGACGAACTGCTCGCTACACTCCACCAAAGCCGACGGGGACACCGTATGGACCACTCGTTTTCCACGCGAGCAAAGCGCAAGGCACCGTCTGGCTATGGGTCTGCAACCCACGATGAGAAATTCGGCAAAGCAATTCGAAAGCGGAAACGTATTGTATCCGAAGTTGCTGAACTACCAAAGGAGCAGCAAAGTGTCGAAGAAATCAACGAGAAGCCTGCCCGCAAAGCGAGAGGGCAGTACAGGCGAACGCCAGGCCAACGGGACTGGAGCGAGGTTCTTGGTATAGCGACCATGGCGGGCTGGGATCAGGCTGTTATCGATCGAGCTGCTCGAAGATGCGCTGCCATATTCGGAGAATCGATGAGCATGCGCTGTATGGCAGAGACATCTACACACTCCTTACAGGATAAGACCATTGTCTATGCCCCGGACATGATTCCTCCAATCGAAACTATGGATGTGCAACCGGAAGAAGCCATCGATGAGTACACGAATTCATGTCCGCACAAGGCTTGTCGACGCCACCATGACCCGTACGAGAAACGCTGGCGCCTGCGAGAGCACCTAAAGAAGAAGCACAAATACAGCGCAATTCAACTGAAGGACTGGGCGTCGAAGGTGACTGAACACGATCGACAGAATGTTTCCAAAATTGTACCTCTCGCGGCGKAGGGAAGCATCGATGAAGGAGAGGAAGGCATTGACGCCCGAGCTGAAAGTGAGCGGGACGACTTCCTTCAGCCAATTACTGTTCGCATAGGACGGTCGAGGGATAAACGTCCAAGAGCAAGCGCGAGCAGGAGTCGATCGCAGAGTGCCGCTGCAATCCGGGCTTCTGGTGATGATGTGTCAGGTAGTACCATGTCAACAGACTCGGAGCTTTGATGGCTGGAGGGCAGCACTTCAGGTTGAATCTGCGGAATTGCTGCGATAATGTATGTGCTCATATCAGCCGCGGGCTTCGTCGCCTCAGCATCCAAGAAGCGTCGTCTGTTGATGGCAGAGAACCTCTCAGTAGCTGTTGCGAAAACTTGTGTCGGAGACCGATGCAAGACTGGTTAGCCTCTCCATCGTGGGGATACAAAGTCCCCGGCCACGGCTTCCTTGCCATCTGGTCGTCAGCAAAGGATCGATTGATACCGATGCTGTTACCTTAGAGTCGGCCCATTTGACCACGTACATTATGTTCCTGTCGATTAACAATCCCCATGTTTCTTTCGAGTCGATTGCAGCAGCAAAGCGCTTTGCAGCATGTGATCCAGCGTGTAATCCMGCCAGGCTTGCAAGGACTAGATTTCACGGTCCACCAAGTAAATCGCCCTTCCTTGACCAACGACTCGACAGACTCGAGTGTGATTTATGTAGCTTGCTGTTTCATTCGAACGATCGTAATTATAATAATAATTTGCCAGTGCAGCGGCACCTCGGGTACCCAACCGGAAGCTGTTGAGGTTTAGCGTGCTCGCCACTTGTGTGGCTCGGATCATCCCGGAATCTCTCCTTTGACTTGATTTTTCTCGTCTCCATCTTGACACTCAACCTCATCCATCAACCAATCTCCCCTCATAACCAACAACATGGCGTCTTCACAAAATGAGAAGCAGGCTGTCATGGGCATGCCCCCATTCGTCGTGGATTTCCTGAGTACGTTGGTCCCCGTCACCGGCGGCGCGAAACACTGGCCTCGACGAAGGAGCGAGGAGCAGCGATAAGAGCTTGCGCACGATGAAGCTGGATCACAATGCTGACAATGCCTGCAGTGGGTGGTGTCTCCGCCGCTGTCTCTAAGACCGCTGCCGCTCCCATCGAGCGCGTCAAGCTTCTTATCCAGAACCAGGTATGTTGTGCCCAATGCCTCGAGCAGCGCGGCCATCCCCCCGCGCATCGAGTACCACCGWTGGCAGCCGACTGCCATCGGCGCCATCATCTGCGCACGCGCAACTGACATATCTGTCTTTCTAGGATGAGATGTTGAAGGCCGGCCGTCTCAGCCACAAGTACGAGGGTATCGCCGACTGCTTCAAACGCACCACCGCCGATGAGGGTGTCGTCTCCCTCTGGCGTGGAAACACTGCCAACGTTCTCCGTTACTTCCCAACCCAGGCCCTCAACTTCGCTTTCCGCGACACCTTCAAGGCCATGTTCGGTTACAAGAAGGAGCGTGATGGATACGCGTGGTGGATGGCTGGTAACTTGGCCTCCGGTGGTGTTAGTATACTCCCAGGCCTTCTCCGCTTGATGATGAAACTGACGCGCTTTTCAGCTTGCCGGTGCCACCTCCCTCCTGTTCGTCTACTCTCTCGACTACGCCCGTACTCGTCTTGCCAACGACGCCAAGTCCGCCAAGAAGGGTGGTGACGGCCAGCGCCAGTTCAACGGACTGTTGGATGTCTACAAGAAGACCCTCGCCTCTGACGGTATCATGGGTCTCTACCGTGGTTTCGGTCCCTCTGTCGCCGGTATCGTTGTCTACCGTGGTCTCTATTTTGGAATGTACGACTCCCTGAAGCCTGTCGTTCTCACCGGTAACCTCGAAGGCAACTTCCTTGCATCTTTCCTCCTCGGATGGACCGTCACCACTGGTGCCGGTATCGCCTCGTACCCTCTTGATACCGTCCGTCGTCGCATGATGAWGACCTCTGGTGAGGTGAGTAAAATCCGCGCRCAGAAAATTCGCAAACTAGTTCTAACAAAATATTCAGGCCGTCAAGTACAAGTCCTCGTTCGATGCCGCCAGCCAGATCATCGCCAAGGAGGGTGTCAAGTCTCTCTTCAAGGGTGCCGGTGCCAACATCCTCCGTGGTGTTGCCGGTGCTGGTGTCTTGTCGCTTTACGACCAGATGCAGCTCCTCATGTTCGGAAAGAAGTTCAAATAGATGACTCGCCCACAAGAGCCGGCCGAAATTGTCAAGCGCTCGGTACAAGGAGGGGATGGAAGTGGATCTGCATGCCGCTAGAAGATTGCAGAGGCGGAAAAGAAGCGATTTSCATTGACCAATGCATGTACGGCTTGTGGTCATATGGTTACTGTGCTCCAGCAGAGCGCCGTTCGGACCGTGTACCATTAGTCTACCCTGTACCTGTTGTTTCTAAACTAAAGGCGTTGTGTTTTTCCACGTTTGAGACTGGTTAAGTTGGCCATTTCTCGAGTGACATGATGGAACATAAAACCGTGGACTGTGATTGAAGACCACATTCCGCTCAACTTCCGTACTCATATCATACTAACATTAATCATACACTCGTCCCCGACGAGGAGGATGCCTACGTGTCGCGATTAATTCTCTTCCAGACCTCCTTCTCAGTCTCGGCGATTGTGCTGCCTGCAGCACTCGCCCAGCCTTTGACCGCATTCCACATATTGCCCGCAGTATCGTTCGCACTGTCTCCCCCGATATTCAAGTTCGGCACGATGCTGGGCCTCCGCTGATCCTGTTGCTCGAGACTAGCTCTAGCCGTCGACGACATTTCCTGCGCCATAACATTCTGCTGATATCCTGGTGGATGCGAGCCGGCTTGAATCTGCGGCGCTGGCGCTGCGCCAAAATTGAGAGTTGTCGGGCCTGGTCTTTGAGGTGTGGTCGTTGCCGACGATGTGCCGTAGACCGGGGCGTAGTTTTGCTGGGGAGCGGGGATCCCCATTTGTGGAGGCATTGTTGTCGTTGGAGCGACTTCTCCTGCTTTGGGTGGTGGTGGCAGCGTGCTTGGAAGGGTGGACGAAGCTTGCTGGGAGGGCGCTACTGGCACAGCGCCTGGCTGTGGAGGAGGAGGTCCATTGTCGTATGCTGCGGCTGTTGTCCTGCTGGGTTGAGGAAGAGCTTGAGGTTGTGGAGCGTATGGCGTTGGAGCTGGAGGACCTTGACCTGGTCTTGCAGCGGGATATGGAGCTTGAGCAGTTGTTGTGCTTGCATTGGCGGACTCGTCTGTTGATATCGGGGCGGCAGTTTGTGGTGTGATTCCCTTGGGCTTTTGGGGAGTAATGGGCTCGTCAATGAAGACTGGAACGGGCGGCATTATGTTGAGTGAAGTGATTGAAGGTATATGAGCTCAAGCCATGCAGCTATTCAATTGTGAATGGTTTGCATAATCCCTTGTCCTGGCCGCTTTTGGTAGTGGAGTCGATATAAGGTTCGCTCAAGAGACAACACAACCACTGGGGACGCTGCGAAGGCCCTCCACTCGGATTCACACGCTCTTTACTTACCATCAGAGAGCCATAGGACATCGAAATCTAATGGTGGCAGAGATTACGCCGACATGTATAAAACTCGGACATCCTTCACGATGGCAATACATCGTAAACCATCTGTGGCTCCAATATCGAATATTCAGTCTGCCTCATCTGAGCTATGCCTCGAACATCCAGCGTAAGAAGCTCTACGACGGGACTTTACACATGGCATCGCTAACGCTTGTCGCGCCTCCCAGAAAATTGCGTGGGACTATGATAAGCGCCTCATCCTGCATTTGTGTGAGTACACGTATCCACCTGCACCTGCTGRCATACTTCCAAGGATCGCTGACCTTTATACCTTTATTTTCAGTATGTGACGAATTTGAGCTTCCCTGGAGCCAAGCTAGTGATGTGTTCCTCTCCATCTATGAAGACATTGTTGCTGCAGACGTCGGCGGTGCTCTAAGGTCCCAGTATTCCGAGCGAAGATCGAAGCAATACTGGAAAGATTTTTACAACCTGGTCTCTACCCCTGGCGAAAACGAACGCACCGATGCTTCTAGGAGATTGATTAGCGAACGGATTGCAACCCTTGGTATCGTGATCCCGCCTGGGACCGACCTGGCGACAAGGAGCCGGACTCAGAGCGTAAGCCATGCTGTACCTTTAAGTAGACAGCCAGCAATAGCTATGCCGACTACACCCGAGCCTCCAATACATCGTAGCGCTGGGAATTCATCCCAGAAGAGACGCAGATTAGAAGATGAATCCAGCGACGATGAAATTCGAGTGGGTCCATTGGAAGAGCATGTACACCAGCAGGATTTTCAATCTCGGATCCATCCGCGATCAACGGTACGCCCTGTTCTGGAGACACCACCTCAGACCCCGCAAGGCAAACAGGCGTATCGGCAGATGAGCGGTAAAGTTATCTTCATCTCGCCAAATAAGGATCCCTATGCCGATCTCGAACCTGTATCTGACGAAGAGGCCCACCCGCCGCACTGCCGGAATAACTTGTTCTTCCGATATGATAAGGCAGGCAGCCACGATGTGTTCGAGGGATTCACCGCAAGAAGGTACAGGGGACGTGTCCAAGTCCATCAGGAGCCTCCTGCAACGCTTGACTGGACCGATGTATTCTATGTGAGTATGCCATGACWTCCATGCAGAGCTGTCGACATGAGAAAATCATCAACAAAACAGCGCTCTTAACTGTCCTCTCCATTGTATGATGGACCACTCTGCTAGTAATGAAGGTTCTAGCAGCTCCAGAGTTGTCTACCTTGCAGAGAGCAACGCCTCGAGACATCATGAAGACGACTGAGGGTGTTTTGCCTCGATAAAGAATCCTCATATCGACAGCTCTACATCCATGTGCACAAGCTTCTAACTTTTGACCGTAGCATGTGGATCCCGAGGGAAAGAACCAGCGCTACGATTCGCCCGTTGTCTCAGTAACGGATCAACAGTGGTGGGTCATTCGTTTGGCTCTTAAGGAGCTGAATCGTGGCCGTCCTGGCCGCATTACGGTCATCGATGGAAGTGCTCTGGATCCAAAAGCGGTTTTTCATGCGCTTCCATGTAAGTCTCTCCGATCTACTATAGTCAGCAAAAGACTGACGCCTCGCCAAGTCATACGTCAGCTCAAGAAGAGGCACGAGTTCACTGACGGCGCTTGGAACTATGGCGGCACGCACGAGTTCTTCTGCTTCAAGTCGATTCCTGCTCATGCCATTCTGAGTTCTTTCTGCGTCAGTGAGCTTTCTAACTTCGTGAATGGCTCACCACAGATGTCGAGTGTTCTTAGGCTGGCCACGCTTTCTGATCCCAAGCGTGCCTATTTTAAAGGTGTGCTTCCAGCATTAARGAGGGACAACGTGCAGCTTTCTCCCAATGTTATTACGGAAATCGCGAGACTGATCCAATTCATGGGACTGGACGCCTTTTCCAAGAGGGAGCATCTCGCTCACATCTGGACCAACTTCATTCAAGGCTGGGGCCTGCATTTGTCCTACCAAACCCCTGATCAATGGGTCAAACTAGCAGCAGGATTCGCACGCGCCTTGGGTGATGTCGGTGGACATGTTCTGCCCTCGAGAGATTCCAAACCTCTAGAATTGGCTTTCCTTGAAGGCGTGAATTGGGCGTCAAGCGTCAGTTTCAGCACTCGATATGCTCAGGATTCTGCATTACTGATCCGACGGAAGGACCGTCAGGCGAGGTTCATAGGACTGGAGGACCCTGCTGGACTGCTCGAGATTCCAAACCCTAACACTGCTATAAGGACCCTGCAAGCATATCGACACCAGCCTGGGAATGGCGAAGGAAGTCGCYGACCCACCCGTAATACTAGACCGGTGTTTCATTCGTACCGCCTTGAATCGGCTGGAGGAAGGGCTAATCGTGAACACCACGATGAAGCAAGAAGACGCGCTATAGCCACTGGTAGAACATTGCAAGATGCAATCGATCTGGATCAAGAGACTGACTTGTCGGATGACGAAGAAGAGATACTGTACGACGATTGAGCATCATTTGGTGTGCATGGTTGAGTATAGATGCTAGATCCATTTCTTCATACCCTTTATAGTGCAAATAATAGACGAATTCTGCTGATGTAGTCACGCAGAGCTGTCGATATGAGATATCATCAACAAGACCAGCGCCCTTAACTGCTTCCTCGCTTAATTGACAGGCTACTCTGCTAGTAGCAGGGATTCTAATAGGCTTGAATTATCGAGACTTTAGAGAGCGAGGCCTTAGGACGTTGCTGGCATGACTGAGGATGGCTTGTCCTAATGAATAATCCTCGAGAGATTATCGACAAGAGTAGCGCCCTCAACTGCTCCCTCGCTTAATTGACGGGCTCCTTTGCTAGTGGTTGGGATTCCAGCAGGCCTAAAACCGTCGATTCTATAGAGAGCAATGCGTTAGGTCATAGCGGGAATGAATAAGGATAACCTTTCCCGGTGAACAATCCTCATATCGACAGCTCTGATATAGTGGGTAAAAGCCGTCAATGGTGCACCCTTCTAAAGCACTTCTCAGGCGAGGGGATGTTGCGCTCTGGCGTGCAAAGGCTAACATGYATCACACAGGCATCTTCCACTGAGATCACGAAAACTCCCTGCAAGTTTCATTCATTCCATTTGTTACAATCCCAACTGCTTACACGAGCAAGCCATTGAGTGGCGCCCTATGGACATCGTTGACGATATCTCCAAGTGCTCTCAGCAGCACCGCCTTGCTATGGCGTGCGTGCATCGCACTGAAATTCCCGGGGTGCAGCATCCTCGTTATTTGCAATGACGACAGGAGCATCAAAAGAGTAGATCCTCATCCTCACCAGGAATCTCAAATCCAATCCCATCAGACTCCCCATCCTCATCCACCTCCTCGGTCTTCACAGTCTTAGTCGCAGTCTTCTGCTCCTTCGCCGACTTCTTAGGAGTAGCAGCGCGCTTCTTCGGAGTAGCCTTGACCTTCTTCGTAGGACTCTCCTCGTCGTCTTCGTCGTTGTTGGCATTCTCATTGTCATCCTCGTCGGCAGCTTTCTTGCCGCGAGCACGCTTCTTCGGAGTGCCCTTGACGGGAGTCTTGGTGGTTCCACCCTCGCTGCCACCAACACCACCACCAGAGCTCTTCTTGTCGTCTTGAGCGGCGAGGAGCTTCTTCTTGATGGCCGCCCAGGCATTCTTGCAGGAATTGACATTCGTGTAACCGCCGAGACCGGCAAGTTTCTCGAAATTGATCTGGAATTATGTAAGTGATGTGCAGGTAGCATCATGTGGTTGTTGTTCTCACCTTGGGGTGTTCGTCGAAGCACTGCCAGGACTGCGACATGAGCTTGACTTCGCGCTCGGAGAGACCGACGTCGTTGGTGGACATGATGATTGTGTGATGGGATGTGTGATGGGATGGGTGCGGGTGGTATGTTTGTTCGATGATCAAGGTATGGTGATAGCGAGGGAAGAAAGATGTCTGATGGAAAGGGAAGAAAATGTGAAAGGCAGCTTCATGGAGCTGTTTCGAAGCATGTGGAAGCCTTGCTTCATTCACTTCACTTGTCCCGCACATCGAACCACAATTCTGCTAATGAAGAATGCCCCTCCCAAGGCACGCTCGGTGGCTTCTGCATCGAGAGCATCCAAGCCATCTATCACATTCGGCCACTGTGTCTAGAATCAATCATTCGGCACAACAGCCAAGTTGGAGGAAGATGCACATGCGTACTTGTCAGCACAATGTGTACAAACAAGAGAGAGGCCTCCACTAGTGCCAGGAGGTGAGATGTTTGCTTCATCGATCGAGAGCGCCAGTCATTGCAGCCATTCGATCTGACCAGATTGGGAGAAATGGCGACTTCAATTCGCTTCGCTGCATGGACTTTTCTGACTTATCCTAGCTGTCTTCGGACCGAAACATGCAAGTTTCCCTGGATGKCGGACGCAGTGCCGCAACATTACCTATTTGTTCCAATTGCCCTGGCTCAGGGACAATAACCCCTGGACGCAATCAAGATCCTCACTCTTCCGACCTCCGCGCATGAATTCTGCTAGCTCAGCATCTGCTTCGGGATCGTTCTCGTCGGCCTGTGACTGTCTCCTTCTTCCGACATTTTTATTTGGGTGCGATTGTCCCTTTGCCATCACCCTCCTTCCCGGTTCGCCATCCAGCTGACTGATTTCTTCCCCATCGGAGTCCATCTCACGCTCGGGCGACCAATTCTCCTTGTCGGATTCATTGCCTGGGATGCGCAGAGAAGCGGCAGATCCGGAGTGCTTCAGCTTAGGAAGAGATGCTCCCTGATGGCCATATTTGCCCTGCAATCGTCCCAAAGATGTGCTTGCTCTCTGAAGAGGCTTCCTCTGGCCTAACTTGGATCGCTTCACAGAAGCCGGATGATTTGAGAACGCAGCATTTCTCTTCGCAGACACAGTCCCGAGAATGTTCCTGCCAGATGCCGTCCTCAAAAGACCGATAGCACCAGCAGCAGAACCACTTGCATCCTTCTCGGCAGCGCTTTCAAGCTCGCTGCGGGACTCTTTGTCACACCAGAACTCCCACGAACGCGAATCTCGAGACCGGCCGCTGATGGATCGTGACAAGCCTTGAGAAGACCTGAAGTTGGGTGTAGGAGGATTGCTGAGGCTGACATCTGGAAGCATCATCGTCTGCTTTGGCCGTGGAGGTGATGGCGACGAGGCGTCTTTGGTGATGATTTCCGCTTTGCCTTCTGCATTCATCGACAAGCGAACACAAGAAGAGACTCTCTTGAGGCTCCGATCTGATCTCTCTGGCCCAGTGCTGACTGGTGACGRCTGTGTTTGAACACTCTGGCGAAGCAAAGACATGCTTCGCCTGTTGGCTATATAGCCAACCGGAGCACGAATGTCTGGAGTGGAAAACATGGGCGACGACTGAGCTGAAGCAGCGGCCAAAGCGGCCTGAGCAAAACGCTGGGGAGTCTCCGTTGAGGTATCCTCTGGCACTGCAGGGACGCTGATCGTCGCATCACTACTGGATATCCAGGCTGTAGTTTCGGTCTTGACAGCATCTGCATCGACAGACGCATCGCTTCCAATGGATGGCTCCGGACTCTCGTTATGCGACTCCTCACTGTCGACTCCGCTTTCATATCTGACCAGGCCATCAGCATCTTGGCTCGACCGGATGGCGCCAGATGTGGAGTCTCGAGATTGTTGATATTCGGCAAGCTCGTGGGGGAGAAGTGGCCTCGATCTCCGTCTTGAGCTTTGTCTTCTGTTCTGAAACCAGATCTAGTTGTACATGGGTTAGACACTTGGGAGCGAAGCTAATCCTGCGGTCATGTATTGCGAACCTGGACTTCTTTCTCGCCAAGGGAAACGCGCTCCACGAGTGCCATTCGTGCCGTCTTATCTGGCTTGGGATCGTGCTTGTATGCTGCCTCTAATATCTCCTGGTCTTCGGGACTGTAGAAAATGTGTCAGAATGATATTTGGTCGAGGGAGCTTCGCATGCCACGGTCTGTACCTAGTCCTCTTGCGTTTCTGTCGGGCGAGCGGCCTGCCGTCGAGGCCAGATTGTGCATCATTTCCAGTCCGCGATTCTTCATACGCGGTACTCCCAGGAGGAGAAGCAGTGGTGCTCCCTGCAGTCGACATAGCAATGAGTGTATACGGCCTGGAGCCGGGAAGGAGAGTGGAAGACGTGTTATGGAGGAGAGGAACGCGGCGAGATTCGAATGTGCCCATGTCCCGTCCAAAACGCGTCGCAAAACGCGTTGCCGATCCCCGAGCCACGCTAAGATGGGATGGGTTGAGTCGTCCCGCTCCACCACTTCTGCATCCACTCACATCACAATCCGTTCCATCACTTATACATTCTTCTCTGTGCAGCCGGCGACAGGAGCAAGGAAGGTCACATTGGCAGCCAATCCAGTACGCCTATCTTGTCCTCTACCATTGTGTCCGGTGATGACCATGAGAAATCCGACGCTCGGACAGTTTCAACACGACACGAGAGATACACGGTGCACGTGCTCTACTACCTCAGCGGCACGCGCCATCGCAGCCGGGACCCGGATCATCATCATAAACACCTGCATGGGTGGCCCATAACAACATGAATGTGCAACACTCCCCAAATCATTCCAAGCACACGATCAATAATGTTCAGTGCAGAGCTACTTTGACGTCCTTGGCGGGAAGGAAAAGTTGTGGCGTACATTTGTGTAATTTTCGAGGATGAAAGCTCCCATGCACGCCCTGGTGAGAGGGGTAGGTACTATAGGTCTAACGCCACAGTGCCATGGTCTTCAATCCTTGCTGTACCAACTTGGAATTCGATAAAAATATACGGACATCTCCCCGATTCCCGATTCATTGAACCGATGGGTTCGATGGGCGAAGAAAGAACTTTCCCGCTCAAGAGGCCTCGAGGGCACAAAGTACCCGTTCCCCGATGGTCCCTCAAGTTTCCGGACAACGTCACTCATGTTTACACCCTTTACGTCGGAGTACAATGCCGTTCTGAAAATGCCGCTACTCGTTGCAGGGTAGAAAGCGTCATCGAGGCTATACTGTCCGGCAGCAACAACAACAAGGCCCCGGCTATAGACACTTTCCGCGTGACTGATGGCTTCGATTTAGAGGTATGCCGACTCGAGATTGCTAGATGCTTATAGTTGATCGTGATCGATGTAGAGGTCGAGAGTCTGGGTCGCATACTGGACAGCTAAAGAGGCCTTCGAGGCGACGTTGGAAGTATTGGATCTGACCAAGATCTGGCAAGACCTGGGTCCAGACAATGAGCATATCGGTCTGTGGAAGGAGCATTTTATAGCCCCTATTGAAAGACTGGAGACGAACTACGCTCGACTAGACCACCGTCCAGGTATTGCTCAGCTCCCTGATACCACACAGCCTGGCCATGACCTCACGGCTTACTGGGGAGCCGGAAGGGATCGAATTCCAGCTTCAGCACACGATCGCTTTGAAACGCCGAAGAATATCAGTGCACCATCTAAGAAGCCAAAGGGGTTCGGCGAGAGACTCACAGGCTCCAACTACGATAACATGTGCCACAGTGAGCGGCTTCCATAAACTCGAGGAGTATCACAACCCGACTGACATCTTCCTAGTCCGTTCTGGCCAATGGTGGGAGCTCTGTGAGGAAGAAGAGCGAATATCATACGAGACTACATTACAAGGCAAGCTCATGGAAGGCATGAACTACCTCTGGGACCATCCCGAAGAAACAGGCACGATAGGTTTGAGATTTCTCCAGAATCTGAATGCCGACGGCAAGCCCATAAAGGAGACTTGTGGCGCGGGTTTCCACAAGAACTGGGCCGATCTGGAGAAATGGTCATCGAGACATGCAAGTCATTTGGCAATCTTCAACGGAATGATGGCTCATGCAAAGCATTTTGGTGAGAGTCGCAAGCTTATGACTTGGTGAGTCTTGCGCGTTTCTTGGAATTCGATCAACATGTTTTCTAATAACTGCTGCTTTGCATTATTTTAGGCACGAGGTCTGGATTCTCAAGAAAGACGAAGCGCACTTCGAATACATCAATTGTGATCCTCGGACGGGAGTCATCTCGTGGGTGGAGTTGGAACGGACGCCGTTGAGTGCGAGAGGACAGTGATGTATCTAATTTCAAAGGTAATCTTGAAGACATTCATTCGTACATGACCTRTCTTTTTCTCTTCTTCAAAACCCGGCTAACTTATTGGAGCCAAAGACATGATCGAAAAGATTACTTACTTCGCGGCAGCTGGAGAAAGACAATGCGATCCCAGCGTCACGGCGGACATGAGACTATACAAAACCAACATTCCGCGAAACAGAGTCTCAAAATCTTGAAAGTCCCTTTTCAAAGGCAGGCAAGAAATATAGAGTAATTCCCCTGAGATGCTTTTTTTCATGATCCTTTCCCTACCTTAAAATGAGCCCTCTTCTCAAGATTTGTCTCCCATAAAAAGGTAGAAAGAGTTCTCCCAGCCCATCCAACTTCATCTCCTTGCGACGAGTTTCTCTATAGCTTGCTTGCTTGAACTGCACTCGGATTCGAGGTTTCGAGCTTTTCTTTCTCCCAAATAACAAGATACCATCCATCCCTTCCTCAGCAGGTAGGTAGTATAGCATATTCGATATTTTCTATTCCGCCCTGTTTCCCAAGCGTCCAAAAGGAAGTTTATTGTGAGATCTTCAAAGAAAACATGGGTTGAAATCAAGCAAATAAGGCCGTGGGACCTCTAATGCGTGGGTGCCTGTATCCTTCTACCAAATAGCGAGCGCCATGTGAAACCCCTACTCCTCCTCCTCCTCCTCCTCCTCCTCCTTCTCTTCCTCCGACAAGGAATGATTTCGCCTTTTGAAGACACGTACACGAGTCTTCATTACCAGTGATGAGGTGACTACGCACACCATGGGTCAGATGTGAAAAGACAAAAAAGAAAGAAAGAAGGAGAAAAAATGAATGGTCCATCAGTCGCTTCACTCGCAGGCAAAAGAAGAAGAACTCAAATACATACCCCGGTTTCTCCATMGTCATCGCGAAATGCCCTGGCTAGGGAAAGGGTTATGCAAACAAGAGGGTCCTGTCGAKCCATGCAGGTGAACATTAACGTGAAAAGGAGGGCGTGTCCCGGAATATCTTACCCATCCATCCATCCATCCATCCGATATCCGCTGTGCTGGACGAACCTTGCGATGCCTGAGGCAACAGACAACAGTAGTGACTTCGAACACTCCCCTTTCAATTTTTTTTCCGACCTATCCACCCATCACACCACCCAGCATCAAAAATAAGACATTATTAAAGAAAAAGAACCTCCTTCCCCTGAAGACCAGAGAAAGATTCATCCATCCACTTTCTCCGCGGAAGGAGTGCACCTCCACTTTCCACACCATCATACATCCATCCCTTCCATTCCCTTCTTACTACTTCTTATTATTGGCATTCAAACCAAAATACAATCCCAGCACGAGCGCCAAAATGATGACTATCGCCACACAGATCCAGAAGCACCACCACTTCATCTTCCGTGCATTTCGCGCCGATTTGATGCCCTTGTCGAGATGTACATTTCCGGCTTCCGTGTCTGTTTTGACGTTTCCGGTGGAGACTTCGGCGGCGGCAATGGGCTCGTCTTGCAACACCACTGCCGTCGCGAGGTCTTCCATCAATTGTTGCAGTTCAAGCATCGTCTTTTCAATCTTTTGGATGTCATTATGCCGAGCGCGAACTGATCCGAGGACTGTGCTGGCTGTTGCTGAACGGTTGGATTTCAATGCCGTTTGAAAGACACCCTCGTTGCCCCAATCTGCCTGGGAGGCCTCCTGTACCTCGGCTTCTGTGGCGTCCGGATTGACGATTCGGTATTGGCGGGCGATTTGCTCACGGTAACGCTTCTCGTAGTTTGCTTCTTCCAGTCGGTATTCCTGCAGTTGCTTGGTGAAGCTGGTCTTTAATTGTCCGACTTGAGTATTTTTGACCTGGTTGTCTCTGCTACGCGCCGCATCGATCTCGAGGAATTTGATCTGATCTTTGACGGAAGTGTTGAGGACTTGGGTTTGCGTGACCATGGATTCCAGCTGCGCCGAGGAAGCATTGTCGGGGGTGGAGAGGGTGCGCTGGTGTGCGGCGGCGATTTGCGAGACGTGGGTGGTGAGGGTGCGAATGTCTGCTTTGACGGCCTGGGTTGGATTGTGTTAGAGGGGTGGATGTTGAGTTGCTGGGATTGCATGTCGCGCGCATACACACCTCTACGCGACCGAGAAAGTCGGTGTTGCTCAGCACACTCGGACCAGGCTGAACGTATTGTACGGCGGGAGCAGAACCCGTCGTGTCGTATGTGTTCGCGCCCGTGTCTTGAACATTTCCTCCGCTTGCGCCGTAGGGGTTCGAGGCGCCATACCCGCCGACCTGCTGCTGCTCGCTCTCATACGGGTTGCCGGAGTAGCCCGAGTATTGATTGGTGTAGGACGACATGGACGCTGGCAATACCTCCCGTCGCTCGATCAAGTATCCGGGATGCGCGTGCGTGCGTACGTGCAGGTGCGAGGCAGGAACGAACGTTAGAGGGAGAGTACGAGGTCGGGTGGCTGTACAATGAGATTGATCGGACGGGGAGGCTCAAGGTAGGTTAGCGGCGCTAGTAGGTATAAGCGACGTTGATGCTTTGTATGCTTTGATTGGCGTGGGGATGGAAGAGTATATGATCGCCGACGTCACAAGTGATAGATCCGATCAGATCGTGGAATAACGCTGGAATGTGTCATGGAAATGTCGCGGATCAATGAGTGAATGGAAGTTGTGGTGGTGGTGGTGGTGAGAAGGGAAGAGGAGCTGTTGCTTGTCCGGCTCCTGGAGATACAACAATAATCCCCTTCTCTTCCCGTAAATTCATCTTTCTCTCCTTGTCTGCTCTTCCATCTCGGCCGCTGGCCCTCGCACGTTGAACCAAGGTACAAGGCACCTCAAGCCAATGCCAATGCGTGGATGGGATTAGATCATCACAACGTCCATCAATCTTGGAACATCCCAACAACGATCCGGCAGATAACCATTCACAACAACAACAAGTCAACCAAGACCCTTATTGAACCAATCAACGATCCTTGCCTTTTGCACGAGCTCCTATCAATCCGTCAATCAATCCATTGAAGGTGATGTGGATTCTTCAGCCCCAGATTTTCTTGTCGGCACAGGGAACTCTTGTCAATGCACAGCACAGACGTCACATAACCCACGTGGTTCCCCAATCATCAAACCATCAGGGAACCAGACATTTGACCTCCGCCGTCACAGCCTATCTTAGGCTTGAATCTTATGCAGGATGTGATGCTTCGATGGTACCTTACTAAGACCTTGGACTCTCTATAAGGCTGCCTTCTTTTGCGTCTATAGATACATATTGCTCGACTCCCCATGATGGCAGCCAACAACTCCAACTTTTCTACCTCCTTGGATGTACGCCGAAAGTTGAGGGGAGGAGATGTATACATTGTGCATCATTCGTCAAAAACTTTGAATGGTCCCCTAACAAAACCATCCTGTAGAGCTAGGCAAAAGCTCTGTCTGGCTCTATTCCTAGCCCTCTCCACTACTACAAAGAAGCTCTGTTCAACCTCAATTGGGCATATTCCATCCGCACCCACAAAATTCTCGCCGCCCAAAGAAACAGAAATATCGCTCTCAAGACATGCCTTCGTTATCTACCCGAAGTAGTAGTAGGTATCTTCCGCTTCAAACGATTCCAATTCAAAGAAAAACCCACACCAATCACCAATCACTATCCCTTTTACTCACTCCCTCCCTCACTCATCACATCACAAGCCAATGTCGCCCAGATCTCTCGATAGACACGCCATTTGCGCCCTCTTTGCCGCTTCTGCCAGGAGATTGAAGTCGTTTAGGAACGGCGCAGTCGAAGGCACTCCTCCACCATCTCCTCTTTGGCCCACAAATGCCATCGAAGTTGAAGCTCCTGCTGGTTGCTGCTGTTGCTGCTGGTGTTGTTGTTGTGCTTGCTGCAAAGGATGCGAAGTAGGTGGCAGATGTTGCTGATGTCCCGTCATGGAGGGAAAGTACTGCATTGGCGCATGGTTGGCAGAGGGTGAGGGTAGTGGTGCCGACATGTGGGAGGATTGTGAGCCGGCGGATGAGGAGAGTGATGCGACTGAGCTGGAGGATGGTGTTGAAGATGCGTAGGTGGAATGTTGGTGTGCTTGTTGTGGGTAGGTGAATGGCGGTGGACGCTGTTGTCTTGATTGTCTGGAATCCATTGTTCGGTTTGGTGTGGATGGGTTTTGGGATTGATCGTTTCGGTGTTTGACGTTTCGGTTTCGATTGTCTTTTGTGCAGGTGTGAAGCTGTTTCGTACGCGACAATCGAAGACAGATATTCGATTTGGGTTGAAAGATAAGAGGAAAGGACTCTCTCGTGAGTTTTCAAGAACAAAGCAGCCGCCTCTCGGAGAGATCCTGAATCAGTCGTAGTATAGCTTGCTCGTTCGGAATAACTCGGTCTTATAGAATTGAGTCGCTTGGTACGGATGGCGGAAAGCCTGTCCACTGCAGCGAAGACTCGAGGGTTTGATCGATCGCACGACGTCGGACAAAAGTGGTATACGTCGCACCAAGAAGAGTTTTTCCTTCAGTTTCTGTGCAAGAATCAGGCTGGCAGGAGTGTGAGACGATTACAAGAGCCAATCCTCGCCGAGGTTGATGCAAGGCAAGGCAACGCCGTTTTTAATGGAGTAGGGTATTCCCGGCCGATCCACGGCTGAAATTGCGGCGACTTTTTTTCACACGAGCACACGCCTCGCCTCACTTGTCTTGTGTGACGGTGGGACGGAGGCCTCGGACATACATTTCCCACTCGGCTCGAGACGTTTGTGGTCTGGGGATTGTCATCATTGTTGGACGAAGGACATGCCTCTAAGCCCGGTTAGGCAACTTCACCTCGCAAGGTGAAATCATCCGGCCCAGCCAGCCCATGCATGGCAGGCTAAACAGATAACGCTTGTTGCTTCGACCTTTGCGGAGCCCCAAAAAGCCCTGCACGTTGGCGAGGCGAGCTGGCGAAAGTGAAATCTGGGGAAGAAGGCACCAAGCAACCTTCTACCGGCTTTCCTGTTTCGTCGTCGTCTCCTCCACTCATCCGACATCACATCATCATCCTTTCAACCACCGTCGGCCTTTGCCAATTCGACTTTATCCGCCCTGTCAGTGCCAAAACACACTAGGAACAAGATGCCTGTGAGTATGACGACTGCCCGGTGGAGAAGAGAGAGGGCTGGGTCTCACTGACGCGGCTCACAGTTGATACTGATCTCCGGTTGTACGTCAAGCTTCTCCTGTGCATGAAAAGAAAAAAAAAACAATGCCTGCAGATGCCGATCTCTCCAACACAACCCCAAACACGTGCTGACCATTTGATTCGCAAAAGATCCCTCCAGTGGCAAAACAACCAGAAGCCATCAAATCATTAATTATTTCCAGCAAAAGATTGCCACCTCCACAGAACCACGAGTCAAACGCTTGAAAATCATTCACATCAACGATGATAATCTCGGCCTGTCGCGAGATGTCTACGCCGCAGCCCGACCCGAAAAAGATGCCCGAGCGACATTCTCCTCGGCCATCAAACGTCACCTATCTCAGGATACAATCGTCGTGGCAGATGGCATGAATTACATTAAAGGTTTCCGCTATCAATTGTATTGTGAAGCAAAAGCCATGCAAACGACGAATTGCGTCGTGCATGTTGGGACGCAAGCCGCGCAATGCCGAGAGTGGAATGATAATAATCAAAATCAAGATTCCACTCCTTCTTACGCCCCGGAAGTTTTCGAGAATTTGATTTTCCGATACGAGGAACCGAATGGCATGAGTCGATGGGATGCACCACTCTTTACACTTCCCGTGGAAGATGCAGAGCCTCCGAATGAGGCGATTTGGGAGGCTCTGATCGGGTCGGATGGGAAGCAGAAAGTCGTGAGGCAGAATCTTGCAACGGTCCTCAAGCCCGCCGCGGAGCAGGACTATCTGTATGAACTCGACAAGACGACATCAGATGTCATTGGGTTGATTACGGGCTGGCAGCAAGATCATTCCGGAGAGGGAGGCGGGGAGATTCCCGTCCCGGATTCCGAGCTGGTGATATCACTCCCTGTCAGCACTCCCTCTCTCCCACAATTACAGAGATTGAGGAGGCAATTCATCAATTTGAATCGTCAGCATACGCTGGGGAAGAGTCGCATCAGGGATCTATTCATAGACTACCTGAATGATTCCTTTCAGAGCTGAGAATGCTGGATGCAAGTTCATTCATGCAAAGATGCAAGCAAGGGTCATCGACAACAACATCCTCCTCCTCCTCCACCTCCTTGATCTTCCACCCTATCCCTTCCATCTCCAGTATCGCAGATGCCCTCTGCTCCACGATCATTTCCCCCTTCCCCTCTCCCTGCAGCCTCACTCCTCCCACGATCCAAATCCGACAAAAGAAACTCGCTAATATCCAAATGCTGTCCTGTATCCGGTATCAGCAACTCGGAGTCCAAATCAAAAGCGTCAAATCCCGACGGTTGGTGAGAAGAATGAAGATTCGGCGGCCGAGGTTGATGATGATGCGCATCCAGGTTGGTGGGGAATGTTTCGGAGTATTGTCCGTTTCCCCCAAACAAGCTTTCCGGCGGCAAATACGATGACACGGCAGATCCATGATGAGAAGGAGGAGGAGGAGCAGCCTGTACTCTCAAACTTTCCCCGTCATCCCCTTCCCTCCTCAACATCTTCGTTGCTGGGGGAGCGGTACTACTCGGTTGCATATCCATGGCGTGTTTCCTCCCACAACATTGCGCCCAACTTGTACTGGCGAAATTCTGGAAGATCGGGGGACAGTTGCGGCATGTACATCCTGAAAGACCGCAACTCTGGCACATGGCGTTGGGGAACTGGTTGGCGTAGTATTGTGCTTGCATTCTGCTGAAATCGAATGGGGGTGTTTCGTAGACTGGTGGTAGGGTAGGTGGGAGGCTAACGGAGTCGACTCTGTGGTTATAGGATGACAGATCTTGGAGAGAGTTGGCCTGGGAAAAGGAGAGGGTTCGGGGCTCCAGTGGCGAATGTATGCTCTGGGTTTGTGGGGTTGATTGCTGGCAACAGGAGCTTCGCTCGGCTTGCACGCTTTCATACACGGGTGGCAAAAYGATCTCTCGGGGGGTGGGTGGAGCATGTCCCTCCCATGGTAGTAAGTCGGGAAGGTGAGAATGTGTGGGCTGCAGATGTGCGCCAACGTCCATCAGACCGAATCGCGGAGTCAATGAGCTTGATTGCATTGATGGGTAATTGCCATAGCCGTTATTTATGGTGTTGATGGGAGTTCTTGGAACGCTATTCGTAGATGGCGGGCTTCTTAGAGGATATGTTGGAGTTTGGGGAACGGAAGACGTGTAATTCGAGCCAGCTTGGTTCTCGTCGAGAAGTTCTCTGGTGGGAAAGAAGTTCACAGTCGGCTTCTGCAGAGCATGCAGAGCTGTCCAGTGCTCCGGCTCCAGAAGACAACAATACCGTCCCTGTTCATCACAGCGACACTCTCCAGTCCGCTTCTCACCCTTCTTCGCTTTATGCGGGCAAGCTGACTTTGCAACGACACATTTGCAGCCGCCTGTAGCTCCATATCGACAAGTGCATGAATTGGAAGGTCGACCGGGTCGTTTCACCGTCCAGAAGACTTTGGTTCGGCAGACTGGAATGCCGCATTGAGTTGTTCGATGGCCTCGGATACATGACATGCAAGCCACTTTACAGACTTGTTTCGTCCGAGAGTCGATTACTTCAATCGTCTTGAATGGTTTTTCTTGGTCCATTCTTGCCGTAAGTGGCACGTGATCAGGAATGTGAGCGGTGTCGCCTCAGCTGAGAAATATTGAATGTCAGCATCCGTTGGGCTGGCTATTCAGGTAAACCCGGTTCATGCAAATGCCCGGAGACTTGGGTCGTTCCAGACGGCCCGCGACCATATGGTAGATGGTAGATGATTTAGTGAGACGATCCAACACAAGCGTGGCATGCCGTACGTAGTCCAGGAACATGCATGTAGGAGGACATTCATGGTAGAAAACGACGACGGACTCACCTGGTGCCGGGTCTCCACCCAGTGAGCAAGTATTCGGACCCTGACGCCGTCTCGATTTGAGTGTCGATAATTCGCTTTCGCCGGTGAGATGGCACATACTGCGTCTGGTGATTGGTGAGGGAGAAAGATGCAAGGGATTTCTGAGTTTGATAGCCGCGGCAGATGAGCCTTTGAGGAAGAGTTTGGCTGGGTAGTCCACCAAAGGTACAATTGTCAAGGGCGTCTTCGTGAGGGAGAAAGGCACCCACGCACGAGTGCGGGCCGAGCGTGGATCCTCCAAAGTGCGAACCTCCGACCAGCAAATCGCGAAGAATGCCGACGCGATAATTTGCTGGACAACGATACCTATATCATCAAGCCACTTCCCCGGGCGTCCTTGACGAGCGGTCTGGCAACTTGACAGTCTCGGGGATTTGGATTTGGATTCTGATGAAACTGGCCTTTTCCGAGGCAAAACACCTTGATGTCTGATACGGAGGACGACGGGTTGGACCTCTTTCAGGAGCCCAAGGATTATTACCAGCCAGAAAAGGAGCCGACAAAGGTCGAACACAAAACTTTGGCAGGCAAGGTATTGCAGTTGAACTTGGTAGGACATAATCCATTATGGGTAGGTCTTTGCATGCGACAATTTCATATTCGACATGACCAACCAACGAGATAGGGCCACTTTTTGTGGAACGCAGGTCGAACTATTGCAGATTATCTCGAGATTCACAAGGAGGATCTAGAAGGGAGATCTGTCCTTGAACTCGGCGCAGGAGCAGGACTACCAAGTCTAATCTGCGCCCTCAACGGAGCATCCTCTGTCCTGGTGACGGACTACCCTGATGCGGATCTGATTGAGAATCTTGAGAAGAATTGTGCCATTCTACCCGAGCCACGAACATGTCAAGCGGCGGGCTACTTATGGGGAGCATCGACGGAGGATTTGAAAGCACGTCTGCCAGAAAGTGAACGAGAAGCAGGATTTGATGTGTTGATATTGGCAGACCTGCTGTTCAATCATTCCGAGCACGCAAAACTTGTGTCGAGCGTACAGCAGACTCTCAAGAAGGATGGTGATGCACAGGCTTTGGTCTTCTTCACCCCGTACCGACCATGGCTGTTGGAAAAGGACCTTGCGTTCTTCGATCTGGCGCGTGATGGTGGTTTCTCAGTGGAGAAGATTTTGGAGGTAGAAATGGACAAGGTGATGTTTGAAGAAGATCCAGGAGTAAGTTTGCTGCCTTGCTGGTGGGATTGCTTTGTTGACCTTCATTTTCCTAGGATGAGTTACTTCGGAGGACGGTATTTGCCTATCGGCTGAGGTGGTCGGAAGCAGCGCTGAAGACTGGCTGAGTAGGTTGTGAAATAGGGAAGGTATATTTTGAGACAAACTACCGGACATGATTTGCTGGAACATAGAGTGAAGTCAATAACGCAGGGTCGAGATTGATGACACAAACAGTGTCTATACCCGAGAAGACTCTGCTGGCTGATAGGAAGAGGGAGACCGAGAAGAGAGACCTGCAATGTCGGAAACAGTGTTGTTATACAGCTGTGCAACCTTCTGTGATGCTGTAATATACACAACTACCAGCCTCATCGCTCAAAAACATCGCTTAAACTTCGTCGCCAAACTCAGCGCGGCCTGCCTTGGAGTTCAGGTACTCGTTTCTGCGTTTGTGTTAGCTATGGGTGCTGTGTGGAATAGACCGCATGCATCAAGAGCGGCGTTGTCTCCCGGCATTCTTCTCCTATTGTACCCACCTTTCAATAGCCCACTCCATGATCTCGTATGCGATAACCATCGGCACAGCCCAGTAAAGGATCTGGTTGCGCGTGCGTCGGAAGGTGTTGAAGACGGCGGCGTTGGCGGTTCCCGCAAGAGGGTTCTGTCGGTTCTGAGCAAGACCGTACTGGGTAATGCCCTTCTGAGGCTGACATCCTATTCCAACGATACTCCATTAGTACTTGTCCTCGTGCAGTCGCTGATCGAGAGCCCCGTCAGCGTGCGGTGGACATACCGGAATTGCCCCATGGACCGATGTGCAAGTTGAGGCCTCCTGGGTGCTTGACCCCGCGGAGCATCTGTGAAGGTCTCATTTTGTTGATGTGCTAGACGAGGAGTATATGATGGTGGTGTCGGAGGGTATGCGCAGGCAGTGTCGATGCGGAAGACGGTGTTGTAAATGTGGTATTCAATGGTGAAGCACGATTGAAAGCCTCTTAGCGTGAAATGTGGTCAGCCACGCGCGTTCGACTTCATTGGATCATCGAAGCTGCCATCGAAGCTGCCATCACTTCCCCTCCCACCTCTTCCACCGTCCATCTCCTTCAACTCCTCCACCAAGATGGCGCAACAAACCCTCGGATCAATCTACAAGTGGGCCATTCCCGCCACTGCGGCCTTTTCGCTGGCATCCGCTTCCATCTACGATGTCAAGGGCGGCACCCGCGCAGTGATCTTCGACCGACTTCGTGGAGTTTCCGACCAGGTTCAGAGCGAAGGAACACACTTCCTCGTTCCCTGGTTGCAAAAGGCCATTACATTCGATGTGCGAACCCGACCGCGCAACATCAGCACCACCACCGGAAGCAAGGACATGCAGATGGTCAGCTTGACTCTGCGAGTGCTACATCGTCCGGAGGTCCAGCAGTTGCCCAAGATCTACCAAGTAATTGTATTGATAGAGATTCGCGTATACATGTGGCTAATGCAATGCTAGAATCTTGGCCAAGACTACGATGAGCGTGTCCTCCCATCCATCGGAAACGAAGTCCTCAAGGCCATTGTTGCACAATTCGATGCCGCCGAGCTCATCACCCAGCGTGAGGCAGTCTCCAACCGAATCCGCGCCGACTTGTTGAAGCGTGCATCCGAGTTCAACATTGCCCTCGAGGACGTCAGCATCACACACATGACCTTTGGACGTGAATTCACCAAGGCCGTCGAGGAGAAGCAGATTGCACAGCAGGAGGCTGAGCGTGCGAGATTTATCGTCGAAAAGGCAGAGCAGGAGCGACAGGCAAGCGTTATCCGCGCAGAGGGTGAATCCGAGGCTGCAGACGTGATCTCGAGAGCAGTGGCAAAGAGTGGTGACGGTTTGATTCAGATTCGAAGAATCGAGACGCAGAAGGATGTTGCCCAAATGCTGGCCAACAACCCGAACGTGACCTACCTCCCCGGTGGTGGAAGCGATGGCGGAAGTGGTGGTGGCAAAGGCAGCTTCCTGCTGGGATTGAGGTCGTAATCGATTGTGGAGGAGGTTGGACGTGACACGGTGGGCCTCTCGACTGTAAATATATTATGAGCGAGCGACATGGGCTGGTAAAACGCAACGAGGGACAGAAATGAGCGTGAAAGTACTCTTCTCAGAAATGATAATCTGCAGACTTCACTCTTTTCGCGCAGTGCATCCCTTTGCAGTGACGAAGGATCATGCTGACGCAGAGCATCCTGTGAGAGAAACGAGGTTGCCCAATATATGGTTATTGGGCCACAGGAGTCCTCGCAGCAGCATGATTTAAGAGACAATGAACACGCCTGGACCTTGACGGTCTTTAATTCTTGCGGGACCCGTCGTTCACTGCATCCTCACATGCCGCGCAAAGGTAACATGCCAATAATGCRAAGCGTGTCTTCCCCCCTTCACGCGAGCTTCATATGCTCGAGCCTCGTTAGGATGTCAGTGATATATCTCAGACAGAACCACTGTCCGATATCGATCCTTTCGAATTGAATTTATCAAAAGGTATTGTTACTTTAAAGCGAGTCTTGAAGCTGCAGACTTTGCTTTCTATATGAAGAATGTGTTCATCGAGAGGGGCGCAATTTTACAAATTTGAGATTCTGGTCATCGATGATTCTTGTGATGGGTATGCTATACTCGGAGCGCGTCTGCTAAACGGTTGAGTTGGGCTGAAGACTGCGAGAGAGCCCGGCGATGGGAGTCATCTTGGTTCGATATGCTTAAAAGGAAAAGGGAGAAGTGAACGCTTTGAGAGTGTAAAAGGATGGTACATCGGAAGAGGTGGATCGATTAAAAGACATACCGCGTGCTCGTTTCAAAGGACGGCAGCTCGTTTGCAGAGGCCGGCAGACTCGCTATCATTATTACTCTGAGAATCATTCAGTCGCTTAGTGGAACATAGTGAGAGAAGGTTCTAATTGTCCTTTTCGTGAGAGAAATGATGAAAGAAACACCTATGCCGTCCTAGTACTCGCGTTCGGAGAATCGTCATCAGAGACTGGCCTGTTTGCCTTCTTTTCCTGGAGAGACAGTGTAAACGTTATCCACGGATAGCTGAGAAGAGGCAGGCTAGCGTTCCAATGGACCGCGCAACAGTCTTGCGGCGGTGTCGATTGAAGTTGTCCAATTCTGATGGCATGATTCCAGTATCGCTCTCTACTACGCGCAGAGTGGCAGACGGCAGCAGTGTTGAAGCACGGATGGCTGAGTATTGCTGCGTGCGGTTTGGCCAAGCAATGCATAGACACGCGACCGCGTGACATTCCTTCAGATCGGCGTGAACCAAGTGACTTGACTCATGAGTGAACAAACTGTCAAGAAGCTTGTCAAGGCAACGGTCTTGTTACCTATGTACACACGCAGTGATATTGACATCTCGTTGGCTATGATACCAACATCACGGCATCATGCTGGAAGCGTGATCTGCATTCACGCAGAGCTGTTTGTTATTTGTTGTGATGAGTTCCTGGAATGGAAGGGCCTGGAGTGAAATAAGCATTGTGACAAGCTCTTGTGTCGGCCCACTACTGTCTACTAGAGTTTGCACTAAATTCAGGTACAGCCATCTCCACAGTTTCTGCAAGGTACACTTCAGGAAAGACATGTTCCGCTGCTGCGGTGGTCGCCGTGTACTCGCTGTGGTTGTCTTGACATTTCCGCGTCGTCTGTGCTGCCAGAGCGAGAGAGCAGAGGCTCGGATGGGAGAATAGGCGCGCTTCTACATTTGGACAATCTCTCGCGCGGCAAGGTCACTTGAGCCGATGTGGTMCAAGTTTTGGTTGGCTTCTTCGCTGGCTCCACGTTCTGAACGACAGACACTGTCACGAAAATGTATAAACAACGGCGAAGTGCTGCCGCGTGTGTCTGTATAATGTCGAGAATTGCAAGTTGAAAGGCATCATGTGTTTTCCATTCATCGCATTGAAATGGTTCGAGGGGCTTTGATAGGAGCTTTGTTTTTGAGGTGTGGAGCTAGTTTTTAAATTGCGAATGGGGCGCCCTCATCTCACTCCTTCCTGCCCACCATCTTCTCCATTCACCGCGACCTCTACCTCGAACACCACCGCGACAATACTGCAATTTTCCACTTCCGAACAATAGGTTCGATTTCACTCATTTGGAAACCACGCGCAAACACACACTCTCGTTCCATACCACAACCAGCCTCTCACCGCACATCTCGACTCGCCCGTCGCACGACAACACAGCCGCCGTATTCTTTCCGTGGCTTCCTCACCGTACCGAGTCGCAACACATCGACGACCGCACCGAGTCGCAAATTCAAAAGCTGTGCGCATCGCAAACCGCTCGTAAATTTGCAAACCAACAATGAAGCTCTCCATCACGCTGCTTTCCGCGGCGGTCGCGGTTTCGGCTGCGCAACCCCACCGTCACGGACACCAGCACCTGCACAAGGCGAAGCGCAGCAATGCGCCCAACCCAGTCGGAATTGTGACCGAAGTCGTCTACGTTTTGAACGGCGAGCTCATCCCCGAGTCCGATGTGCAGCAGGGCATCAAGAACGGCTCCCTCGTCTTCGCCAGTGATGGCCAGCTCTCCTCCGCAGCCCCACCAACCTACGCGGCTCCCTCGTCTACCAGCACCTCCGTCTACATCGCGCCCACTACGAGCTCTAAGCCTGTCGCAATCACTACGACCCACGCAGCTCCATCCAGCAAGGCCCCAGTCAGCAAGGCCCCGGCGCCTTCCAAGGCCCCAGTGCCTTCCAAGGCCGCTGCACCAAGCTACTCCTCCGGATCCGGTTCTTGGGGATCTGATGCCACGGGTGTCGATGCTGACTTTCCCGATGGTGAGCTCAGCTGCGACACTTTCCCGTCCGAGTACGGCGCTGTCCCCGTCGAGTGGACTGGGCTCGGTGGCTGGACTGGCGTTCAAAGCTGCGCAGGTTCTGACTCCACTGGATATGAGAACATTGTGACCAAGATCAAGGGAGACACTTGCTCCGAGGGCGATTACTGCTCGTATGCATGCCCACCAGGCTACCAAAAGTCTCAGTGGCCTACCACTCAGGGCAAAACCGGCCAGTCCATTGGTGGTATCAAGTGCACCAACGGCAAGCTTCACCTGACCAACCCCGACATTTCCAAGAAGCTCTGCATGCGTGGTGCTGACGATGTCACCGTTCTCATTGAGAACAACCTGTCCAAGAACGTGGCCGTCTGCCGTACCGACTACCCGGGTACCGAGAGCGAGACTGTACCCGTCWACGCTATGCCTGGCTCAACCTCCAACCTGACTTGCCCAGACGCCGACAACTACTACAAGTGGCAGGGCGGCAGCACCTCTGCGCAGTACTACGTCAACCCAGCCGGTGTTGCTCTCGAGGACGGCTGCCAGTGGGGTACTGCTGCGAACCCATGGGGCAACTTTGCCCCCATGAACATTGGTGTCGGTTACAGCAACGGTGCCGCATGGCTCTCAATCTTCCAGAACGCGCCAACCACTGATGCCAAGCTCGACTTCTGTGTCGAGATCAAGGGAGACGGAGTGACCGGCACTTGCAGGTACTCCAACGGCCAGTACTGCGGTGGTGCCAACTACGATGATTGCAGTTCCACCAAGGGATGCACAGTAAGAATCTCCCATTAGCACTCCCTCCCCAGAACACGACTGACAATACTTGCAGGTTTCACTCACGTCAGGAACTGCCACCTTTGTGTTCTCCGACTAAACGCCATCATCTGTACATGACGACAATTTCATGACCAAGCCCTTTCTCGCAGCGCAGCGCTCACACGATTTAACACAGCATCTGATCGTACCCCTGCACGTCCTCGCACTGCCGGCCAGATGCTGACGCTGCACGGCACGCTAGTTTTTCTTACTATGCTTCTTACCGCATCAGTCGGGTCCATTCAATACGGTGCTAGACTCGGATCCTGGTACACATCCGTTGCCCGTTGTTTTCCGAAGATGATGGATGTGCATATGCATTGCGGATTTGCGTTGGACCTGTAGCGTCGAGATCAATGTGCGACGAAGACAATTATCTCTGCTGGTGGTATGAGGGACCTGGCGATATGACGGTCTCTGGTGGCTTCTTCTCGAGTTAAAATTTGGGAGGCCTCATCAAAATAATGTCTGTAGTCTAATATTGAACTTCTCGTAAGATATTGCATTTCCTGTGGTGATGATTGAATGGAGCTTGAATTTCTGAGTCAGCGTCGTACACCTGAACAGAGAGGGCGATGTTGGGTGAGGTTCAAAGAGTGATGGCGCTTGAAACATAGCCCCACACAACACCACGACCGACTTGCATGTGTGAACAGGCACCGACAACCACATTTCCTGCGACCCGCTAGCTCCACTCTCACTTCCCCCCGATCTTTCAGACCTCCTCAAACTTCCCTCCAACCAACCGCGATCATGGCGGAGGCGCCCATTGGTATGCGCACGAGCTCTCCATAAGCTGGAACCCGCTGACGCAGCCCGCAGTGCTCGATGGAGGTACCGGTTTCCTCAAGGTCGGATATGCTGGCCAGGTATGCCTTCTTGACATTGCAGAGAATGGTGGATCAATCGCTCATACGATGATTTACAGAACTTCCCCGACCACCAGTATCCCTCCATCGTTGGACGACCGATATTACGAACTGAAGAGCAGACGTCGGGAGACATTCAATTAAAGGACATCATGTGTGGTGAGGAAGCTGCGGCAGCACGGTCAATGCTACAAATCACATACCCGGTATGTGGAATGGACGAGGCTATTAGGCGCATGCACTGACTGCTGGGCCACACAGATGGAGAATGGCATAGTGAAGCGATGGGACGACATGCAGCACCTCTGGGACTACACCTTTTTCGAGAAGATGAAARTCGATCCAACTGGCCGCAAAATCCTCCTAACGGAACCTCCGATGAACCCACTGAAGAATCGAGAGCAAATGGCAGAAGTCATGTTTGAGCGCTACAACTTTGGTGGCATCTACGTCGCCATTCAGGCTGTCCTCGCGCTCTACGCTCAAGGTCTCTCTTCTGGGGTGGTGGTGGATTCTGGAGATGGTGTCACACATATCGTTCCCGTGTACGACAGCACAGTGCTCAATCATCTCACCCGCCGACTGGATGTTGCAGGTCGGGACGTCACTCGCAACCTCATTTCGCTGTTGACTCGACGTGGATACGCTTTGAACCGTACGGCAGACTTTGAAACTGTGCGCGCGATCAAGGAGAAGCTGTGTTATGTCTCTTACGATCTGGCACTCGATCAACGCCTCAGCGAAGACACGACTGTTCTGGTTGAATCATACACTCTCCCCGACGGCCGCGTCATCCGAGTTGGAAGTGAGCGCTTTGAAGCCCCAGAATGTCTTTTCCAGCCTCATTTGGTTGATGTAGAGCAGCCCGGCATCGCGGAGTTCCTCTTCAACACCATTCAATCCGCCGAAGTAGATATCCGCTCATCTCTTTACAAAGCTATTGTCCTATCTGGAGGGAGTAGCATGTACCCTGGTCTACCATCGCGAATGGAAAAGGAAATCAAGCAGCTTTGGCTGACAAAGGTCCTCGGCGGCAACCCAGAACGACTCAGCAAATTCAAGGTTCGGATAGAGGATCCGCCGCGGAGACGGCACATGGTGTTTCTGGGTGGTGCCGTGCTAGCCAACATCATGGCAGACAAGGAGGACATGTGGGTTTCGAAGCAGGAATGGGAGGAGCAAGGAACCCGTGCTTTGAAGAAGCTTGGAGAGAGATGATGACCTCCATGTGCGCTATTGGGCATAGAAGTTTGTGTGACAAGCAATTGCAAAAAGCAGGTCTATAGCGTCAGAAGCAAGCATCATGAAAGAAACATTTCAACAGTTTATTAAGATCTCTTCAAAGATAATCATGAGGAAGCTAACAGACGCCATTTGGGGTATTCCTAATAAAAGACCGTTAAATGGCAGGWTGAGTTGCGAGGTGGTAGGGTGTGAGGCTGTCGTAGCTGTGTGAGCAAACATAGCGAATGTCTGGCTGAAGCAAACGGTGATCCATGGGAATGCCGCGTTGACGTTTCGCGAAGAGGGGTGTAGAAGTCCCAACAGGAAGCAGTCCATTGGTAGAGGAGACCACTTCCCATCCAAGCGTAGTCGAAGCAGTCATGTGTGCTGTTTTTCGATTACTCGTTGATTTCAAGAACCATTTTCAGCTCTTTGGTGTCGACGTGATCGGCCGAGTTCCTCATACGGTGCACGAATTTAACCTCTCCATTCTGGAAAAGCCACTCGCCTCCTTGCTGTTGTTTACAATATCAGCGATGCTGCACGAAGATTGAAGTTGAGACCATTTCTACTTACCTGCGATGCGGGACCGCCTGACAAGGCCTTTTTAGGTCCGGAGGAGAGTGCATGCCATGTGGAATCTTTGATTACTTGGAACAGGCTTTTGGAGTGGCTGTAACGAAGGGGAATGTGCTGTCAGTTTTTTTTCCATCTNGGGGGGAAGGGGGGGACACGGACTACTCGGGGAATTTATCGGGCATGGCTCTGGGGGGGTTGGGGGGGCCCAATGTGTCTTGTAGTCGGTGCTTGGGCTCCGTGTGGGGGGGATAAGGACATCCCGTTCGCTTTCGCCAATCAGCGATGCAAATGGGCTCTCCGCATCCGATGATTGTGAGTGTGATTTTGTTGGCTGCCAGTGCCTCTACGGGGAGATCCCGTGCGAGTGCTTGGGCGTAGAGTTCACAGGACTGTGTATCGTAGTGGCGTTGTCAGCGAATGTTGATTATTTGGAGAGAAGCTATACGAACGCCGCAGAAAAAGTGTCGAACGAAAACAATGAGTTGTCTCTCATCGGCAGGCTTGTCGGAGTAGAGCGATTTAAAGGCAATCTCGTTGCCCTTTTCGTCTTTGATTAGAAGCTCGCCAGCCGCTTCCACGGCTTTCTTGTCTGGAAGCGCGCGGTGGGCATCTGGGGATGTGGGAGTCTTTTCGGGGGCCGCCATTATTGCTGTGGTGAGGATGGTGAAAGACGTGAGAGTTGAGGGTTTGAGATTTTTTGTTGGTCAATGAAGTTAAGGTGGTGTCGACGATCACTGTTTGTCAAGTCTACCTTACCTCCTAGCTAGCCTCGGGAGCACGAAGATGCGAAGATCAAGATGGTTGTTGCATGTGATGCGATACGACGGACTTGCTGATACTGATCACCCATGATTTAGGCGCCGTGACCTGGATATCTTCTGGTACTGACAGGCCAATCTGGCTGTTCTTTATTATACTTGACAGCTGTACGGAGTAGTCTCCCTCGCTCCATCCGTCTTGTGATCGTGCTATCTCGGCGGTTGTACTGCGGAAACTCAAACAGCCGCTAGAGTTGTGCCGACTCAGCTTCACCTTGGACTTGGAGATCTCATCACCGCCGTCGACTAGAGGATCACCACCTCATCCTCGGTAGCCATGATCTCGTCAAAGTTGACGCATTTGGCGCATCGGACATCCTGTGTTGCTTCCATCTCCTCTCCAGCCTCGAGCACCGCTGCGGCCACCGCTCACCGTAGCACGCAATGTGCTGCCGTCCGCGCCCGTCGTCCACACCAGCGCCGACATTCGAGTAGCAAAGCATCTTGCCCACCAGAGAACAGTGCAACTGGTGGCAAGCCCACTCCGGCGACCAAGGAGACTGCTGAGCTGTCCAACCCGGAAACGACCCAGAAAGGCAACAAGCGCATCCCACGTACAAAGCGCTCGCGACCTGCCACCGCTGCAAAGTCGGAAGATCAGTTTGCGGGTCTACCAGCTGTACCTGGCACACAGCACATCAACTATGCAGGTATGATAATCTCAATCCTATCCTCCGTATTTGTGTGGTATGCTAATCAGTCACAGATCTAACCGTATCTTCGTTCTTCTCCCTGCATAGACCTCTGTCGCTCGCAACCACTATCCCACCTCCATCCAGCGCTGGAGTTTTCGATAGCATCTTCGAGACACGACCCGAGCAGGATCCCTGGGAACATGGCAACTCTGCTGAGGGCCGTCCTGAAGATGTCACTTATGCTCTGACCAGCCTCTTCAAGGGCCTCGGAATCGGTGGTGCGGGGGAGGACAGCATGCGTGTAGATATGATGTCGGAAAGCATGACGAATCAAGACGGCGTGACGCATTTGGATGGTCCACCACAGTTGAAGAGTCTGGACGAAGTGGTGGCTTCCTTCAAACCCTATGCAGCTCCACCAGCACCGGAGCCCTTTCTCTCCGAGCCGGAGTCAAAAGTCGCGGATAAGAAGCGATCTACTAGGAAGAAGACTGAGAAGCGATACCTTACGACCATCTTCCTTACGGAGTCCACGGCCGAGAATGGCGAGAGCACATGGACAGCCTCTTCATCACCCGTGGTTGCTGTTCCTGAGCCACAACGGCCTCGTTTCCAGGAGGGGAAACGGCAACGCGAGCTACACTTCTGGAGAGCTCTCAAGCAGAAGATGCTGGAGCAGACAGATGCGACACAATCTATAAGGAAGGCGCCAAGTGCCGCACAAAAGTACAAGATGCTGCTCATCTCTGTCAAGAGGCAGCGAAAGCTGAAGATGAAGAAGCACAAGTACAAGAAGCTCATGAAGCGTACACGAAACTTGAGGCGGAGACAGGATCGCGCCTAATCTACTGCGAGCACGGCGTGTAGTCGAAGCATTCCTCTAGCGTGTTGGCGCTTGATCTCGGTCGTGTATACCGCGAATCATACGTCTGATCAGGTTCTGCATGGAGCATGTGTGAGACATGACAATCTCAATGAGACAATGTTTCAGCCGCCTGAATGGAACCTACAAAAGGTCTCCATATTTTGATGCATAGCACGGCGTTACTATGGTATTGGCGATGCCTGGCTGGCACTGGATGTGGCACTGAATATGACACTGGACGTATTTGCGGTTCAGTGTTGGAGTCGAGTCTATCAAGATCCTATTCTCTCAATCAAGAAACCAACTAGGCACCTCGGGTCCCCAAACGGCAAGTCCCTCGTCACCAGCCTTTCCCCATGCAACCGGAGTATGTTTGTTCACCAGATCGCCATCGCAGTAGTGCTCTACCATATTGCCCGTCGTATCCCACCAGTAATCGAAGATCTGTGAACCCAGAATATGCCTCCCAACACCCCACACAGACGTGTAATTTTGCTTTGCAAGCCACTGATGACCCAACTGCTGCGTATCAAAGTCATGCACCTCAAAGCTCGAATGATGCACATGGGACGTCTTATTCGTCGACATGAAAAAAGTATGATGATCAACGGGATCCTCCCCTCGATCAATATGAGCAAAAACCGCTACATCTTTCTTCTTCCCTTGTTCTGTGGGGACGTACAAGAAATCCGTCGGAGCGAGATTAAAAGTCCTGGTATACCAATCCAGTTGCTCCGGGAAGTTTTTTACACATAATCCATAATGCCCGAGTTTATGAACCGCCGCGGGACCTGGAGTGTAGCGATTGAATTTCCTCACGCGAGGTTTATGCGATTCATCATTATAGATGATTTTTGGGGGGAGGGAAGAAAAATTTCCTGGTGGTTGGGCGGCGGGAGTTTGTCCATAGACCAAATTTATGGGAAAGCCTTCAGGATCTTGTAAGGTGAGGATATATCCTCCACCTGGCGCATCTTTCATTTCTGTTATGGGCGAAGTGGCGGAAGGGAGGGCGGCGGCTTTTTCTAATTCGGACATGTTTTCTACGAGGAATGTTCCTCCGAGGAATTTCTTCGAGGGGCCTTTGAGGGCGTAGTAGACGTATGGATCTTCTGTGCCGTAGCCTCGCCACCAGATTTCTTTGGGGGTTTGTTTTGCGATTTGTAGGCCGAAGTCTTTGAGGAATTTTATTATTGAGGGGAAATCGGGGTGTTGGTAGCGCATGTGGACGAGTTTTACTAGTTTGATTTGGTTTTTGGTGTTGATGTTGTTGGTTTCTTGCCAGGTTGAGAGGGGGAGGGATTCGGGGCCTATTGCTTCTGAGTCGGGGATTGAGGCTCCGCGATTTGGTGCTGTGTCGTTGTTGTTGGCKGCTTCGTTCGCTGTGATGGTTACTGGTCTGGTTTCTCCATGCTGGGTTGTGGTTTCCGAAGGTGGAGTATAGCTTGTGTTGTTTGTATCAGCCATATTATTCAGTAGTAGATGTATAAGTTGGGATGAACAAGTCTTGCATTCTGCTGACGCTGTCTACTGCCTATATACCACATCATAGCCTGGTAATGATTACAGGAAACCCCACCTTCAGGTCAGCCAGCACAACTGCCGACGCTGGGGAAAGCTGGGTACGCTAGTCTTAGCGGGGGGGGGGGGGACCGGGCCTTTCTTCCGAAGTGAATACTTAGTAACTTAGCGGCAGAGTTCCGCTTTCCGCATACGCGACGCATTCATCGTACATACACAAAAAAAAAAGCCCGAATTCTACACAACATGGCGGCCGACGAGACGATAATCAAGCCCGTGGCAATCCTTCCCGACCAAATCTCGCTACTGGTCCGCAATCTCCAGCCCATCCTCCTGATCTCGCTCCTCCCCGTCTTCTTCAACAGACTAGTTCAGGATCCAGCGAGCACACTACTTGCACTGGCCCCGACCGTCGCGCTCATTCAGGCACTCTATTGCATCTGCTGTCTTCCTTCAACTGGACAGAGCGTCTCCTCCTCCACGACTACTAAGCCTGGACAAAAGAAGAAGACGACGGGGAAACACACGCAGGATCTTGCGGCTCGTTTGGTTGTAAGAATTCCACACCCACCCACCACTTTTATACCCCCCATCACTCATCACTAACTTCCAAATACAGCCCGCCTTCCTCTCCTTCCTCCTAACACTAACCCTCTCAACCCCCCTCTTCTACATCCTATCCCTCCTCTTCGGCGCCCCACTCCTAACCCACACCCACCAAACCTCGCTCCTAGCCCTCCACCTAGCCCTCCTCACCACCCCTCAACTCTTCTACGTCCACGGCCTAGATTCCACCACATGGCTCCGATTAGCAAGTCTCCAACAACCTCTTGATGAAATTTATGGACAGGCTTTGGGGGCTTTGCTGGGGGGTTGGTTGGGTGCTATTCCTATTCCGTTGGATTGGGATCGGGAGTGGCAGAGGTGGCCGGTTACTGTTATTTTGGGAGTGTATATTGGTGCTGTGGGGGGGAAAGTTTTGGGGGGGTATTTGTGCAAGGGGGTCAGGATGAGGATTACTTGAGAGGGAGGAGGAGGATGGATATAAGTCGTAGCGCTTCATAATCTGCGAGAATGATTGCTGTCGTATCGAGCTGTTATTATGTTGGCATGAGTAAATTGTGTCTTCGAGGAGGATTGGATATATCCATCTTAGCATTGGACTCGACTCACACGGGGACATACAGGTGAACGTCACATGGCGCAATCCGACCTCTTGGGTCTCGCACGACTTCCCGGAGAATTCGAATCTGGATGCGCTCAAGTCGGCGCCGGCCACAACATATCGTTGCGCAGCATACAAGTAAATCCCACGCGGTGCTTTGTTGTTCCTTGCAAATGACAATGTCTAAAGTTCATGATTCTCATTATGCATACATACATACATACATCATGGCCGTTCAACTATGTACTCGCGATGCCGCCAAAATTGCCATGCATGTCGCTATGCAAAACCTCTTTTCCCTGCTCATGTACATCTATTCCACAAATATGCAGTATTTTTTCCTTCCGCTAGAAAAAAATTACAGAACAAGACCAGCGATACCAAAAGCGACACCAACAGCCAACGCAAACTCCACAGAATACCAGGATGATAATGGCATCGCAGCTCCATTCTGCAAAGTCGCGCCATCAGAAGCCTCAGGATTCGAAGACTCGTCTGAGGTTGGGTCCGCTGGAGTACCGACCGTAGCGAAAGAAGTTATAGTGGATTTCGAACCGTTTGGGAGGGTTGTTGTGCTGTAACGGACTTGGCTGACGATGCCTCCTCCGGGGGTGTAAGTTACTGTGGCGATGTTGCCGTTTTGGTCCGAGGTTGTGAATGCTCCTCCTGGGGTTGGGGAGGTTAGGATTATGGTGTTGCCTGAGCTGTCTGTTGCTGTTGCGAGGGGTGGGATGGAGGTTATGATGCTTCCGCTTGGGTCTACTACTACGTTTGTGGTGGAGGTTCGTGGTGGGGTTCTTGTTGTTGTTGTTGTTGTTGTTGGGGTTTGGGATGTTGGAGGTTGTGTGGTTGAAGGTCGTGTTGTTGGGGTGTTGGAGTTGCTTTGCTCGTTTGTTGTTGGTGATGGTGTTGTTGTGGTGGACTATACAAGTATGAGTTGCTGGATGGATCACAACAATATCGATAGACACTTACCGCAGTGGTTGGTGGTGGGTTAGTGGTGGGTGGAGGGTTGGTTGTGCTGGGTTCAGTGGTCGGGTCTATTACAACAGATGATGAGTCCTGCTCTCGCGAAGAAGACGTAGAAGGAAGCACGGTCGAAACCGAGGGCACGACGACGGTCGTCGTYGTTGATGTCTGACCTCCGGTAGTGCTCGTGGGCTCCGCACTGGGTGTATTGGGCGGAGGTACGGAAGAACTACTACTGGCTGGTACAGAAATCAACGACGTGAACGTCACAGTGGTAGGTGCCACGCTTGGGGTGGGCGTACTCGACGGCATTGTCGAAATCGCCGTCGTGCTTGTGGAGCTTTCGACTAGCGAAGAGCTCTCTCGCACAGAACTGGAAGACTGACCTTGCGTGGCTTCCGTCTCTGAAGTGGATGATGATGTGCTGGGCGTGGTCGATACCACCACACTGCTACTGCTGACCGGTGTCTCGCTTGCCGGAATTGTCGTCGTTGCCACAACGCTGGTAATTGTGGTGTTGGTGTCCTGACGTTTCCGAAGCTGCTCTTTGATGTAAGAGTCCTCCTGCTCAGCGACAACTACTACCGCGTCATCGCTTCGCAACGCAGCATCAATCGCATGACGTGCGTCCTCGACCACATCTCGCATATCCTCTTGCAATACCGCTCGCCATGATTCTTCAGGAAGCGACCCTACCACCTCTTTCAAAGTGCCAACCGCCGTGCTTTCATCGTCCGCGGCGTTCAGGGCCGGAGCCGAGGACACCAATGGAAGTCCAAAGAGTAGAATCGAGCGTATCCAAGGCATTTTCGTCCCGTGACAGATTTTCGTTGCGCGTAATAAAACGAATAACAAAACTCTCGAGACCGGCTCGCTAATGGGAGGGAAATCAATCTAGGAATAATTGTTAGAGAAGAACAAGAGTAGAAAGAAGCCAGAAAGCGCCAGGAACCCAACTCACCTGGTCAGCACCCAAGGATCGCGCCCTAGGAAATACGCGGCTGTGGCTGGTCTAAGAGGTGTATAATTGGCCGAAAGTGTCTCGTTGGACGAATATAGTTTGGGAGAGGGTACGATTGCACACGTTCCTGGTTCTTCGAGATGTCGACTGTAGTCTTGTGCTGTACTGTAATCCTGATCCTGATCCTGACGAGCAATGGTGATAAATACCCAACAAAAAAGAGTCGTTGGGTATCTACATCTATTAAGCTCTCTCCGGCCATCCCCAACGTCACAGCGTGGAAGTCGGCAAAGAAGCTCGACTGCCAACCCTGTCCTAAAGATACGAGAAAAGGGCAGATCTCTTTCCAGGTTCGTCCCACTAGTTTGGTCCTACGCTTGCTCCTCGTGTCTCGGCGTTTGGGGGCACGTCGGTCGACCATGGCGTTGATTTCTATTCAATAATCGAAAGACCAACAAACAAAACCCGCCGATTCCCAAGTCTTGATCAAAAGAACCGAGAATCTGACATCTAGATCAAGTTCCCAGTACTTCGGATTAGGTAGGCACACAAGATCGAGCCAGACCGCCGTGTAACGAACATTAACTGTGGCACGCGAACGAAATTCTGGTTCGGTTCCACGCTTCCATTCTCCCCAAATGTTTAAACTACACACACACACCCACGAACAATCTCGTGAACTAAAAAATGTAGCTATTTATGTACATACCTACGTATCAATTGAAATGCGGATCTCTTTTTCTCCATGTACTGTACACCTACCCTCGCAAACCTACCCTCGCAAACCCACCCTCGTAACCCTAAAAGTACATACATGCAGTATTAAGGTACAGTGCAATGGATCAAACCATCCATTGTAAGCGAAGAGAAAGGAAAAAGGGCTTCTTCCTTCGGGATCAAGATTGATCTTACAAGGACTGGTCGTCAAGTTCCACCATCATCTCTCTCTCTCTCTTTCTTGTAAGCAATGACCCAATGGTCGACCCAATGACCAGGTTTCCATACATACATACATACATACAAACATAGCATGCAGTCGTGTTATGACAGCACGTCACAGCAGGTAATGCAGGGCCCATGTCAGAACAGAACATACCCGTTCGTAAAGCTTACCTCACCKTACTTAACATGGATAGCATTCTATTATTATTATTATTCTAGACCGATACCCTACCTTACATGTACCTACATGTAGATATCGCCTCCAAAGCCACGTCACGCCACGCCACGTTGCGTTGCGTTGAAAGCAAATCTGATGATACCTAGCTTCCTTCCCTCCCCCTAACTTACCGCCCACAGGGGCATCACTCGCCACTCCAAGCTACTTTCAACAACACCTACCACTCGTCGAGATATCAAGTCTCCATCACAGCAGAATGATTGCCCACCCACACACCCACCCACACATACACACACACACTTGAGAGAAGGTAAATTCTATATTTCATGGATCATCCTCTGTTCTGTCTACATCCTGGATGTCACATTCTCCGCCCGCCCGCCCGCTCGCCTTTGCTCTCTCCAACACACCAACAACCTATACACACATTCCCTTACAGTATTAATGCCTCGACTGGGCGAACTGAAAGATATCGTCTCGCGTACAACCCATTCTACTGGTTGCCGGCCTCCGCCTTTGTCCCCCCAACCTCGGTACTCGTATTATAAACATTATCGCCAAATCTATTCCCATTGGGCTTCACTGTCTGGCCGCTGTCTGCGCTGGGAGGAGGCTGGGCATGGACATGAGTGTTTCTGGCCTCGAGGCTGCTCCGCGGTTGCTCAAGAGACCTTCCGCGGTGGGGAATCGCAGTCTCGGAATCCTGCAGGTCGGTCTTACTTTTGGACCTCCCATGTGAGCTTCTCTCCGGTGTCTGCGAGCGTTTCTCGGCGTCTTTATCTTTTCGTTCTTGGATCTTGTTCCTCAGCCATGACATTGGTCCTTTTCGTTCCCTCTCAGAGTCGGAAAACACTGCATCAGAAGTGGCAGCTGGTTGCACAGGACGAGGTTCAGGCGAGAAGCCACCAGAAGGATCAGTTGCGACAGAGCCCAGAGATGTAGGCTCTTGAAAGCTTTGTCGAGGCTGAGACCCACCGCTGCCTATTGTAGATCGTGACATGGCCTGTTCTCGTGCTGTCATGGTTCCAAGTGGATTCCCAGGGGTTGTCGGCTGCTCCATTTTATTCTGTGGACGAGAGAAACGCCAACGGCCGCGCTTCTTCCTATCAGCCTGATCAGAATCATGCGGCATGTCGTCTCCCACCATATCGGCATCGGAGGTATCTGTATGCGAGTGGAATGAGTTGGAAGGTGAGACTGTGGGTCGGAGAGTTGCCTCTGTAGGATGGCGTTGAGGAGTGGATGGGGTATTCCGCGAAGGGTGGCTCGTTGTCGTGTCGTATGCTGCGTCGTTTTGTACCTCGGCGATTGTAGCATGTGTTGGAGAGATGGGCGAGTGCGATGAATGATCTCCATGACGTTCTGGAGCATCGTCAAGAGACTGCGCTGATGATTGGGCGCTCGAGAGCGAAGACACGGGGACCCTCTTTTTCTGCAGTTTGTTCGGCTTGCGACCCTCGCCGTCACTGGAGGGAGATTTGTTGAGGATATCGAGGAACTTGCGTCCCGATGCAGCGGACGGCGTGTTGGATGCTGATCTATCATTCGTTCTCTCACCGCTGTGACGAGGAGGTGAAAGCAAGGGAGACGTGTCCTTTCTCGTCGTCGCATTATCGGCGACTGTCGTAGATGAAGTGCCGCTGCCTATATTAGCCAGTGGGGTAGTAGCCTCGCTAGATGATGCAGATGTTACTTCGAGTGGGAAAGCTGTCGTTGAAAAGGCCTGATTCGCTGATACAAAGGATTGAGGAGCCTGAGTGGCAATCGGAGTACTTTGAAGAGATCTCTGGTGTTCGGCCGTGGAGGGTCTCACCAGTGTAGGATTCACAACGGCAAGCCCCACAGCCGGTCGGTCGGAAGCAGCAGGTCGATCGACCCTTGCACCAGCCGCTACGGGCACGATCGAGGGAGAACCTGCACGGGATGATGATGCATCCGAGTGCTTCTCGCGAGGGAATCGAGSCGACTGAGCAGCACTTCCACCTCGCCTAGAAGGAACGGTGTTGCTCCTATGAACACCGCTGCTTGCTGGCAGAGCAGGAGAAGTCACTGGAGATCCGGGCTGAGTGACCTTTTCAGATCTTTTGCTGTGTTTGCTGGACACGGAGACGTTGCGGCGGATGCTACCAAACTTGCGCACGCTTTCCGCAGCAACACTCGAATTGGAACTAGAGCGGCCAATGACGGTCTTGGCACGACTCGGTGTTGGTGGTGTGGAGGGAGTCTTGGCTGGCGAACCACTTTGTACATCTCGCACCGTCTCCGGGTCTGCTGCAGTTCCTTGCATGCCAATGAGGAAGCTGTCCTGGTTCTCAATCAAGAAGATCAGCACGTCCTGGCTGAGACGATACTCCTGCGGAGCCATGTCGTGTTGAGGATGGTTCAAAATGCCGGGTTGAAAGATGGCTGCCAGGTTTGGGGTTGTCATTTTGTTCAAATCAGACTTGCTCGCAAAGACGGCGAGAAGGTCCAAGATATAGAGTAATAGCTGTCGGTTCAGCGGTGGAAGTTCAGTTATAAGACCTTGATAAGCTCGAATGGCGCCGTCGTGGTCGAATTCCCCCTCGCTCGGACTTTGCGTCTCGATTGCACCCACGGCTTGCGCTTGATGGTTCCTCAAAGGGTCGCGAAACTTTTGGTAGAATTCTAGTGGAATAATGGGCTCCGGGAGTTGGTTGAAGTAGCGTCGGAGGATGTTGGCGGCATCGTGAACGGTGTAGCCCGTCCAGTCCAGTCCTTTGCCATATCGGTCCGGGCTGTCAAACGCGACTTTGAGTTCCTTGATGCGCTTCTCGCTCCCGGCAAGACGAAAAATACCCTCAACATCCGTCGCTATAGTCCACGATTAGTCCTGAATCGTGCGCCATGTCCGCATCACATCCTCACCCTTTTCCTTGAGGAAAACGCCGCATTTCGCTACCACGATGGGCACGTAGCCGTAGATATAGCTTTGCCCTTCATCGTTGAACAGGCTAATCGCGACGTTCGCATATCGTATACTGGTCTGGAGCGGGACTCCAAAGATGCCTTGTGGGATGACTGCACAGGTTGTATTAGTATCGCGTTACAAGCAAACACCGCCGTGCGCGAAACCATGAAGAAATGAACGAGGTTCGAATCTCCGACTCTCATTCATGCGCCGAGCGTACCTTGTTCMGGGCCTTTCTTGTCGCTCCTCTTGAAGTTCTTCCACCAGCTCGCCAAATCCTTCTTCTCCTTGACGGATTCGCTTTGCGCGTGGTGGAAGGGTTGAGCAGCCATGCCGGCGAGTCGGCGGCGAAGTCGGCGAGTGGAGGGTGACGAAGGTGTTTGGCAGACGCGCGGGCAGCGCGCGAGCTCTTGGAGCTGAGAGCGAACTTGGAAGGAAGGCAGGCAGGCAGCGTGAGGTGTGTCSCGGAGGGAGGAGCACCGCAACAAGGATGTGTGGTATGGGTGGTGATTGGATGATGAAGCGATTGGGTGGGAGTGAATGTTGCTTGATTCTTGGAGCCTTTGAGCTCCCTGCAATACAGCGATCACCATTAAGTTAACCGTTGCATCAACCCACAAGTGAGTTACGAAGGATCAATCGTTCTGCTGCGTGTGAAACTTCGACGAGATTAACCATTTGGAGACTTTTGGTGCGTCTGGAGAGTCGCGTGCTTTCAAGAAAAGTCCCATCGCCAATGTCCGAAGACAGGTTCGCTGACGCTTTTGCCTTTTGCTTCTAGTACACCGAGTCACGCACGAGAAAGACAATCATCAATCAGCATACCGAGGGAAAAGTCATCAGCCACCAACCATGAGCGGAATGGATATGTTCGTCATATGAGAGAGAGAGCAGCCTCGGTATACAACGGCAAGGCTAACGACATCTTCAGGCTTAACCAGGCGGAGCAGCGCGAGTTGCAGAGTCGCATGGAGCGAAAGCAGATGAAGGACTTTATGAACGTACGATTACCACGCATCACATGCCACGATTCTCGAGCCCTCCCACTGATCCACGGATAGATGTACTCCAACCTCGTCCAGCGCTGCTTCAACGACTGCGTATCCGACTTCACATCCAAGAGCTTGCAGAGCAAGGAAGAGGGTTGCGTCATGCGGTGCGTCGACAAGTTCCTCAAGAGCTCCGAGCGACTCGGCGAGCGCTTTCAAGAGCAGAATGCGCAAATGGCACAACAGGGCGGCATGGGCGGTGGACTGAGATGAAAAATTGATGACAAAACGGCGGCGACTTCTTCTCACGTGTATTGATTACAGTGTTGATGTGGTAGGAGGAGTGAAGTGGACGGAGGGATGTCATTCTCATTCTCACCATGCAGACAGCGGCGAAGACTTTCTCTCCTCTCCTCTTCCGTCATGTACCATACATAGTCCGGACGACAGATGACTCGGCCATCAGCTAGGCGCAGCTAGGCATCTGAGCGTCGAACATACATACGTATACCACTCAAGCTTTCGTGGCTCATACAGCCAGGCAACGATTGGCATGCATGCCTTCAATCCTTTGGCAACAAACCTCTCAGGCTCAAGTCGTACACCACGTCTTCAACCTGCTTGACCTGATACTTGATGCCATCGCTGCRGCGACGGATCGAATCGTTTTTGAGATTGAGCTGCATTTTGTCAGACTCAGTCCGCGTTGGTCCGGGGTCGAAGGGAAGACTCACAATTTGAAAGCCCGCAAACACATCCTTGGTGAATTGACTGATGAGAAGTGGACGACGGTAGTCGCCGAGTGTGACAGAGTTGCGTGCCAGGCGTGCCTTTGAGGATGTCAGTTGCGGTACGATCAACAACAGGTGGAATGAGAGCAACGTACAAGCTCTTCAACTAGTGAGATGAGCGATAGGAGATACTCCTCAATCGTCAGGTGGAACGCATCGCGGTCCTTGAGGTTGACAGGTACTGTTTAGATGTTAGCAAGGTCCAATTATTCTCTCATTGCTGAGATAGAGATTGATGGGGCTGGCAGCCCTCAGCTTAGCAAATATAACTGACCTTGCATGATGGCACCAACTTCCTCAATGGTCAAGAGCTGACCCAGTTGTTTGCCGAAACCGCCCAACCAACCGCAAAGCAAGATCGAGAAGCACTACATATCGTCAGGAAGTGTGCGTGCGAGAGATGAAGCATTGTTCGATACGTACGGAAGCTTCGATCTGCTTGGTCCACGAGTAGTTGAATCGGTAGTAGGGCTGTTTGGATGCCACTTCAGATAGCTTTTGGATGGTTTCGGTTTCGAGGGCGATGTTGGCTTGAGCAGCTGCGATCACGGCGGGCACTGGAATGTTGTTAGGGTGTACTTCAATACTCTAGAGTGAGAGTAAAGAATCGTGGATCTGTGGGTAGGAGGGCAGGTGGGGTTCAGTCGAGAGAGCGCATATGATATATAGCACTTCGGGATGAGAGGGAGAATGCAGGAGGTTGAGGTTGAGCTTGTTGTATTCGAGGCAGCGCATACTTCGCAATCCAACAGCGGGAGAGAAGGATTGTAGAGATAGAGTGCCCTAGGGTAGCAAAGTGTATGATGTTGTGTTTCGAGAGCGCGTATTTTTCAAAAAAGTGCATGGGAAGACTCACAATCTGCTGTGCTGGTAGAATGGGCTCTCGACAGGATGGACTGAGTGGTACGGTCTATCAAGAAGGCATTAGGATCCGCTGCAAAGTCATTGCATACTTGATCAAAACTCACTGGTCTTCTCAAGTGCCTGCGATAACTCGCGAAGTGCCTGTCGACGGCAAATTTATCAGTCATTTGATCCAAACGCTCCATGTGTTTTTCATCTCTCAAAAGGCTCTGGCGTACGTCTTTGAACACTCCATCATCATCGATTTTCTTTTGCAGGTCCTCGAAGATACCCGGCTGGATCATTCCTGTGCCTGTCTCCATCTTGGCGTGTGGTGTTTGTGTGATGTGATGTGATTGGAAGGTTGTGAAGTTGGAGCTTCCGAAGAAAGAAAGTGAAGCCAAACCAAGTCTCACAAATTCCAAGCATCAAACATCACCTCACTTCACCTCACATCAAGCATAAACTCATCACCATACTTCAATGCCTTTGAGATCCATCCATGTCGGCATTGTAGGTGCAGGAATCGCGGGACTACGATGCGCCGATGTCCTGATTCAGGCAGGAATACAAGTGACTATTCTAGAAGCTCGAGATCGCATCGGCGGGCGAGTTGCACAGAGTCGCCATCTCGGGAGAGGTAAGGTATCCATTATTAGAACGCGAACAACTCCATCAGTCCCTGACATTCCATAGAGGTTGATCTGTAAGATGCTCACATCCGTTTTCTTGAGCCAAAATTCTAAAATGTCCGTGTGAGTAGTGGTCCGAATTGGATACATGGCAGCAATGACAATCCCATTATGAGAATTGCGCGCGAAACTGGGACTCAGTAGGTGAATGTCTCTTGGCAGAGCTGTTGATGTGAGGGTTATTCATCAGTACAATACATCCTCAATCATCCCCATGATGTCCCAAGGCCTCGCTCTCTACAGGCTCGACAATTCTAGGCCTGTTAGCACCCCTACTACTAGCAGAGTGGCCTTTAATCAATCTCGAGAGCAGTTCAGGGCGCTGCTCTTGCTGATAATGTCTCATATCGACAGCTCTGCCTTTTACATTGCTGGAGTTCCCGCGGGACTGACAATCAACAACAGACTGAAAGTATGGGAAGAAGCTCTGACTGTGTTTGACGCAGACGGAAATCCAGTGAGCCAGGACGAAGTAAACGAACTAAGCGCTCTAGAATGGGAAGACATCATCCCAACAGCCTCCCGCTACTCCAAAGAAAGCAAAGACTCGATCGATCCAAATACCAGCCTCTATGACTTCTTCCTCCACAAGTCACAAAATTTATTCCAGGACCAGCCCGTCGAGATAGCCGAGCAAAAACGAGCGAAACTCCTACAAATGGCACAAGGCTGGGGAGCATACATTGGCAGTCCCATACATCGACAAAGCCTAAAGTATTTCTGGCTGGAAGAGTGTCTGGAAGGAGAAAATCCCTTTGTAGCTGGAACCTATCGCAAGATTCTAGAAGCAATATCCGAGGCCGCGAAGAAACATGCGGAAATTCGACTACGTTGCGAAGTTGTTGAGATTCTATCACGGAGAATATTGGGAGATGATCATGTTCCGTCTCAACCTCCTAGAGTGAAGCTTGCAGAAGGAACTGTCTTGTCTTTCGATGCGGTCGTTCTGACTACACCATTAGGCTGGCTGAAAGAGAATAAAGCTGCTTTCAAACCTACTTTGCCCAAGGAAATGTCCTTGGCGATTGATAGTATCTCATACGGACACCTCGATAAGGTATATCTCACCTTCCCAACGGCATGGTGGAAGAAATCGTCCGAAGCGAGCGAAACATCATCCACCACGAAGAGCAATGATGTATGTAAATACTCCAGACAACCTGCGGCGAGAGAGAAAAGTCACTAATAAGAGAACTACCCAGAGCACAAACCACCCCCCTCAAGTTTTCACCTTCTGGCTACAACCCACCTATGCACCCTCAACGAACCCCCAGCAATGGCTACAAGAATGCGTAGATCTAACAACTCTCCCCCCAGAATCCTCTCATCCAACCCTGCTATTCTACATCCAAGGCCCCCAGAGCAAATACATAGCAAATCTCGTAAATTCCTCCACCGGCAGCGACAAAGATCGAGATGAAAAATTAATCGACTTCTTCCTCCCCTACATCTCAAAACTTCCCGGATACAATGAGAGGAAACGGGAATGTAAACCCAGTGCCGTCAAGGCTACATCTTGGACGAGTGATAAATTCGCAGGATTTGGATCTTATAGTAATTTTCAAGTCGGGTTGGAGAATGGGGATTTACATATTGAGATGATGCGATATGGGATGCCTGAGAGGGGGATATGGTTTGCTGGAGAGCATACGGCGCCTTTTATTGCGTTGGGAACTACGACGGGGGCTTATTGGAGTGGAGAGGGGGTGGGGAAGCGAATCATCGAGACATTTGAAGAGGGAACGAAGGTGTAGGTAGGGTTAGATCAAATTTCAGAACAAAGGCTCCCAAACAACGCCGCGTTGATACATCTATCTCTAGGTTACACCCCTCGCTTCTCATCAAAGCCACCGTGAATCACACCAAACCCCCCGGTCCCTCGCCTTCGTCGACCGGCGACTTCCTTTCCCCACTCGCTGATTTGAAAACACCATCCACCAGCCACCAGCAGTCCCGAAACGACATTAACAATCCTAATGAACAAAGCCGGGATGGAGCTCCACTCCTCCGCGATGGTGAGCTGGATCGGTTCAATGTCAAACTTGACAAATACGCCTGGGACTGCATTCTCCGCTACGGGATGCGATTGCTCCGTAACAGCGTACTGGTTGGTGAAGACCGCTTTCTTGCTGTTGCGGTAGGGGAATTGCTTTAGGCCGTCCTCGCCCGATGAGGGGGATTCGTGGTATTTGTCGATTTTCGCCAGTTGCTTTACGTCGGTGGTGTAAATGGTCGGAACGACGGATAGATAGTATTGGAATTTGTGAAAGTGGCCGTCCGTGGTGGCGTACGTGTTGTCTAGAGGATTGACCAGGGAAGGATAAAATGGTCCAAACGACAACTCGTTGATGTGGTGGCTAAAATTGAAAGCTTTCCTCACACTGTCAGATAACATAACGACAAATAATGCAGGGGTTTCGTGCCAACTTACATTTATGATCCAGATGTTGTCCAAACTCCATATATCCATGCCCTCTCGCAGTAATATGGAAGTCTCCCTGCACTTTATTCCCATGCATACTCCCAAACACCCTACAACTATCCGCCATCCTCGCCTTAGGCACCCTGGGCGTTTTCGCAAACTTCTTCCTCCTGCCACGCGCAGCACCCAAATGATCATGAACATCCTCTTCCCTGTACTCCGCGAAACCGGGATAACCACTCAAATCCAACAACCGATCCTTCTTCGAAGCTCCCAAAGCATGTGTATAGCGATTCATACCCCATGACTCCCACATCGTAGGATCTTTCCGCAAAGCCTGTCCAGCGAGAATTCGATCCCCCGAAGCATCCTGCACATTGATATGCAAATCCTCGCATTTCATAGCCACGACGACGTCGAGATTAATCTGCAAATCATGGCCGACGCCTTGCTCCACGGCGAAATTATGCGTCGTAGACCCTTTCCACCATCGACCCATTTCAGTCCACGTTAGGAGCGTCGATGCTAGGATGAGCACGATCGTCCACACGCCTCCCGTCGAAGTCTTCTCCGTGTACGAAGGCTTGGTTTTGGGGAAAGCATCGAAAGCCTTGACGGCGCTCAAGGCGCCCTTGTCTCCGAAGGCATCCTCGTCGAGGCCACCGCGTTCCGCAAAGCCATTCATTGGGAAGGTGGTGGGTGGTGGGCGGCTATCGGAGCAAATCTTTGGAGAGCATTGGTTTGGAGCTCTCTCCTGCGAACGGTACTTCAGAAGGACACTTGACCTCCATCGTTCCCCACTTCACATGGGTTACCCCGGCCGGCGGCATTGGCTCGTTGCGGCACGAGCCTTCCGAGCATGCCGAACCTTAAATTGTTGCACCTCCATCTTCACCTTGAGCAGATGTTTTTCCTCCTCACAGACCAGAGCTGTCGATATGAGGACTGTTCGTTGGAACAAGACATCCTCAGTCATCTCAAAAGGCCTCGCTCTCTGCAGGCTGGACGAATCTAGACCTGCTACAATTCTTCCTACTAGCAGAGTAGCCCGTTAATCGACCGAGAGAGCAGTTCAGGGCGCTGAGAATTTCTCTTCCTTTTATGAATACAGGAGCACTGAGGCTGTTGTCGAGTTCATCTGTCTCATAATGGACACCAAGCACTGCTCACCAAAAACCAGCTTGGAACTATTCGAGCTATGAAGAACCTGCTGGACCTCTCCTGAGAGCTGAGAGACACGATTGGGGCAATGATCTGTCTTGAGCCGTAAGTTGATTTCAGCTGAAACGACGGGTTTACTAATGGGACGCTCTTTTGATGGGAACATGACATGATTCCAAGAATCTTCTTTCCCTGCGGACTTCTGCTCACCACATATCAAAGCATTGCTAACGCTGTATTTCATTTGGACGATTTCTGGACCGTAAGTATGATTCCGTATGCCCGCTAGGTGATGAGGATGCCAAGTATAACACTACTCCAGCAATAATGCGCTACAGATCGACTCGTCTCTATAAAGGGAGGCGTCCAACGTCGCCGCTAGCGACGAAAGTGGAGGGAAAATGCGTACGGTCGTGTGTCCATCAAAAGTCGCTTACATTGCTCCGAGTGAGCAAGCATCTCTATAAAGGAGCAACAGAATCCCGATTAAAACAAATAATGCATGTCAGCTTTCTAAGAATTAATTCTCGTAAAATTATAGCGAAAGTAGATCTTTCGCTATTAGGAATAACTTCTAATATAAAGATACGCCGTAACATTATTCTAGAAGAGAGTATGTAGAGTTACGACTAATGCTAGATGTTACTTAAAGCTTCTATACTTATATATATACTCGCTTTATATTATCGCGTTTTATTAGCTCGCATTTCTTATATACCCGTAATAAGGCTAAGCGTTTAAATATATACTCTCTAAATTCAAAATCTCTATCGGCTTATATATAGAATTACTACTATATATTTTATATACGAATTTCGGAAGTATAAGATATATATAGTAATAATCCTATTACGCTTCGTATAGATTTATACATATTTGCCGCTAAAAGTGCGGATCTCTAACAGATTTACGCTTATCGGCCGGTACTTATAAGTCTAGTAGCCGCTATACTAACTACACCTCCTCGAAAATTTCTCTAACCTCTCTAGAGCGTAATAAAAGATTAAAGTTTTATAACGCTGTCTTATAGAGCTATCGATATAAGGCTCTTATATTAGCGTCCTATATAAGGTATAAATATAAGGCTATTAGTAATATAAAATAAAGACCTTACTAAGGTAATAAGAAATAAATATAAGGCCTAGCTGTTAGTGTTTTTCCCTACCTATAATGTACGTAAGCAAACCGACTAAAACAATTCGAATAGTAATAGTTTTATGTTAATAGTATTAATAGTTATAGGTGTTATCGTCGTTAATAAAGTTAAAGTTGTTACTAAGACTACTACTAGAGTTACTTCGGCATACTTAAGCCGAAGAGTTTAAGTTCCTTCGTCCGAACCTTCGTCTTTTAAGTAGTATTAAATAATACTACTACGCCCTTATAATAGCCTTAGTTATAGACGATTTATCGTTAATCCTATTAAGCTATACGGATACCGAGTTTTAGGGGATTCGTAGCTTCTTTAGAGCAACTACTAATCTAAACTTATAGCTAGCTTAGCTATCTCGAACCTAGCTAACTAGTAGTAAGCTATCTACGGATGCTAACCTTATCTAGTATAGTTAACCGAAGTACCTAAAGGCGAAGAAACCCCGTAATACGTAATCGAATATATAGTCCTACGCTCGGCCTCCGAAGCTCGGTAAAGATAAGTTAAATAAGTAGTAGCAGCGTATTTAGTACTATAGACGGCTATACTATATCTATTATACTAATACGCTACGTTAAGCTCGTATTTATTTAGAGAGGTATAGCATCCTCTATATTAAGGATAATTTAGAACTTAAGAAGAAGCAGGCCGCTTTAATTAAGAGCGCCTTTACTAAGTAAGGGCTATTAGATTAAGAGTAGCGAGAAGAGTGTAATAAGAGGATACTCCGTAATACATACGATAAGACGACGGTATTAAAGGCGGTAGTTAATATTATTATACGCCGCTACTTACCTTATAATATAGTAGAGTAGCCTAAGTTTTACGCTCTAGGCGCTATATTTAACTCTAAGGCTCCTTAAGTGCTAGATAAATTATATACTACCGTATTACGCCGTATTAAGTCGGTAATGCTATATTATAAACTAGCTCTAAAGCGGCATATACGGTTAGCTCTATCTAAGAAGAGCCTAATAATAGATAGATAGACTATTCCTTAAGGCTATAAGAAAGAGTACTTAGCCGTTAACGTCTACTTTATTAATTGCCGCGGAGTTGTTCGTAAAGCGCTCCTTAGATTACTAGAGCTAACTTACGGCTATATAGGTATAGAGGTTGCTTCTTACGTTATTCGCATTACGAAGGAATACGATATTAAATACTCTCTCGGAGCAATTATAGCGAATAACGCCTCTATAATAGACACTACCTATACGGCTATCGAGGAGCTACTCTACGCGGAGGATACTCTAATCGAATAGAGCGTAAGCGACAACCGGCTTTATTACTTCGGCTATATCCTTAATATCGTCTAAGAAGCGTTCCTTAAAGCGAGGGATAGAGAGGCAGTTTAATTAGTAATTAAGATAGCCGAATAACAGAACGAGCTACTTAAGTCCGTTATCGAATAGCTCTTAGCTCTAAACGGCGATACGGATAGATAGCAAACTATAGGTCTAATATAGAAGCTATACGCAATTACTAAGGTGCTTAGTCTATAGGCCGCTTATAACCGCTTTATTACTATTACCGGCCGCCTTATAATATTACGGCCTAGCGATACTCGCTAGTATGCGTAGATTAATATAATCTAGCGTACGTTCTAATTACGGCTATCAGGGAATAGCCTATAGTACCGCTACGGTACCGCGAGGGTATAATATAAGGACTATAGAGGTACACTAACGTTAGCGCCTCGGCGAAAGTCCTATACTTAGCTATCTCTACCTCTATAGATTCCTTTCTCTCTCTAAGTAATATCGCATATTACGAATTAACTACTATATTAAGACTACCTATTTATATACTCCCTTATAGTATATTACCTCTTATCCCTACTAGGGAATAGCCGTATTAAGTACGCTAGAGTAGTTAAAATAGCACCTCGCTTACTCCGGAGCTAATAAGTAGGGTCGATGTCTACTCCTATCGAGGATAACCTCGCTATAGAATTAGCGTCCTAACTTCCTAGTGCCGTAGAGGTACCGTAAGGATAGGACGGCGATACCGTAGAACTAGGAACCGAAATCCCTATTTAACCGATACCGAGGCCGACGATAGTTCTACCGATACTAACGCTAGACGCTAACGGTATTCCTTTACGGCTTTACGAAGCTATCGAGACTCTCTAATCGGTCGACCCCCTTAAAGTATCTATAGAGGACATTAAGAGACTTAACGCCCTTATTAGATAACGAGATTAGTACTAAGAAGTCGTAGAGAGGAAACGTAAGAGGGCGGAATTAACCTACGTTAACGCGGAAGTACCCTAGAAGTACCGCGACGGTACCGTAACGGTGCTAATAACGGATCCTCTTAGGGAACTCGTTAAAMGAGACCTACCTAAGTTAGAATCTCTTAACTAATAAAAGTTCCTATAATAGGTACGCGACTACGAAGTACGCTTTACTATCGCTCGCTATATAGACGAAGACATCCCGACTATATTAATTAATAATTAATACCGGCGTAGCGTCTAAGCAACCTTAAAGGTTAAGGAGAAAGAACTCCTTAATGCCCTAACGAGGTAGTTAAATAACTACCTAGGTAAATACTAACTATAGGAGGACGTAAAGGAAACTATATCTAATACAATTACTCCGAAGGTAGCGTAGTTAGCATAGCTATACTACTAGTATTAGACGGCTACGTAGAAAGCGGACTAAACGGTTAGATAGTTCTAATCGTACCTCTAAGATATTAAGACAAGAATAAAGCTTATTCCTATAGATAATGCTATTAATATGCCCTTACGTATTAGTATATATTTCTCTAAACTTTAGCGCGATATCTAAGATAAGCTACTCGAAGGGAATAAACTAGCCGAATCCGTAACTCTTAAAGAGTTTATAGAAGTAGCCGCGCTCTTAGAGAATATCCTATACCTAAGAGGACGGGATAATAAGAAGAAAAAGCTAATACTACCTAAGCCGTCCGGTAGTAGTACCGTAGTAGTACCGCTATAGTAGCGCGGCGGTAGGGGAAGATTCGCGCTAAGAGGAAGGGGAGACTAGTCCTCGCTAAGGGGAAGGGGATTCCCTAATAGGCTAGCTCGTATTAAGAAAACTATAACGGTTTAGTACGGACCCTAAGGCTAAGCTCTATAATAACACCCTTTAAGAAACTCGAGGTCCTAGTCGCGTCGCTAACGCCTCTACGACTAGGACCCTCCTATAAGGGGCGTAAAAGAAGGATAGTAGTATAAGTCCCTATTAAAGATAAGTAAGGTACTACGTATATACTAAAGGCGTTAGTCGACTACGGGGCTTAGTTAAACCTAATATCGTAGTATATAGCTTAGATACTTTAGCTTCCTACTATAGACCTTACTAAACCTAAGGTGAAATTCTTAGATAATAATCCGATAACTA